ACTTCCCTCCTACTTGTGTTCAACAGGTGACATCATATCTTCCTTTTATTTTTCTTTTTCCTTTCTTTTTATGATCTTTTTGGTTTTTTGTTTTCTGGGTTTTGGTTGGGTAGTTGAGACAAGTGAGAAAATGGGTAAAAGGTGGATCCTTTGGTTATTATGGAGAATAAATTGAGCTTCTGAAGAAGTTCGTTTATTTTGCTTAAGCTGAAGCAAAAGTGACTGATGAAGAGATAGTCTAATTTCTTGCATATTTCCTTTTGTTTCCCTCTTATTTTGGGTTTTTATGATTTTCAATTTTCTATTTGAAAAGTTTATTTCAGAGTTTTCTTTTATGTGATAATTTTCTGGGGTTTTTTTTTTTTTTTTTTTAACTCTATGAGTTGTTTGGACTTTGGTCATCTAAATCTCGGTATTTTGGCAAAATCTGAATATAGTTGAAGTGCCATGTCTGCCACCTAACTGTTTGATGTGAATATTTACTCTCTTATCTCTTTCATTTTTTTTTTTTTTTGGGTCAAATTTTATGTTTCCATGTTCGTCTGGTTTTAAATACTTGTCTTGGTGTTTTGGTGTTACTTTTTTACTTTTTGTAATGATAGTAAAAAAATGGCCTTTTTGTTTGATATGTTGTTAATGTCCTTTTTTTTTTTCTTGTTGGAAACCTTTCATTCGAGGAATTAATAATTTAATAACATACACAATCTCTTTATTTGTTTCTTTATAAAAAAAATATCACTGATCATGTTCCGGACTCAAGTCTCAATTTCTTGTTGGAATTTAATAAATTAATGTAATATGGGTTTTATGAATCGAGCCAATTACATTAGCATCAATTTTTGAACATATTCCTTTCTTTGTCCTGCAAAACAGGAAGCATTGGAGGCTTATGATGGTGCAAGCAAAGGGAAATACACCATTGGCCTTGGACAAGATTGCATGGCCTTCTGCACAGAGGTGGAAGATGTTATCTCAATGAGGTTAATCATCCTACATTCTCATAAGCTATTAGCATCACTTAATATTGTTTTACAATATCTATATGTAATAAAAGTAATGTGTAGTATGGCTGAAATGAACACTTATTTCATTTTTAATAATTTGGTACCTTTGATTTGCAGTTTATCAGCTGTTACTTCACTCCTTGAAAAGTATAAGATTGACCCTAAACAAATTGGTCGGCTTGAAGTTGGAAGTGAGACTGTGATAGACAAGAGCAAGTCCATTAAGACATTCCTGATGCAAATCTTTGAGGTACTCTTCCCAGTCATCATGGTCTTCTTATCTAGAATAGTTTCCCGTTTAGATAGGTAAAAAACCTGACTCGGCTTTTGACCATAAGGTGTGATTTGAAACATTAACCACTTTCTCAAAATAGCAGTCGAAAACAGTACGTGGTAGCATTTATTTGGGATCATTTTTCAAAACCTTTATCCTATTAGCTAGTTATGAAAATTCTATATAACATCAGATTGAATAAGTTAAAATTTCTGATTTCTTTAACTGCATTGCTGTAAGGCTGTGTCTGTTTCTTAGGACAACTTTGCTGCAATTTATGATCAAATGCCTGTTCTTGACTCAATGGTCTTTTCTCATGCTAAACAAACAGAAATGTGGAAACACCGACATTGAAGGGGTCGACTCAACTAATGCATGCTATGGAGGGACTGCAGCTCTGTTCAATTGTGTCAATTGGGTGGAAAGTAGTTCATGGGATGGAAGATATGGTCTTGTTGTTTCCACTGACAGCGCGGTATGATAATTTTCTGCACTATTACTGTACAATGATGAATAGTGACTGCAAACTTTTATTTCTTTTTTCTATTCCTGTCTCGAATAAAATAATATTTTGAAATGCCACCCTTTGCATGTTTCTAATTTTGGATTAAAGGGGCTGTAATTTCATAGTACTTTGTTCATATGACCATTGCATACTTCAGGAAGCAAAACATACTTAATTTTGCTTGAGTTTGTATATATTATACTGTAAGATTTTTATGCTTCAAGTCATTTGTGTTTCAGATGTTATATAAGCTCTAGTTTTGTTGGTTTTCTTACTAAGGGTGTTCTTTTTTCAGGTCTATGCAGAAGGACCTGCCCGGCCTACTGGAGGAGCAGCTGCAATTGCTATGCTAATAGGGCCTGATGCTCCTATTGCTTTTGAAAGTAAACTTAGGGGGAGTCATATGTCCCATGCCTATGACTTTTACAAGCCCAACCTTGCTAGTGAATATCCGGTAATGCATCCCAATTGCTTCTCAAGTTTTGTACTTTTATGGGAAATTATTGTTTAAGTCATGGTCGTCATTGGGATTAAGTATTATGACATTCCAAAGGATAGATTTCATAAATGACTGTTTATACTTTATAGCAATCATTTAATTGACATGTCAATCTCATAATGCTATTTTTGTTCATTATGGGTTTCTGTTTGGGTAATGGTTCTATTTATTGGCATGCATGTGTAGGTTGTTGATGGGAAACTTTCACAAACGTGCTATCTCATGGCTCTTGATTCTTGTTATAAATATTTCTGCCACAAGTAAGTTACAACAGAAGTACTTGAAGCATTTTCTGTTTTTCTTTACAAATATGAAATTTAATGACTAGTTATGCTCACCTAATGCATCTATATTTGGCTGCAGGTATGAGAAACTAGAGGGAAAACAATTTTCCCTTTCTGATGCTGACTACTTTGTATTCCATTCTCCATATAACAAGGTAGCTAATTTTAGCAGTTACTGATAAATCTATGAAACTCTTTCAATTAATCACGGGAATTTTGGAATTTATCTGAAAATTTTCCATTTGAACTGCTGCAGCTTGTCCAGAAAAGCTTTGCTCGTTTGTTGTTCAATGACTTCTTGAGGAATGCAAGGTTTTTCATTTTTCTTTGCTGCCCTCGGAGATTCTATTGATTGATTCATCTCTGTTTGATTATTTACTTGATTTGCATGATTTTGTAGTTCTGTTGATGACATTGCTAAAGAAAAGCTAGGTCCATTTTCAACTTTGACTGGTGATGAAAGCTACCAAAGCAGGGATCTTGAGAAGGTCTATTTTGAACTTTGCTAATGATTCCCAGTTTCTGACAAATTTTAGAAGATCACAGTGACAAAAAACCAAGTTATATTAGCTTCTGTTTTATTTTATTTCGTTTGGTATGCTTGATCTATTATTATATTCTGTATGACAACTTGCATAGTAGATTCTTTTTAGATTAGATTGCTTCATCAAAGTTATGCACAACTGAAAACAGTTCCAAGATTTGATTTTCGGAATTTCTAGAGGGATAGCAGGTACAAATTCGTTGTTACTTCTTGCTGATGCCACTTATTTTCATGCATTTGCAGGCATCCCAACAAGTTTCAAAGCCCCTTTATGATGCCAAGGTGCAACCAACCACTTTGATACCAAAGCAAGTTGGGAACATGTACACTGCATCTCTTTATGCTGCCTTTGCATCCCTTATTCACAACAAACATAGTGAATTGGTAATTGTTTCATCTTTCTTCGAATATGACAGTCTGCTGTGTCTGCTCTGCTTCCACTTACATCTGATATATTTAATAACATGCAGGCAGGAAAGCGGGTGATATTATTCTCTTATGGAAGTGGTCTGACTGCCACAATGTTTTCATTGCGACTCCACAAAGGTCAACATCCTTTTAGTCTATCGAACATTGCAACAGTGATGAATGTTGCTGGGAAATTGAAGTCGAGGCATGAGGTAATTCTTGCACTTTCATTTTAGGCAGGATAAAAGTACAATTTGTCAGATATCTACAGAACCAGGGACATATACTGCAAAACACAATGGCCATTCGGCTGCCTGCAATGCCTCTGAGTTTTGGATTTTGTGATGTTATTCACCATGATCAGTTAATAGGCACACCCACCGCATGCATAATTCAACCTGAGCACATTGAGGAATTCCTTTTTCCTTTTTGTTGAGTGCCATAAACTCAACTGAAATGATAATTTTCTCTACTCTTTTACTAAATGTCATTGAAAAGATTGTGATAGATTTGTTTTCATGCAGTTTCCCCCTGAGAAGTTTGTTGAGACTATGAAGCTTATGGAGCATAGATATGGAGCCAAAGACTTTGTGACAAGCAAGGACTGTAGCCTTTTGTCTCCTGGAACATACTACCTCACTGAAGTTGATTCCATGTACCGGAGATTCTATGCAAAAAAGGACTGGGACTTTACTGCCTGTGAGAACGGTTCTCTTGCCAAAGGTCACTGAAGAACATATTTATTATCCCAAATGCCAGCAAGGTGGCTTGTCTTAGATTTGTTGTCAGTACCAAGAACCGGATTACATATGTATGTTAAAGCAAAATAGTTCATTCAGCTGCAAGTCCTTTTTTCACCTTGTTTCCCCCCACCCTTCTTTGAAATAAGTTCTTATTGTTCAAACAGAGCAGTTGGCATTGTAATGTCCATTTTAAGGCAGAAATAACCAAGTAAGAAATCCTCATGATAAAGTGTAAAGACTTGCATTTGAATATTTGATTTAATAAGAAATATGTTTATCATTTACTCAAACTCTTATTAAAAAATTTGGTTTTGAATTTTTCTTTATTAAAATATTAAAAAAATTTTAGACTTAAAAGGTCATCTCTTGGATTCATCCCCAAAACAAAACTAAAATTTACAAAAAATTTATATTTAATATACTGTATAAATTTTTATATATTATTAATGAATTAAATATATTTATTTATTAATAAAATAATATATTTACTGTTAATATATAAATTTTATGTACTAACTCAATTACAAAATAAACAAAAACTTTAAGAATCAAACTATTTTGTGCAAATTAATTGTAAAAAATATCGAGCTTAGATAGGTGGCTTCAATCGATGAAATCAATTTATTAATCCATATAAGACGAAGCCTTTTCAGACCTTTCTGACACAACTCAGCAACTCTATTGGTCGAGAGTAGAGACCACATGTCCCCTAACTGTGGTCCACCAGATTGGGACAGCTGATGATCACCATGGTACCAAACACGTGTTACTTTCACTTCCACTCAACCCCCATGACTGTGATCACCACCGTTGTTTTCTCTTCCCCGAAACCCCAAGGAGAAAACAAAACCAACATTTTCATTACTGATACTAGTCTTCTATTCATTTTTTTTTCGTTTTAATCTTTATTTTCCATGTTTATCCCTTTATAATCCTTTGTGCTCGGACCTATTATCTATTGGACATAGAAAGAAAAAATCAACAAAATTTTCCTTTGATTTCTTGGCAAAGAAGTAACACCAACCCAGTTCGAGGAAATGGATCCTGATGACGACGGAGGCATGTCTGATCTTAGCAACAGTGCTGGAGAACCTAACACCGCCACGGCAACCACTGCTAACGGCAAGACCAAGAACAACGATAAAAATTGTGAAAACTCGGCATTTCAGTTGATGCAATTAAAAGAAGAATCCGACCCAGACCATAAGACACATCCTCTGCCGCCTATTGGGGTGGTCCCAGTTGGCATGCAGATCCAGCAGATGCCAATGCAAATCCCTATGCCCATGCCTGTAACTACCGCTAAACGCTCCTCCACCAAGGACCGTCACACCAAAGTCGAAGGCCGTGGTCGAAGAATCCGAATACCTGCTACTTGTGCTGCCAGGATCTTCCAGCTGACTCGTGAACTCGGCCATAAATCAGATGGGGAAACCGTCAGGTGGCTCCTCGAACATGCTGAACAAGCTATCATAGAAGCTACCGGTACAGGCACCATTCCTGCCATCGCTGTGTCAGTCGATGGTACCCTCAAAATTCCAACAACGTCAGGCACAAACGTTTCCAATAACAACAACAATAATAATAACAATCAAATAGATGACAGTGCCACAAAGAAAAGAAAACGCCAGGCGAACAGCGAATTTTGCGATATAGATGATGGGATACCATTTGCAGTTTCACAACAACAACAGCAACAATTAGTCACGCAAGCTTCAGGGCTGGCTCCACTTACTCCGCAAGGACTGGTGCCAGTGTGGGCTGTTGGAAATACCGGAATGATGGTACCAGCAAATGCGTTTTGGATGATCCCACAGCCCACTGCCACAGCTGCTGGTAATGGGCTTGCTAATAAGCAACCATCGCCACAGATATGGGCTCTATCACCAACGTTAGCACCGGTTTTTAACGTGGCTGCAAGGCCTGTATCTTCATTCGTTGCGACAACGAATCAAGGTCAGGCTGTTGTTTGCAATGGTTTATCAACTTTGGCTGTGAATACAAGCAGTACACCAGTAGGGGCGACGATGGCAAAGAAGTCAACCATGGTGCCAAGCGTGAGTTCCGGCGGTAATGGTAGCTGTAGCACTGTGGGTAAGGTTCAGATGCTTAGGGATTTTTCATTGGAGATTTATGATAAGCAAGAATTGCAGTTCATGGGGCGTTCAGGGAATCATCAGCAGATGCAAGCTGCTTCTAAGCAATAAAAGGTTCTGTTAATTATCTGTAATCTGTCTTTTTCAAAGTAATAGTTAAGGAATGGTTTTTGTGAGAATTAGTTCATCTAGCAAGTTGCAAACTGCAAAGTTTACAGTTCTTCCTGAACATCATTTCTTCACGCTTCTCCAGGTTTAAGAAATGGGTATGGACATTTGTAACTTATAAATGTATCAAAATTTCTTAATTTTATGTTGTATTTGTCATCAGATGAATTCACCGATATGAAATTATATTTCAAATATTCTAATTTCCAACAACACAATACTTGTTTAAAATTTAAAATTTTCAATACTAAAAATATTTGCAAATTTAAGAGATGACATGCATAGAACAAATTGAAATGTAGATGCTAAATAGTTGACAACATCCACACGTGTAAGGAGGGGTCGAGGGCCAATTCCCGTCGGAGTGCTAGGCGGAGTCGGTCTAGTACTGGTGGTGGGTTCACCTTCTCCACTCAGGGGGTCCATCTCCGCAGATTCCTCCATGCTTCATATCAATCACCTACCAACTTTCACCCCTTTCCTCCACTGAAGTTTCAAAAACGTCTACGTGTTAGCTGTGCATTTGGGTGCGCATGAACCGGGGACTTCGTTCTTCTCTTGATAATTGCGGGGTCCAAATTGCACTTCAAAATTTGGATGGAGTTCTATTTCACTTCACTTCATTCTCTATTCACTTCACTTCATTCTCTAACTCTCTCGGCTTGGTGGGATTGGGGTTTGGTTTGGTTTGGTTTTGATTCAAAATCAAAAGGGGTCCATCGAAAAAGGCTGGGGGCAGGCTCACCTTGTTTCTCTTAGCTGCTTTTCGGTGGACTCATGGTCTCCGGAAGGTAGCATTGGTCCTTTTTTTTTTTATTGGGGACATGGTGGCCCACCTCCATAAAAGAAAAAAAAACCAACAATGTGGCCATGAATCCTGGCCGTCAATTGTTGGTTTCTTGGTGGGCCTTTTCTTGACCAATATTAAGCCTTTGTTGGCTAGTTTCCTATCAATTATCATCTCATTTTTCATCCAAGACAAAAAAAAAAAAATCTACCACTTTACAAAAATTATCTCACATACTATAGATATTATTTACCTATTAGGATTATAATTTGCAAATACTAATTTGATTTTTAGTCTATTAACTATTAAATTGCATTAAAATGACTTATTATTACATGTAAGACTTGAACCATATGTCAAAAAAAATTTAAAAACCCATTGAAAATATTGTTTCATTTATACAAAAAAGTGATCTTAATCTTAAATTCAACAAAATCTTTAATCAATAAACTCGTCTTTTTTACTCGATTACGCTCTGCTTAATAAAGAGGATGGAAAAAGAAAATGATAAAAACAAATTATCAATGTAGTAATCAAGATTTTTGTCTAAATTATATCACTAATGTTTATATCTCTCTAAGGGAGAAAGTAATTGCCACCTTTTATTTTGTCTTATTTGAAAAAGGATTTTTGTTATTGACTATTGTTATTGGAAACTTGAGAGTCAAAACTATATGACAGACGTGGGCCCAAAATTTCCATTTATGGGCCCATTACAACAAAAATGGACCCCAAATGGTTGGGCTGTCGGGGTCACTCTCTCGCTCTACATGTTCAGCTACAATTTTATTTTTTTTTATTACTTGTACTTTTTAACATATCCTAATCTAACATGAGAAAGAAAAAAAAAATTAAAATGTCATAATCCCCACAGAAGACAAAACATATATATTTTTTTCCTACAAATTTCAAAATTATGAACTTTGATTAACTTGTAGAAACATACAAACCATGAAAAGGAATTTAAACATGATAAACCATTGTGGTATTATTAAAAAAAATGTGGGTCAAATGTTTATTTATTTCTTTATTTATTTTTCTTACTCGTTGTTTCAGTCATTGAGAGGAAATTATAGTATTTTGAAGTGGGCCAAATCTTGGGAACCATAGGCCTAAAGCATGGGATGAGGTGGGATAGCCATGAAAGGTTGAGTGGAAGCTGCACAAATTCAGCATTTCTTTCACATTTGCTATGCTTGTTAGTGGGCTCAACTCTATAAATTGGAGTTATTGCGAGTAATGAATCCATTTTCTTAAGGCAATGCTTGGCTAAAAAGGGACGAGAAGGTAAAAATATATAACAAAGATAGTAAATGTAAAACAATAATGAAGAAAAATTAGAAAGAAATTTGTCTATTTTTTTTTATCAAGGGGTACAAATTTGAGAAGAAAAATGAAAAATATATGTATTACTTTAATCATTTCATCCTTAAACAAAAAAGAAGCAGAGATTATCAAAATTATAGTATTTGACTTACATCCCTTCATTTTCTATATTCTCATATAGACAATTGGATTTTAATTTTTATGAACCAACCAAAAAAACTCTCTTATTAGTATTAATTAAATAATATTTTAAATCAAGTCTAATTTCAAAATTTATATCCAAAATACGACCCGAATCGAAATATTTTGTTGGACAGAGAAAATTTCTCAAATTTATTTGTTCAATATTGGAGAAAAAATAAATTCTTCCTTTGTTTCCATCCATCCTTTAAGAGGCAAAGCATTTTAATATCCTTCATTTTTTTTTTCTCCACACTTGCCCAGCAAAACCCTAGCTATATTATCGCTTGACATCCTCCGAGTCCAGAAAGAACATATCAGGAGATACCAAAATATAAACAAGGAAGATGAACATTCTTTGTCAAACTAAATTATAATCATGTTAAAAATAATTGGATGACCATTTTCTGTAACTTTATGGGAGACAGTAACCAAACATTAACGACCAAAACAAAATCTGACTGCTCATTTTTACTGATATATGATCAGTTTCTGTGCATTGCTGTAGATGCAATTTTGTTATAATAATGTCCTTTAGCCTTTAGGCAACAATGTTCATAAAATCAGAAGCAACAAAGTCTAGCCAGTGGGCTGCTGCCAGTTAAGCTAACAAATAAGTTATCATCGGACAAAACAATTAATCAAAATTAGCCCCTATAAAAATACCTTTAGAACTTTATTACCTGTTTCAACAAGGTTATTTAAGCTATTTTTTTCACTGAAGTTTAGTATCAATGGCGAAGAAAGGGCTGATTTTAGCTCCTTTACTCGCCAATCATTGCGACACTCCTGTTGAATTCCCATGCACCCGATGCCAATGAGAGGAAGGTGATTAGACGTTTTTGCTTGCTAGCTATAATTTTGTTTTGTATGTTTGAACTGCTTTTATGGGTAGGTTTTGATCGCTTGAGCATATTCTGTTTTTCTTGTTCTATTATAAAAGAAAATGTTTTCTCAAAATGATTATAACATAACGCTTTGATCATTTAACCGGATTTTATTTTTTGTATATTTATTTAAAATATATTTATTGAGTCACATATTTAATAATTTTTTTATTTTTTATTATCATAAATATTTAGTTTTATTTAAAAAATTTTGTATATTTATTATTTGATAATTTTTTTGATATTTCGGAGGGTTTTTCAATGTATATATTTGACGTGTTTTATATTTTCTGCACTAGTGTTTATTATTAGCTTGTGTTAATTTTGCTGTCTGTTGTCTATGGATTTATAGTGATATTATTGCTTTTGTGTTACTCTGTTTGTACGCCCCAACATGTAGTCATGTACCGGCTTGGGAACCTTTTGTTTTTTCTTTTTAGTAGTGGCTGTAGAAGATGGCCAACCAATTTACGATGTCTTTAGCAGGACAGTAACCAATGTTGGTTCTCCAAACTCAAATTATATGCACTGCCTTGATGTCCCCCACCTTTATTGTGGAGCCCCAAGTTCGTCATTCTCGGCTTTGGGTGAGAACAAATCCTTCGTCTTGAAGGTCACCGGCCCAAGGATTTGGTAGCAACAGATCACTTCTGGTAACATAATATGGACAGATTCAGACTATAAAGAAGTCCAGTTGTGGTCTATAATGTTCTTTCTAGTCCTTATTCTCCTTAAATCAACATTTTTACTCATTTCACACAATTCCTACATTTTTCTTATTTTCTAAATACCTTTCATACCATTTTTCCTCTTTCCTTTTTCATTTGAGATTGTTTGTAGAATCATAGGTTTTAAATTTACATTTCAGAAAACTTATAAAAAATTTTTAAAAATATAAATTCAAAAAAAAATCCGAAAACTTTTAAAAATATAAATAAAGACTTTGAAAATGTTAATTCTAAAATTTTTAAAACATTCGAAAATGTAAATAAAAAGACATAAAGAGAAGAATTAAAAATTAGTATATGAAAGATTGAAAGATAATTTATCAAAGGTTTAAGTTATTTTATTAGGGATTTTTTTTTTAAAGTTGTGGAAAGAATTTTTGGGTGTAAATAGAAGCTCTCATTTTTATCAAATTCCTGAAATTTCGTACTTGTACAGTTTGATTCATGCATGATGTGTGGAGTGTTTTTATTGGAAATGAAGCGTAGAATCTCTTATTAGTATATAGTTTTAAATAAAAATAAAAAGCTATAATGCTTAAAAGCCCGTCTAGCTCAGTCGGTAGAGCGCAAGGCTCTTAACCTTGTGGTCGTGGGTTCGAGCCCCACGGTGGGCGCTATAATATCTTTTTTTTCATTTTGCTGGTTTAACCGACGTCGTTTTGTGTACATAAAAATGTATTCCCTTCCCTCTGTCACCAATCCTAAAAACTCTGGTTAAAACCCTAATCCTCAAAGCGAAAACCCCCAAAACCAATCAAAGCCAAAGAATAAAGAAAAGAAAACCAAAACTTGAACGAAGATGCCGAACCTTGAATGTCGTATGTACGAAGCGAAGTATCCAGAGGTGGACATGGCGGTAATGATACAAGTGAAGAACATCGCTGATATGGGTGCGTACGTGTCACTCCTAGAATACAACAACATCGAAGGCATGATCCTGTTCTCGGAACTTTCCCGCCGTCGGATTCGTAGCGTCAGCAGTCTAATCAAGGTGGGTCGAACCGAGCCCGTGATGGTCCTCCGTGTCGATAAGGAAAAGGGTTACATCGATTTGAGTAAGAGGAGAGTTAGCGAAGAAGATATTCAGGCTTGTGAAGAAAGGTATAATAAGAGTAAGCTTGTTCACTCTATTATGCGACATGTTGCCCAGACTTTGGATATCGACTTGGAGGTAATTTCGGTTATTTTTCTTCTTTTTTTTTCTTAATTTTATTTTTAAAATTGAGGGATTGTTTTGATTGCTATATTTGATTTATGGGACTTTTAGTTCTGTTAATTTGGATGTGAGGAAATGTTTTTAGCCATGCTTTATGGGTAGTGATTTGGAAGTGAATTTGGGTTTTTTTTTTTTTTTGGTTGATTGAGGGGATTTTGACAACTGCATTATGGGTTTTTGGTTTGAAATTTTGGTTCAGAGGATTTGATGTCAAGTGAGAATAAGGGGATTCCTGCTAATTGGTCAGGAATTAATGCTTATGAAGAGAATGCGTGTGTTTTTATAACAGAAATACAATAACCAAACCGAATTGAATGATTTCCTTGATGTAGTATTACTCTAGAAGTGGTAATTTTTGGTGACTTTCAGATAGGGTTTTAGCTAACTTTCCTAGAAAAATATGGAAAGTTGTCTTATGCCTTGGAAGAAAACCTGTTTTAATAGAGTGGGAATTCAAGGATTAAGATGAAAATTACTGTGCATGCGAGGTAGAGTCAAATAAGGAGAAATGAGCATACTGTATGCATAATCAAATTATCTATGGATAGCCTGTGTTACATGTATTTTTTATCATCAGCATGCAACTGACTAGTGCTAATTATTTGTGACAGGAATTGTACATTAAAATTGGCTGGCCTCTATACCGGAAATATGGTCATGGTTTTGAGGTAGGAAGTTATGCGTTCTTTTGAAGTTTCACTTTATCTCCACATATTGTTATCATGGTCCTTCATTTTTATGTTTGCAGGCTTTCAAAATCATTGTGACTGATCCTGATTCTGTCTTGAACACGCTCACGTATGAAGTCAAAAAACCTGGTCCAGATGGACAGGAGGTAAAATTTGAATTGTGAGATGCATGAAACATTATGATTCTTCTGCTGGTTTAAGTCTCTAACCATTTCAATCTTTAGGTGACTGAGGTGGTTCCTGCCGTGACTGAGGAAGTCAAAGATGCTTTGATAAAAAACATTAGGAGAAGAATGACTCCCCAACCTCTGAAGATTCGGGCTGATATTGAAATGAAATGTTTCCAGTTTGATGGTGTTCTTCATATCAAGGTCTTATTGCACAAACCCTCTCTCTCTCTGCTTTCTTTGTTGTTTCACTGATATTTGTTTTTGAATTTGCAGGAGGCCATGCGTAAAGCTGAGGCTGCCGGGAATGATGATTGTCCTGTTAAAATCAAGCTTGTTGCTCCTCCACTTTATGTTCTTACCACTCAAACTCTTGACAAGGTTAAGCTTAATGTCTCTTTTCAATTAATCTGCAATGAATTTTTCCTTCTAACATGCCTCTGAAGTTTCGATTCACGTCTTTTAGTTCTGAAAGCATTTACATGAACTTTCACACTATGTTTTATGAAATGTTCTTTACTCAATACTGTTAATCCCCGTCTAGTATTCTTTTCCCTGCTGGAGTCATCATTTGCATGGTTGACATCATATCCATATGTTGATATTGCCATTTGCATGTCTATTTAAGAATGTCTTCTAAATCATGTTATTCCTTTTTGTGTTGGTCAGGAGCAAGGTGTAGCAACTCTCAATAAGGCAATTGCAGCTTGCACTGGAACAATTGAGCATCACAAGGGTAAACTTGCTGTCAAGGAGCATCCTAGAGCGGTGAATGTCCATCTTTTTTTTGTTCAGATTTAGTTGTTTTCTGTTTTAACTGTCCAATTGGCCTTTATTCCAGTCTTAATGTCCTTGCTATGGAGATATTCAAGCATGGTTTTATTCTTGGCATATCAATTGGTTGTTTGATTTGAAAATTTTGATCTTTCCCGAGTCTCACATGCTGCATTGATTTAGGTGAGTGAACGGGATGATAAATTGCTTGCTGAGCACATGGCAAAGTTACGTAATGATAATGAAGAGGTCAGTGGTGATGAAGATAGTGAAGAAGAGGAAGACACAGGCATGGGAGAAGTTGATGTCGAGAACACGGGTCACGGAATAATGGAATGAGGTTACTGCATACATGAATTTGATTGTTATCATTTTTTTAAAAAAAAATTATTGATTTCCCCCCTTTTCTGGTTCTATTTTTTCCGGGCAGTTCAAAACCTCGAGGTATTGTCTTGTTGAGTTGTTTTGCTAATTTATGATATCTTTAAGCAAGTTCAATGGAGTGTATAGACGGATGGCCTATTGATCCAAGTTTTCAAAATATTGAAGCTGTTCTTGTTGAGTACTTCCCCTCCCTGTGTGAGTTTCTTGGTTTGGCTCTATGATTTCTAAGAGATTGCATTCAATTGCACGCTATTAATCCTATGATGGTAGTATCCCATATTATGGGTGACTTTCTACAAACCATTGGTAAGCAATGTTGTTGGAAAGAAAATTACATGGATGAATTACCTAGTGTAAATGAATTAGAAACAAGTTAGGGGGTGATTGTAAACTCCTGGCTATCAAATCTTATTATCTTACAGTAGACTGCTTGAAACAGACATCCCTTTTTAGCTGTTGGAATTTTTTTTACCTCCTACTACATTGGTAAACTAGGAGTCTAGGTCCTAAACTTGCATTGTTCTTTTTTTTTTTTTTATAAAAATATTGACAAATGTGTTTCTTTAGAAACAATGTAGGAGCTTGAAATGTTTAACTTCTATATTTGATGCGTTACATGATATATTTCCTTTCCAAAATGTTTAATTTCGAAAATCTCTACAATCAAAAAGTTGTGTTTTATTAAATGAGAAAGAAAAAAATCTAGCAACTTAGATTTGATCAACCAATAAACTCAAAGTATATTTAAAAATAGAAAGACCATTTTCAAATGATTTATTCAAAAGTTAATATGAATACAACATTCAACTACAAATACCAGCAATCCTTCGTGTCATGTGGGAATTGGTGCCTATATCAGAGATTATCACATTCAATAACATGAGCCAAATAGAAAAAGGAAAATCAAAGAATCCATACCTAAAGTTTTCAAGCTCCACTAGTCTCATGGTTTGACAAACCTTAAGAGGCACTTCCTCACCAGACAAGACCTCAGGGATTCCTGCTTCAGTTTTAACTGGGATCATCAAGCTCCAACAGTCTTCTTGTTTGGCTCAAATACATACTTGATAAGAGACTCCTTGATGGACAGGAGTTCAGGGAATTCCTTCTTCAATTTGTTTGCATCAAGTTCATTATTGCTCCTCGGAGCAACTATAACCTTAGCCTGGTCCTCAAGATTGAAGTTCACCCAGGTGAAGTTGGAATCGATGTAGTCGCGGTACATTTCTAAAATCTCATTGTGACTGACCACTCCAGGGTTTGTAAAGTTCCAAATTCCAGTAAGGTTTCTCTTGGCCATCTCAATGGAAATCGGAAGAAGTTCATCCAGGATCGTCATCGAGTTGGGAATGTTGACCACCTTTTCATAACGAGTGATTTTCGTGATGAAATTTCGAGGATTGGCTAGATCCGATGAAATAGGCATCCTAACGCGCAATGTACAAACATTCTCATAATTCTTGAGCAACTCCTCCACCTTTTCAATCATTTGCAAAGATTCATCATTAGAACAACAGCACAATTCAGATCTAGATGAACTAAACAACAGCAAGAGAAAGGCAAAGCAGAATCAGGACCAATCCCCTATACTAGATTTCCAATCAATATTCCTTTCTAAATCCTAGAATTTCCAGCCAAACCAAAGTGTGATCAATGCCAACAGATTAGAACTTTCAGTAAAGATTAGAACCAATAAAAAAAAAAAAAGAACTTTCTTGCAATAAAGATAAGAACTTTCAATAAAGATTAGACCTTTCTTGCATATAAACCAATAAAAAAAAGACAACCAAGTTCATAAATCTATCTAACATAAAAAACCCAACAACATTTCCTTGAAATCACAAGATCTGATCTGAACAGCATTAGCATTAACAAATAAAATACGAACACATAATTTCCAACATTAAAAATCTATGCTGCAAAACAGATCAAACAAACAAACAATCAGATGTAATAACGTGTTGTTTCCAACATTAAAAACCATGTTGCAAAACAGATCAAACAAACAAATAATCAGATCTAATAACATTAACATAACTCGCAAATTTAAAGGGAAAAAGTATTATTCTTTTGTTGGTTGCTTACCATAGCCTTGGTCTTAGAATAAAAGGAACCAGTGAAATTCGGATAATCCTCTTCCTTGAACCCGATACCCGATTCGATCGGATGAGCCGCATCGTACTCAAAGATACAACCCGTAGCATAATTAATCAAGATAAGGCCTTTGTCTCTGCACACGTCAGCAAGGGTAAGAGTCCCGACCACATTGGTTCTGATGGTCTCGACCTTATGGGATTCGCACCAGTCGACATTCGGACGCCCAGTGACTCCGGCGGCATTGAACACATGGGTTGGTTTCACGGCGGCTATGTCGGACTCGAGGGACAGCCGGTTCTCGAGCCGGCCTGACCCGTACTCGAAGTCGATTCCCTTGGACTCGCAGAGTTTGCCTAATAAACCGCCGATCCAACCGGATCTACCGTATATCAGAAACCTCAATGGTTTCTCCGATGACCCATTTGCTGGTAACCCCATATTTATTTATTTATTTATTTTTTTGAAAGCAAAGTGCAAATTTCAGGGTTAGATTGTTACTGATTGAATGCTTCATTGATATATATAGACAAAAAATGAGGTCATTATTTTTCTAATTTTTGCCGTTGTTTTATTTATTTATTTATTTTACATACAAAAGATTCGGGATTGAACAGAGACGAGTCGGTGAGGAAAAGGAAATAGTAGTCAGAGGTTAGGCTCATGATTGATTCATGGGCTTGAAAATCATTAGTACGTGGAAAGAAGTACGGAACATCATACACCATGAACCATAATCCATGATGATCTCCTGGATATTGTGATCGTGAACTGTTGATCTCTCGGGGGAGTATACGAGCTTACCGTAGCTTCATAACACTGGAATACCACCCCTGTCTTAGATTCTTCAGTCTTGAATCTTGACTTTGGATGGGATATTTGGATCAGAGGACAGAGTTCCATTTTTGTCCAAAAGAGTGGGTGGTTCGAGGGAGATCACTTTACCCTTGTTCATGAACGGCAGTTCAGTTGGGACCCGCACCTGCTTTTCTAATATGCTAAGGCACCGGATCTTAAATTCTTTGTACCAGGGATAATTCTTTGTTAAAAAAATCTTGAATTATAATTAAAAGATTATTTAAAATTTTATTTTTGATTATAATTAATCAAAATTTGTTAATATTTAAAATGAATAAAATTTTTATAAAAATAAAAATTAACACAATTAATTTTTTATCAGTTAAGATAAAATTTTATATAATATCAATAAAATAAATAAAAATTTATATATAAAAAATTAAATAAAAAAATATATTTTTTTAAAATTTTCTCTCCTTCTTTGTCTTTACAATATTATTCAATTGTGAGGGATTTAAGAATTAATTAATTAAATTTTGTAGTATGATTAGATTTTATTCATTTAAGAGTTTAATTAAATCAAAAAATTAATTAAAAACTTTATTCATTATAATAAAAAAATTAAAAATTTAAATGATTATTGAATTATAATTCAAGATTCTTTAACCTTAATTGTTATAATCAAATCTTTTTTTAAAGTATAAAATTTTATCATTTTAGCTTATTCTAAAATTTTATTAAGTTAACTTGAAATCGATTCATTTTTTATATGAAATTTAACTTAATCAATTTACACAATCATATTAAGTGATATTTAATAAATTTATAATTTAATTAATATTTTATTACACTATTTAAACCTTTAAAAATAATATTAATAAATTTATTTAAAATTAATTAGTTATAATTAAAACTTCGCTCTTTTTTACCGCCTCGCTCTTCATTTGCAATTTTTCTCTTTTCTCTGACAGTTTTATTGATTTTATCTCAAATGCTTGTGCTGTGGTTACTTAATGGGATATGACGATCTTTTCTTTTTGCAGGTTGATCATCATGATCCTGCGAGCATTTCTTTGCTTAAGTTTCATGCACTGTGAGAGTCGAATGAATAATCATCATCACTCTCTGTTGGTTTTCTCCACAGCGAGGTCACCCACACTGTACAAACAGTTAAGGAAAGCACAAATCTAAGGCTCTGAAGAAGAAAAGAAAAATAGCAGAGATTAGATTCCTCCCTCCGATCCACCAAAGGAAAGTCCAAAAACAACAATCACATTTTTATCGTTTTATATTTATTTCAATCAGACCGGCGTCAAAACAAATCCATCTCTCTCAATTTCTCACAAAAGGAAAGCAAGATATTTGAAAATTTTGAAATGAAGTGAAAAATTTGAGGGAGATGAAACAAAAAGAAAAAAGATTATCTTTCGACGATTGAAAAAGAACTTTTCTTTTTGCGAAAGGTGATAATGAAAATCAACAGAAATGTCCGTTGTGACGATTGAAGAGGGAAGCGATAAAAAAAAAAAAGCAAAGTTTTAATTATAATTAATTAATTCAAAATAAATTTATTAATATTTATTTTGAAAGATTTGAAATGTTTTCATTAACGAAATATCTTTAAATTATTAATTGATAGTATATAAGAGTGATACATTATTAATGTATAAAATATTAATTTTTTTATAATTTATATCTCAACACATATTTTTTTTCTTATATTAAAATTATAATCTCATTTATATTAAAACTATTAGTTAATTATTATTTTTTTTACCCCATTTGCATTAAAAAATCAATTAATTTTTTGTTTTATGTTAAACGATAAAAGATTATCAGACTTCGTCGGATACCTTCTTCATATTTTTTAATATAATAATTTATTCAAAATTTGATTACTTTATGAATGCATTGTTTTTTAAAAGAAATTCCTAAATGCATTTATAAAAAGCAACGGAACTTTTACTATAAACAACGATAATCACTCGACTAATAGCCACAGAATGGTATCATCTCTAATATCGAGAAATCAGGGAGCATTAATCAAAATTCAAGGCCAAAGCATAAGAACTGACTTGTTCAACATCAACATAAATCCGCTTGTCACCACTCCCTTTGATAACATATTCACAAGTGATTTTAGATTGTGAGATTTTCTTGAATGGCTGTAAATGAACCCACAATTTTTCCACCCACATCGGGGAATGTTTCACAGCCAGGAAGGGCCTTCACTTTCCCCATCCGATCAACTTCCACCGGATACTTCAGAAGGTGACCCTTCATTTCTGTCACCTCATCAGCTATGTATTGTTTCCAGTTCCGCTCACCCAAAGACCTGACTCGTCTCACACATTCCAGACTCTCTGGTTGCTTAAAACTTTCTTCAAGGGCTCCAATATGCTCTGCCCATAGTGACATCCTATATCCGTAAACCTGCAGTCATTGAGTTTTGCTCTGATTAAGCAAACAGGGACCATAATTATGAGCCACACCACTATAGAATCTTTAGTTAATTTGATATGCTTATTATTTTTTGCACAGCTTCTGTTTACTCATGTGAACTTCCATGGGAAAACGTGGCCTCCACAAATCAGAGCTTTCAAGTTTAATGAGCATGTGCACACGTGAATTTCTTCAAATGTACAAGTCTGACATTGAAATTTCAATCCATCCTATGGTGACTTATAAGCTTAAAAAAATTAATGCAAAATCAGTACACGCTTGATTATGAAACCTGACTAGAAATGTTAAGATATGTATGGAAATAGACTGCCAACCTAACAATGAGATAAACGCATTAAAATGTATCATCTCAAGCTTACCTGGCCATGCGGCTTGTATGGTTTGCTTGAGCAGGTACGGTGAGGCTGATAAGCACCCATTGCTATTTCAGTGTCTCTAGTGCCTTCCATCGAGCGCTGGTTGATATTAGCAGATCCTATTATGACATAGTCATCATCCACTATCATACCTTTAGAATGGATGTAAATCATAAAGCGTCGATTCTTCTGAGCAAGTGCCTGCATTACCAACATTTGGTACATTTTCTTATGGATGAGCAGGCTGGAAGATTAAAGAGAAAGATGAAAGGTCTATTTAGGTAGGAAAGGGAGGTACCTGAGGAGTATTTGATGCAGTGGAACCTTTGGCATCCAAAGAGTCTCCTCCATGTATAGCCTCTCGATTGCCAAGGCAGAAGAAATTTAAAAAATCTTGAGGCTCATATTTATTCTCAAGTCCAACTTCCACCAATGCCTTGTAAATTATGTCATACATCATTTGCATTGTTTTATGCTGCGGAAATCAACAATTATACTCAGTGAAGAAGTTTAACATTCAGCAGAATGTCTTAAAAGACTTTTAAATTGAAACACACAATCAGTTTAGGAGCATTCTGCAGAACTTGAAATGAATATTACCACCTGAAATGCCATCTAGCATGCAAATAATTGATGCTTAAGACATAGAAGTACTTTTCTAAATGTAATTGGAGCCTACCTGCCAAAAGAGCATCCTTTGGATAGGGGTGCTTGTTGTAACTCCTTCTGGCCACATTGGGATAAGAATATATGCAGAAAACCTCTCATTTGATCTGATTTTGTTGGCAATTTTGAGAGCAATTTCAATTGGTATTAAATTATTTGCACCTGTAAGTAAATGGCATGATTACAACCTTATATATATTCAAGTCTGTCCTCAAAATCATTATGAACGGGAGAAATGTAGGATTACTCAGTCCATCTGTTAGATGATGGAAGTTTTCAAATTTCAATGCTTCCTCTCAAAAGAGATCATATGAAAGATATGACAAGTTGAATGATATGGAATACTGTCTCCATGTTCTCGTGAACATCTCAAGAAGGAAAGAAATATCAAAATTTCCAGTTTGATAATTTAGTTGAAAGCTAATTTTACATAATTATTTTATCTCCATTCCTTACCTAAATCTTTGTGAGAATCCCAATTAAATGATGATCCAAGAAAGTACTGATTCTCAATGTAGATGAAGCGTTGAGCAGATCGGATTGCATTGACATATGCAGTGTGTATGCTCATGTCTATGAGGACATTCTTCCCACACACCAAGTTCTGGACAAAATATAAACATAAAAGCTGGTTTAAACTTGATCAATCATTCTAGGGTAAGAACAGCTAAAATCAATAGGTTTCTCTCACCATTCTTATGGCATCTTTTGGATCGTCAGGAAAACCTTTCACAGAATTGGAATCAATTGAACGGAAAACCTTTGAAGGTAGGAATTTAGAGGAACAGGAAAAAAGAATTAGGAAATAACAAAAACAGGAAACAAGAAAAGTAGTAATGAAATACTAAACACCAATAGCTCATTAACATCTAAAATACCTGAACATGCCAAGTTTCTGGATCATCATTGCTCAAAGAAGGAATTTCTGTCATGCCAACAATTTCAGGAATCCTTTCAATCTTCAGTAACGCATCATCATGTGAAGTCCTTAATTTTTGAAGCCCATGGGGTTTTGAGGCCTTTAACCAACGCTCCTCAAAATTGGTGAGTATGTCATAAGCAGCTGGACCATCAATTCGACAATGCAAATCATGCCATGGTTGTCTTGGACAACCACCATCAGTTTCCTACACAGGAAGAAAGACTAGTGCTTGTAAAAAATTTAACTAATGTGGTAGATGATTTCTCAACACAACACCAGAGTCCAGAGCCAGTAATTCCTTCTAAAAAATTCCACTTCATATCAAATACTATATGAATCATAATCGATTAGTAGTATCTTTTTTATTTAGTAATGGATTAGAATTAAAATGGTCATTGTGCAACTGATGACATGCATCACTTGTACATGGTTGCATCAACCAAGCAGATAGGGTTCCCATGAGTGCTTTTTGGTTACACCCAGAGAAATCATATTGGACACATATGCTTCCTCTCAAATATTTCATAGAGTGGCCTAAAAAATCCCAAAAGAAAATAAAACAACTGAGAGAAGTGAGGAAAAGTGAATAAATGGTTACCGTGAGGGAAGGGTTGTGGTAGTCATCTTTGTGCACTGTTTGTAGTGTTCTGAAAAGTTGATGGTTTGGAGTATCATACCGACCCTTGCACAAATCTAGACCTCCAACAAACGCTGTGATCTTTCTCTTGTTGTTACCGGCATCAGCATCAACAATCACAGTTTTCTGATGATGGGTATAGATTGTTCCAGTTTCCTGGTAAGCAAAGGTCAAATGAGAACAAAGTCCTGATTCAGAGCATTACAAAATGTAAATAGTATCTAAGTGACATGTTCCCTCATCAAAATGTCAATAACAAGCCTAATCAAAATATCAATAACATTTTTTTTACAAAGTAAATTAATTCCTGATACTCTAGAACTAACAGCACTTGGACCATAGACATATTTCTAGTAACTGATTATACCCAACCTGCTTTTTTACCCAGCTTCCTTTTCCAGCAGATCGAGGGCAAAGTAACACTTGCACTGAAGAGTGCTTGAAAAAACGGCGAGTCTCTTCATCATTTGTGTTCATGATTCCTTCCTGCATATCATAGAAGCCAGTCTGTGACTCGTTCAAGTTAAAAGAAGACTAATTGCTAATTTAAGAAGGATAAAACTATTGAATTGATTGTTGAATGACATGTAGTATCAATATTCCTTAATTACTCAAAGCACAGATTCTAAAAGGTAGAAAAAATGATCCTCTAACCTACAAAGCCTTATCAAAGCTAGTTCAAGCACAGCCACATTAATCATATCACACTTTACAAATACACGGAAGAAGAGGATGCTAATACAGATAAAATTAGTACAAATTCTAAGAGAGTATATTTTGATATTGATATTGAATAATGCTAAATTCCATGATGACGACTGCATCACAGTTAGTTTCTGGTGCCACCACATAGCAGTACATGGTTCAAGTCTTATTAGTTATACTTGAAAACTCATCAAATCATACCATACTACAGGGCTTCCAAGACATACAAGTGGACCAGTGATGCATACTATTTTTGCCCCTTTATAGGGAAAGGGCAAAGATCAAACCTGCAACCACGTTGCTGTTGGCTCTCCAACATTGTCTCACTCCTTTATGATACTTTTAGTCTTTAAACATCACTGCTGCATATAAGATATCTTACAGTGAGATTATGAAAAGAAAAAGGAGTTTGTTTAGTTGCTCACCGTTTTATATCCTAAAATGCTCCTAGAAGTAGGATCATCCCATACAAGGAGCAGCACCCTCACACCTTCCTGGGATTTAGTTTTGAGAAGATCCCCTAATGTGGCATTTGTTGCCTTATCAGTTTCACGAACAAGTCTGACATTGTGATAGACAGACCACCCTGCGATGTATATCAAACGACGGGCCTGACCTATAGCATTACATATGTCCTGCCAGCAGTTTCCATGCTCATATCGAATATTACCATCAACCTTCAAATTGAGAAGGAAACTATCGTGGACATGAGCATCTTGATACAGAGTAACTTTGCCACCTTTCCTAAGAGGAAAGTATGTACCAGGGACCCCATGATAGTCAGGACCTGAACCTAATCCCTTACAGTAAAGCGCCACTTTCTCAATTGGGGTGTACTGAATTGATAAAGTCAATGCAGCTCCAGGCTTGCAAGGCTTTCCATTTGCATCAAGGATAGGGAAGGTTCCCTCAACTTTTGTGCCAGAGCATAATTGCTTAACCGAAATACCAACAGCTCCCATGATCTGTGAGCCCACAACATCACTGTCTTTGACAACAAAGTGGACTTCTGAGGCATAATGTGCAATAGGAACGTTAAAATGCTGCATCCAAACCGGGTTCTCGGAATTACTAATAACAAAAGTCCTCCCAATTACAGCACCAGCCACAGAGACTGTAACATAAGGATCACTGGTTATCTTATGAGGCATATGGTCTTCAGTTTTGCTGCCAACTTTCAAATTAAACATTCCAAATACGTCGCCTAACTTCTTGTGGAACAAATCCATGTTAGGAAGGTTTTTAGCCTCCTTGACCCAAATATCTAAATTGCCATGCAACAGCAAAACCTCCAAGGACTCTTTACTTGTCTTAAATGGCAGAACTTGTTGGCCCTGACCATGGCTTGAGCCTCCGAAGGACAGCGTTTCATGGAAAAATTTAGCCATTCCAAAATTAAACAAGAACGGATTATTTGGGTTGAGGCACTAAATTGAATGAATATCAAGGCAAACTTGGAGCTTGAAACTGCCAGAGGAACAATGAAGAATATAATCCCAGTTCAAAATCTGATCAATATCCAAAACATCTGCAGAAACAAAACTGGCACTCGAAAAAATTGGGGGTAGGAGAAGAAGAAAAAGCTGGGTCTTCAAGGAGGTTTGAGGGTATATTTATGAAAGAGAAAAACCAAGAGTTGAATTGGTAAAAGAAAGTGGGAGGCACAGACGAAGAAGATATGCTTTGAAAAAGCACGTAATCCAGATGATAAGTACGAAATATAATAAACAAACAAGAAATTGAACGGCACATGTGAATTATGAGTTGAACTTGGATGAAGAAGAAGAAGAAAATTCACAACTACCCAATAAAAAATAGTTAAAAGGGGACCCATTTATATTTCTAGAAAAGGATTATTCGCAGGCAAACACTGTTCTAAGACTACAGAGATGGAGATTCCAATGCTTGTGAAGCTGTATGCAGGTCAAAGCCGAAGAAAGAAGAAACTTTGAAGAGAAATTTTAGTCGAGGTTTTGCTTAGAAAGTTCCTTTTCGTGTCCGGATTTTGACAAGTACTTATTACACCCGTAATCATTACTTGTTTTTTTGTTCACATTGTATGGATGGTTTGCTTCGTCAAGAGAAAGCCGGCCTTTTGTCTTGCTTGAATGACAGCAGCCAGCCACGACATGACATGGGCCAACAAAATGTCAACTAGAGCATTTACGGTCATTTATAGACACGATCTGTTCTCTTTCCATTGGGAGGAGAAAAAGAATTGGAGGAACAAGAAGAAATTAAAATAGAAATATAAATCCAATTTCCCAATTAACCAGTGAATTTTTTTTTGAATAATTAAGCCAATTGAAACGTCTTATGGTAATTGGCTTTTTCTCAACTAGAAAGCTGATGAATTCCACTGTTTGGGTAGCAGTTCTTCAATTGCTAATCAAGGTCAATGTACTTGATATCCTGGACTTCTTCTTAGCTATCTCAAGAACCAAACAAAAGAACTCTTGATATTAGTGTCTCTAATAGCTGATTCGTAATGTTTGCATGCTGCAATAATTGTATTTGTCAGATGGCTAAGTTAGAATTCTGAAACTCTTGTACATTGAAAACTAAAATATTTTTAAGCGCAGGACTTCATTACCCGCCTGTTTTAAAATTATCGCGAGGCCTAGAAAAATAAAGGAATATTTTGGATAGCCTATTTTAATAAAGAAAATCAGTTTTGGGGCCCATTCATGCATTGTCTCTAATTCTGAGTCTGGAATTGTGGCAATGACTCGCATTTCAACTAGTAAATTCTCGATTCAGGAATATTAGAAATTAGAGACACCTCAATAAAAAAATATCTGACAGGAAGTTTGTTTATTTTGTTAGAAACTTGAATCTACAAACATGTAAGCCATATAAAACTCATCCTATTACAACCTGTATTTGGTTTTTGAAATCATCCAACTTCCCAGATTCTTTTCAGCACCTTCTCAAAATGTTAGCCCACAGCTATTTACCCCAAGAGGTCACGTAATAGCTATACTAACATCAGCGTGTTGAAACTTTCTTCTTCTGCATTCCTCACGGAATTTATTGTCTACCTTTTCCGCTTGGACTTTAAGGAGGTCACAGATTGAGAGTTGCTATGCCAGTTGCGCTTCCTTTGGTTGATGAACCAGTTGTTGATTTGCTTTAGCTGCAATCCTGTCTCTTCCACAAGTTTGGCCTTGTCATCTTCCTGTAGAGAAATGAAATGAAATTGTAATTACCGATCAGTTAAAGTGGTATGGCTCTTTTGCAACCCAAATTCTGATTGAATATGGCATTTGGTGGAAACAGCTGATCTAATGATCAGTTATATTCCTGGATCATCCAGGACTTGTCCTCTCTGTTGAAATAGATAACTAATTCCAGTGAATGGAATCAAATTAATTTTTCAATAGTATTGGAAGTTGAAGTTGGTTGCTTACAGTTGGATATGGCCACTTTGAATGTTGCTGCCACCAGTTCTTCAGCACTGTAGTTGTGTCACCTGGTAATTTTCCAGCCCTTCTTTTTCGTAGAATTTCCTCCCTCACATCTTCAATTTTTGATTTGAAGCCCTGTACGGACATTACTAAATGTGTTACTGTTTATTTGCTGTGATGATCAAAGTCAAACTATTTTAATCAGTAACTCTGCTGTTTCAAAAACAAATTAAAGCTGCTTAGAATCTTGATCTCAAATGTAGGAATCTGCGTAAAAATACTCATGTTAAAGTCTCCAAATACCCTTTTAATCTGCACAAACTTTTTTAATATTTCAAATGAAACCGAAAAATGCAATATAAAGCCTATAGCAACAATGATTCGAAACAATCACCTGTTTCAGTTCAATCTTCAGCTCCTGCCGAACCCTCTCCATCAAAGACCTTTCAGATTCAGTAGGAAGTAGGGGACCAAAACCCATTAAGTCATGCCCATCAGCACCAGGTTGATCCAAAGAGAAGTTCATTTGCAGCTCATCCTCATCATCTGACATTGTTGCACCTGTACCTTCAGCCAAGGTTACTCCTGAAAAAGGGAAAGGAAATATAGTCAGGAAAAACTCACTAAGCAATCATCATATATAGTTTGCTAGACCAAAGGGCTCCAATGTTTTTGCATAGTTAAGATTTATAGATGATTGATTAATTTGTTTCACATGGGGTGTTTCAACTTTCAACACAATGTCAACAGACGAAGTTGTGTTTCCAAGCATGTTTTGCACTTGAGATCAATGTCGGACTAGAATCCCTTGTTTTTATTTTTCAAGGCAAGCTGATCCTTGGTTTTGTTGGGCTAACCTGTCTTCACCTGGAAGCCCAATAAAATGAATTTTGTTGGGTTGGGCCTGCTTAGATTACTAAAATTTAGATATGTTCCAATGCCATATTATTATTTGGCAAAGAAATTTCAAATATTATGAGGTTGATTTTTGGAATAAAAGGATTTCACAAAATTTTTTACAAATAATTTGTTTGATGTCATAGTTTTTTATGAAATAGAAATAGATTCTATACTATTTTCTAGAATTCATTTATTCCACAAACAAAATTAATCTAAATTTCTTCGTTTCTTAAAGTAAAACATTAGTGAATTTCTTTAAATAAAATTCATCAAATTTTAATAAAAAGGACTCTAAGACAGAAATACAATTTCCAAATCAAAACCCATACTTTGATGAATCATGCATATATATATATATATATATATATATATATATAGATTCAGGTGATTTTAACAAACTTTAATGTTTATATAAATGGGTATTTTTCTGAAGTTATTGCAAGTATTTTTATCACCCTTCAATAACCAATAATTAAATCTTAAGTTAATATATTTCATTTATAATCAATGTTTTATATTATTACATTATCAATCTATTAATATAACATATACATATATATATCATCCATGTCAATAAGAGTATAAAATTTCACTAACCAAATTAAATTATCGCATATCTCATTAAAGTATATTTAAAAAACTAATAAAGTTGTATAAAAAAATAAAACATATGATAATATTCTAATATCGTTGGTAGAATTTAAAAACTCAACTAATCATAAATAAAAAAAATTATATATTTTTTCAAATTATTCACTGCTTTTTTTTTTTATATATAAATAGAGGTAAAAAATTGTAACTACCATTGTGTTTATATTGCACCTTATGAACTTTCAGTCCTGCATTAAAACAAGGACGAGCATCTATAAAAATTGAGGGGACAATTGTCCCACTTCTTAAATGAGGCAAGAAAATATTAGTCCTTTTCTGCTAAACATAACAGCTAACATGATGTCCCTGTTACCATATGATCATGACATATGATAAATTTACACTTTATTAAAATTCATCTTTAATTTATACAAACATGTCATGTTCCCAAACACTCAGGACCACCATGATTGAGCCTTTGCTCTTTTAACCACAATATTCCACAAATTAATTTAATTATATAACACAAATGTTTTAGAATGGCATCTCAAATTTCAGTTTGGCCTTGAAGATTTGAAACATTTTTTAGCATCTCTTTGAAGAAAAGAAAAACCAGAAAACATGATCCACCAAGCATCTAAAGGTGAAAAAAATACTGTATATTTTGGCATATAGATGATGAGTAGTTTTTTAAATCTTTTATTTGGGACCATTGGCTTTCTAATCTGAGCCTCCACTTTTCTCAGCATCCTCCTTTCTTCTCAACTCAATCAACCTCGCTCAAAATTAAAAACTTGCAATGTCCTTGGCATCTTATACAACTAATAATATTTCATGTAATTCATGTTTCGGTTAATTCAGGTTCCGACTATTTTTGGGCTTAGGTCGATTCGAATTCGGATTGTTACGATGCTATTAAGTTGTTAAATATTGGAGTAGCCAAAAGTATTCGAAAGTAGTTCTTATATGTACGTCCTATATTCTGATATGAACACAGCTAGCTTGTTTGTAGCCTGTCATCAAGAACTGAGATTTTAGAATCAACCTTTCCCCGTAGGCCAGCCAATATCTAAGATAAAATGTTATCTCCTTCATTAAAATTGTACACTTTTCAAGCAGAAGCAGGCACAAAACCCAGGAAAACAAACTGTTCAACGCTTTAGACTCCAATTGTCAGAAAGGTGTAAGCAATGCAAGCATGAGTATTAGCTGCCAAACTGTCTTATGATGTTCTGAAAGCTTCCCAAACCCTAAAAGCACCAAGATGCAACTAGCCTACATCTGATCTGACGGAATATATGAAAGACCCAATATCAATATTCCATTAACTTAAGCAAAATTAACTAATGCTGTTTTCATTCTCTCTATTTCTTGTCAATTTTAACAACACAAATCATCGAAGCTAGCTTCATGCCTAGACTCTAGACAGTAGACTATGGTTATATATAGCTTCATATATAATTAAAAAGAAAAAGAGACCAAATGAAAAAAGCGTGTGAAACATTATCTTATTAAATCATTTTTATAGTGAATTCTTATCCATCCATGACCGTGGGAATCTAAAACTTAGATACTTAACAAGATTCATGCACATTTTGTATTTAGAAAACGCAAATTGATGAAAAACTTTGTTAGGAATTAATAAAAGCACTCTTAGAATCCAAATATTCCAAGTCAAAGGGTAAGGGGTGGTGATGGTGGGGGTGAGGGTGCCATCTTCCACCAAACTAACTACCCTGGCAGCCCCCTAACTATAACCTGTAGTATGATTTGTATTTTTTTTATTGGTTAATTGGTCCTACAGCACCAAATTCTTGGTATGGACTCTTAAGCTTGCAAGAAAGCCAAATATCAATCCTTATCCCTCCTGCCTAACTACCAACCGCATAAAAACACCAAAAGAAGAAGAGAAGAAAAATATTATTAATTATCTTTCTAGTATATATTTATACCTAGAAAACAAGATAAGTAGTTGAAAAAAGATTTAATTTTAATTTCTCCTTTCGTCTATGAGTTTATCACATCATTAATTAACCTACTAGTGATAATTATTAGATGAATTATTTGATAATAATATTAGGAGGGAGAGAAGAGAGAGACGGGACAAACCAGTGAGAGCTTGTAAGTTATTTTCTATTTCACGGCAAGCCATGACAGCTTCAACGGCATGGATTCTGACATGTTGTTGAAGCTGTTCTTTGAACGTACACAGCACTATCAAATAATGTGACTGCAGCAAACAAGTTTAAAAAAAAAAACCACCATAAACAACAAAAACATTTTCCCACGTTAAACTCCCCAAAAAAAAGAGACAAAACAAGAAAATCTCAAATCACAAAACAAAACAAAACAAAGAAAGTCTTCAAAAGAATAGGGCGTTCGGGGAGGGGAAATTAATTAGACTTTGAAAAATAATTAAAAAGAAGAAGGAGAAGAAGAACTGACCAAGAAGTTGTCAAGCTCCTGTCTCTCATGGGATGATAAGCAGTGACCGTGTTGGTGATGTTGTGAAGCATATGACCTAAGAAGATTATGAGACTGTTCTAACTGAGCATCGATCAATGGGAACTGATCAATTGGTGTAGCAACACGGAGACAAGAAACATGAGCTGCCAAAAGCTGCTCATAAAGCGGATGAGTAGCTATCTCAGCCTTGAGCTGACGATTCTGGTCACCGGAAACAGACACTTCACCGCTGTTTAACCCTCCAATTGCACCACTCCCACCACTACTCATCATGCCTAACCCTGGTTCTTGCATTTCTTGGAACCACTAACGAGTATAGACCCAAGTATATAATACAAAGTACTAAAGGGAAAGTATATTAAGGACTGAAGAACAAAAAAGAGGGTTACAAAAGAAACGATGTAGCAGTAAAGGACCACAAAGAAAGACCCTTGTGCTTGAGAGTGAAGTGAACTAAGCCGAGGCTAGTATTTCTTTGAACGTTTTTAATGGAAAAGAAAGAGAGAGAAGGAAAGGGAAAACAAAGTTTCTTTTTTCTCGTTAATGGTGTAAGAGAGAATCAGTATATCGGGATCTGAGACACAAGGCTTTCTGCACCACCCTCCTCTGCTATATGTGCAGGGTTTTACTTATACTATTTACATAAACAGATAAAGTTAAAGAAGCAAAAGCATGAAAAAAATAATCAAAAGCAAAACAGATATATGAGAGACAGAGAGAGGAGATTTTTCCAAAGCTTTGTTTGAAAGTCTTTGGGGAAATAGTTTTTTCAGAGAAAAAAGATAGAAGGGAGAGGGTAGCAGGGAAAAGTAAAAAAAAAACCAATAGATAAAGCTGTTTATATGGTCTGACTGACAACTTGATTGCTTTATATATATATATATATATATATTTATTTATTTATTTATTTATTTATTTATATTGGGTTTTATTATTTACTTTTATTTTAAGATATTGTTGTATTTTAGCAAATAAGCATGTGGGATTTGATTGGAGCTTGATGCATTAAATAATTATTAATCAACCTTGAATTTTTCATAATAGAATTGGATTAGCACTTTAGCAGTGTTAATTCCCTTTATTAATCATAATTTTCTTCTTTTACATTTATTACCAAATTTTAGATTAATTACAAAATCTACCCTCAAAGTTTATCAATACTACACCTAGAACAATTTTAATTAATTGGACATGTATTTGCTAGTCGAGCCAAAATATTTGTAATAATTTTTTTATTTATTATCTCATATAACTTTAGTAGAATAATAAATCTTAAATGCATCGTATCTATTTGCAAAAATCCGTCCATAAAATTACTTAAAAAAATTAAAATTGAAAAAAGGAATTGTATTGGGGGTTTTATTTTCTTATTTATCCTGGATTTTTTATAAATCATATATATATTTTAGCAATTAAAGTACCGAGCACTGATTTGAGCACCCGTTGATGCGAGTGATATTGAAGGGAACACATTCCATTAGCAAGTGAGAACAATTCGTGTGGTCACTGTATAAAAAGGTTTGCTGTCTTTTAGCAAAAAGGTCCACGTCATTTCTATCATCAATGTTATCAAGTCTACATCCCAGCAACTGAAATTTTATTTTTTTAAGATAAAATATTTATAATACTAAAATTTTTTTTTATTTTAAATTATCAAATTTAAACTTTAATCATTAAAATTTTAATAATTTTTCAAAAATTTACATAGTTGTTGGCATATAAAACTTGTGTACTACTTCTACTACTAACTTGACCACCCATTTCTTATATATATATATATACAAAAACTTATATTTTACTTTAAAGAAAAACGAGAAAAAAAATCTTAGAATTATGGTGATTCAAATTTTATTAATTCCATATTGCATCAAAATAAAATGGTGATTCAAAATATGACTATTTGAACTTTTGAATATAAAATTGATTTTCTAATTGAACTCTAATTTCTGGTGAAAATGAAATAATATTATAGTATTATTTTTAAAAAATTAATAAACTAATTGAAAATTTTATTTGTAACAATTTTTATTAAAAATAAAAATACCCTTTTTTTTTAGAAAAAAATAAAAAATACGTATTCATCCACTAAAAGAGAAAAATATATAATAATAATAATAAACTTAATTTAATTATTTTATATAATTACTCTTAAAAATAAGATTAACAAATTTAAAATTTCAATTTCAATTATTATAAATTTTGTTTTTTCGAGTGAAGGGTCTCTTAAAAAGCAAAGGGTACTTTCCCTTAATCAATGTTAATTAACTTTTTTATAGGCAATTAACTTCATTTTTTTGTTATTTAAGAATGTCGGCTGAGGGTGAGCTGTCGGTTGTCACTGTTCCGCCCGCTTCTGGCTGCTGCATGTTTTTAATATTTTTCTCTTTCATTCGACCATTATTAATGCACTAACCCAATCTATACTCCATGATAAAAGAAAAAAAAAAAAAAAAAAACCCGAAAATATCTGCTAATGGTTTCTTTTTGCCAATTTTTTTTACCATTTTCCTGATTTAAAACAAAGAAAATTTTGAGAACAATAGCTCAAGACGTAATCCAAAAGTATAAGTAATTGATAAACTTGGTTGAATTAAACAATCAAGACGTTTTATTTTTACCTATTTTATTTATATATTTACCCTTAAAATGTTATTTCCTCTGTCTCAATTTATTTAGGCAATATTAATTTTTATGAAATTTAAAAAAAAAAATTGATTTTAATATATTTAATATTAAAATTAAAATTTTATGATTTTTAATATCAAAAAATAAAAAAATCATAAAATATAATTTTAAAATACAAAAAATAAAAATTTTAGATATTAAAAAAATAATTTTGGAACATCTTAAAAAAAAAAAAAAGAGATATATGGAGAATTAAAATTAACAATCTAATTTTCAATCAACAATTATAAGCCTCTTAATTTCCCATTCTCTCCTTAACTTTTGTAATGTGTTTTAAAAAATGAATTAAAAAATTGCAAATATCATTGGTATGGAGCAGCCATCAAAATTTCATATTTTTTCCCCAAAAAAACGAGAGTGAGTTGGATGTTTCTTTGGAAGCAATGCACTTGGATAATTTGAGCATGTGTGTTTTTCAGTGGCCTATCGTGGTCCGCAGTCGGTATGGTTGAAGACAAAATCTTGGATGTTTTCTATGGTGGTGGGCCCATTTTCTAGGACAATTTTAGGCGGTGGATCCTTCTCAATTGGCGGATTGTAGGAAGAAAAAAGTACTCCACGTTGGAGAGACGCCAATGGCACTAGTTAGACTTTTTTTTTTTTTAAGATAAATTTAATTGAGAGGAAAATTAATATCATTAATAATTTTTAAATTATAATAAAATATTTAATATAAATTATAAAAATTATTAATTAATATTGTGCTCACTCTTAATATAATTAGTTTTAAATGATGATATATAATAAATAAATAATTTTTTAAATATTATATTAGTTAATAAATATATAATTTAAATATCATATTAAAAAATTTTAAAATTAAATATTTTATTCTAATTTAAGAAGTATTTATGATATTATCTCTTAAAAAAATATATTTACTGAGAATTTATAAGTTGTTCTTAAAAAATTGTTGGAGTGTGTGGAATCGAAGTTAACTTACAAGAAAAATATTGATACTTGTCAACTTAGCTAACTTCCGTTGGAGGCATGGAGTTGATTTCAAGCAATAAAAAAAAACCTCAGCTTACTTTTATTGTTTCATGCAACATTTTAAAATATAAAATTTTAATAACTTTGTGTTCAAATTTTAAGATATGTATTTTTTTTTTTTTAGACTATAATTTTTTTGTAAAAAGAAGAAAAGAAAAAACTATATAGCAGGAGTAGAACTATTTGAATAGATGATGAAATTTATTATAGTAATATTGAAAATAACAATAAAAATTATTATAATTACGATTAAAAAAATTTTAATAAAAAATTTATATTAAATGAATTTTATTAAAATTAATATTTAAAATTAATTGATGATACAGTCAATTCAATTATATCGTACTAAAAATATGATTGAATCCAAATGATCATTTAATATAAAGAAAATATTGTGGCTTTTCTTTTGTTTTTGGTTGAAATGTTTGCGTTGGAAGCAAAGAAGTAAATTTTCTTAACTATGGTTTTAGATTTTGGTAAGAAGGTTTCACAAGTAATGCCTCATTTATAGAAATTATGCAAATTGTGTATATAAATATCCTGAATTTAATGGCTACTATTTTCTTTGATAACATCAACTAATTTCTTCAGATTTAAGAAAGATTGAAAGTCAGAGTACAATAACTAAAGAGATTATATTACAAAATGTTTTAAACAACACACTATCTCTTCTGAGAGTTTCAATTCACATGCACCCGTGTTTCCAAAAGATAAAACATATAAATAATTATATTTTAATTAATTAATTAAAATTATAAATTATAAATTTTATTAAAATATTATATAAAATTCACTTTTATTAGTAGTGGATTATTATATAAATTTAATTATAATAAAAAAATAGAAAAATCAAAATTTATTTGAAATTATTTGATATTTTGCTTAGGGGAGAAAACAAAAAACAGAGAGTGAGGGTTGGAAGGTTAATGACGTAATTCCAAAGGAAAAGGAAGAGGCAAAAAAAGTGAAGCATCGGCGGGCGTTGGTGGGGAGGTGGAGTTAGAAGTGGGGTCACCGTCACAGATGTAGCTTTGTCCTATTCCAAACCTAAGATTGCGACAATCTCAAGGGACCACCCCTTTCTTTATTATTTTTCTAACTTATTTATACCTACTAATTAAAGATATCATGATCATGCATGAAAAAGGGGAAAAAAAAATCACCGAACGTGAAATTTTGAGCCCTAATGTTAACTCTTTGAGAGTTAGGTGAAGAAGAAAAACCAATTTTTATGGTACAAATTTCAAAGGGTTTTGATATTGCGAATCGGATGAAAGGAAAGTGTTTGATTGAAAATGATTAATTGAACGGGGCAGCAAAGTGTCCAATGGTCGACTTTTGTCCTACTTTTTGGTGGGTGCATTTAGACAAAAAAAAAAAAAAAAACCTTTCTTGCTTTTCAAATTCAAAGCACTACTTTTTTTTTTTTTTGTTTAAATCAGGAGCACTACTTTTCTTTTAACCTAAATGTTTCAAGATAGAATATCACGTTTATAATTTATTTATTATATAGTAAAGCTTTGATTTAATTTGTTATTTCATGTTTATCAATGACCACAAATATATATATGAATTGATATTTTGTGAGACAACATGGGTAAAATAGAAATAAACATAACCCTCCAAATAAATTGGATTTCAATTTCTATTTGGAGTTTCAGTAATAATAATCCAAATTCGAACCCTAAAAACCTCAAGAATCAAAATAAATATCAAATGCTTATAAATTCTTGTCACTACAGTGACAAGTCAATCTTGGTCGACGCTGACACTACAAGAAGTAATTGATGTTGAACAGTTGAAGAAGGCAATTGAGAATTGACCAGAGATAACAAACTCCTACGCCATATATGATTCTTTCAAGAATTTAATCCCGATTGCTGCCATTGTCAATTTGTTATATGCTACATCAACATCACCCTCTCTGCCCCCATATGTGCTTCGTAATTGTTGATAACAAATGTTCCCCTTCCCCCCCATGACACCGTGGGCTACGCTTTCACATCCATTAGATAATAATAATAATAACAACAATAACCAAGCAGGTGGCTCCCCCAACATACACTTGATGCATAACCAGGTGAAGTTGTTCAGGTTTCCACCATACTTAAGCTTGTTTATGATTGGGACCACAAACTAGCAATGCTAGAAACATAGATAGTACTCGAATATAATTATAAGCTGCCACCATGGACAGTGGTTATAGGCTTTGAACAGGTGAAGTAATATTGCAATATATACATCCCATTTTATACAGTCAAAAACTTCACCTAAAATGACATATATGGTTAATCAGGGTTTTTATTAGTGTTGAAATGCAATTGGACCAAGACACCCACCATTTACAGTACAATGATTTCCCAAATGCATTAAAGCGAAACTCACATCACAATACACTTTTCTTTTAATTTTGCATCTTGCTTTGATGATGAAGATGAAGAGTTCCTTCCACTGCTTCTCGGCACCTGCAAAATGCCACTTCTGTCATTTAGAATTTCAATGTTCCGCAACACACCATACAAAGTCAATCTATGAATTGATGTCACCACATCAAGTCTAGAAGGATAAGTCATGAATGCATGATAATAATAGATAATTAATAGTTGTTGTTAGTGCTAGACTGCTATTCTATCAGTATTAACAAGCCTATTAAAGTCACACCAAGTACTCTCCATCTTTCAGGCAACCAGAAGATCATCAATACAGAGTTTAAACCACCATGACTGCATTTAGGGTACTAACTGGAAAAGCTCAATCTATTCTCAATACATTTTCCAACTGTTTCAGATCTTTTTATAAAAATTTTCTAATTGAATAGCATATTCTTTATTATTCCACACTACTACTAATAGAAAGTATCTACTTCATATATGATCCTTCTCTTCCATCTACATAGCTTCCAATCTAAACAAATTATATTTTTAAACAACAATAATTTATCATGTCACTTAGAGACCCAGGTAAGTCCAGCTGAGTTTGAGAAAAGAAAGTCCATCACACCACAAATCAGTGCACTCACCCGGATATAGGATTCAAGAATCAGTGATCAGAGTCTGAGATGACAGTTATTTAAGAATATCTTGAAGGAAGAGGGAATAAAATACCTGGGGACCTGTTACTATTCTTGAACCACCAACAATGGGTGGTTGCTGCACATTCTGACGCTGCGGCTGTTGTTCAAACTCTTGTTGTTGTAGAGCTATTGCAAGCTGTAAATCTGAGCTGTGATGATAACATCATAGAATTAATAAAACTTGTTATCCCTAAGCATAATAAACGACAAGTACAAACATGCTTAGAAAATTTTAATTCATTCAAGAATATTGAAAACGTATTTTAACTTAACCATTTTTCCAAACAAATAATTATAAAATAAAGCATCATTTCAGATATTGACAGAATAATGGCTTCCAAAACTTATGCAGTTATTGAGATTCATTAGAACTATTAACATCAAGAGAAATTATTGTAGAACAAATTAATATAGATACCCATAACCCAAAGTTAGGATAATTACGTTATGTCCAATCCTGCTTGCGATGCACTATCAATGGTGGCAATGTAGTCCTGCATCATGTAAATCTTTGGTAAGTTTCATTAAAGTCATTCGTCAAATCAACCATTAAAGTTTTCTCGCCAAAGGGAAATACGTACAGCAGCACTAGCCATAGCATTTTGTTCATCCCAAGTACCGGTGGCATGACTATCCACCTTGAATTCCTTGAAGTTGCCAGTCATAAACAGTGTGTCTCCATTGACCTGAAAGCATGAGGAGATAATTTTTGGATACCAAACTTCAAAAAAGAACCAGTAACAGAAACAACATAGGTTTAAAACAGTTACAAGGTTCAAATTTAAAATTTTAAGACCCTTAGCAGCATTTTTCTCTCATTTTTCAAAACTTTATTATTTCATTAGGAAGTTGAATGGGACAAAAACAATGAACAAAAGAAATGGAGAAAATACATCACCAAATGAAGAGCATTTAAAAGGTACTAGTATTCTGGACCAGAAAAGGAAAAATATACGTCTCACAAGCAATTTTCTATTTTCTTGTCATTTAAGCATAGTTGTTTAACTATAAAAGTTCTTAAGGCAAAGCATGGAGAAAGATCTAGTGTTCCTCAAAGCACAATATGTTGACTTCAGGAGTAATATTCTGCTCCCTGCTCATAATCATAGTTGCTATCATCAGCAAACAAGAACACCTACAGGCCACAGCTATAGCTAGTACCTCTGATACTAAACACTTGGCTGGCCTAAATTTTTGTTTCATTAGTTTTGATGTTTTCCATTTTTTCATAACACTAAAGCTAAAAAGCAAGTAATCATCCCAGTTAAACATTCATGACATACTTCAAGAAAGCCCCATGATGCAGTGGCCAGTGCACCACTGACTAGTTATGTATCTTAACGACTCCAATATAGTCCAAGACTTTAAAATTGACGACAATGTAAACAATCCAACTTACATATTTTGACTACAATTACAAATGAGACCCAAAAGTCAATGAAGTGATTCTTGCTTAAGAAGATATCAAGGAAACAATTTTACCTCATTTAGTTTCTCCCAAACCAAATCAGGCTGATTTAGATAACCTTGGTCAGTAGCTAAAAGATAGAGTTCACCATCATACTGCAAATAAAATGAGATTCAATGAATCAAGAAATAACTAAAGTAAAGAAACAAAAAAAACTGGTTCTTAAATTGGCTTATTAATTTAGTCAAGTTGTTCAAGATAAAGCATAAGTGGCAGGTCATAAACAGCCACAGGCAATAATTCACAGAAAAAGTGATTCCAGCTCCTAACCTTAAACATGGTGCTGAAATGATTATTACGAAAAAAAACACAAAGCTCACGTTCTTTAAGACCATCTTGTAAGCAAAAAAGCCTGCAAAATATATTAAGAGTCACTAGACAACAAGCTTCCTCATAACATAAAGTTTTATGATGTAATAGACTCAAGAACAAATTAGATCTTTAAACAGCTAAAAAATACCAAACATACCCATAAAAGGTCAATTGACTGGCATTGTTCTTCAAAAAGTTTCCAATCAGTTCCCCTGAATAGCATTAAGGAAATGCATTGTAGGTTATCTTGAATAAACACATGAAAATAGTAAGACAAGCAATGGTGGACCCAGAATTTTTTTCTGGGAGTGTCCACTTATAAAATGTATAAAAATTTGTGGATTTATCAATTTTGTCAATGAATTTACTAATTTTGTGGAAGAAAAAGGTGCCCATGAGAAAATTTTGGGTGTCCAGTGGAAAATTTTCCCCCAAAATTTCTTATTTTTCAATTTTGGGGGTGTCCGATAGAAAATTTCCCTTCAAATTTTCTTATTTTTCAATTTTTAGGGGTGTCCAGTTTATAAGGTGGATCTGCCTATGAAGACAAGAAAGTCCATTTGGATAAAAAAGGAAACAACTTCTTTTAAGAATTTAAAAATTAAACCTAAATGGATAAGAAAATGTATTAATTATTCTTTATAAAAATCCTCGAGGAAGCAACAAGCAACAAGCAAAAGCAACAAAGAATGGGGTTTAAATCAATGAAAGAAAGATATATGCACCATACAAGGTTATAGATTTACATTTTCTATAAGGTGCATTACTAACCTTCTTGTGGAGTGATTTCATCTTTAGACTTCACATTGCAGTCCTCTACAGCTCTTTTTTCAGCTTGTTTTGCAAGAATTACCTCACCTTCATATACAGGCTCCCGGTCCTCATATGTTGTTGTTACTGAATCTAATATGCATTCTTCACCTTCATATATAGGTTCACTTCCATCAAGACTAGAAGTAAACGCTTCAGGTACATCTGCATGATGCATTCTGCCACCAGATGAATCTGAACTAGCATTTTGTAAAGACACAGATGATACTTCTGGTGAATCACACCCATTCACATTATCTGGAATGTCCTGAGCATCAGTAGCAGAAGTGGATTGAATCTCAATTGTTTCACCCCCTTGTGAAATTTCAGTGTTCTTTCCATCTATAGAAGCAGTTTCCTTTGCCAGAGAAACAGGAGCTGCACTTTCAATCTGGAGCGATTCTTCAGCACTACTCCCCTTGAAAACCATTGTCTCAAAATTACTCTTCTCAACCACATCATTTGAAAGGCTAATTTGCCTATATTTAACGTAAGATAACTGATCCTGATTAATCCCATCAGTCTTTGGGGACTCTTCCCTTGTGAGGGTCTCAAAACATGTTTTAATACCACTACCATTGCTCAAGAAAGTGCAATTATCAGAAAAAGATGGTTTGTGCCACTGCAAGTTCTGATGTTCAACACCTTTGTCCCCCTCTACTGTATCTACAGAATCTACAGAAACAAGGTTCTTTGAACATGATCTTTCATCTAAACTGCCAGGATCACCAACTGAGGTTGGCAATTCAGCTTTTGACAATTTCAAGACTCTCAATAGCTCTTCTTCCTCCTCAAGATCCCCCTTTCTTAATATTTGCTGATCAGACACAAAACAAGGAGAATCATCAAAAGATCTGGTTTTTGAAAGGTTAGGAGAGGGAACTCCTAGAGTGGCAGTGGTTGCAGCAGCAAAATCCACACAATCTTCAGAGTTATTTTTATGTGAAACCTCCATATTTCGTGTTTCCAATGCAACAAGCTCCTCCATAATGGCATTGTAGGATTTTGACTCAATGGCACTAGCAGTTTCATAGTCCTGGCACATGTGCACCGTGAACATAAACTATCATATCCTGGTGCAATTAATTTGTATTGCATGATATCTGATTAAAATAAAATCAGGATTTGGCCAAAAAAAAAAATTAAAATCAGGATGTGCAGGCCCAAAACTTGTAAACCTGAAACCTAGACCACACAGGAATGGACATCTTAGAAAAATAACAGAATCCTAGTAATATAAACACTAATTAGAAACAAAATATATACTACAAAAAGTTAATGTAATAATCTTGAAAGGTAAGCAATACAATCTGATAATATATGTGACTAAAAAGACCATACCTGGGGATCAACTATCCAACCATGATAGAGGGGAATATCAAGCAGATCAAATATGGCACACTCAGGAGTGAACTCGAAATCATCTATTCTGTAAGTTTTACACATAATTCAATAAGGATTGCACAACGAGGCGATTTGTAGGAGAAAAACAAAGACAGAAATAAAGGAAAATGTTAACCTCCTGAATTTAATATTTACATCAATCCCTGTAGCAAGGCGTGGAAGTAAATCAATTGCATCTGCAATATTCTGTTGTTGATTTTCAACATAACCTGCATCTTTATTCTACATGCCAAAAAGGGTTTATCAGTATCATCCTGCTATACCATTAAGGCAGTAACAAGCAAATAAGCCTAGCATAAAAAAGGAAAGAAATTACATTGACATTACTGTTGGAATCAATGACGCGCTCGGCCACCAGTGAAAGCAATTTCTCCTGTGAAACTTCAGTTATATCGGAACTCAGGTTCAAATTATTCCTTAAAAGGAGAACATTACCTGTCATAGGCCCCAAAAAATGTTCATGTTCAAAACTTAATAAGCTCCAATTCTAATTCCCATAAAAAACGATATCACAATATTGACCAATTAGAAACTTGATCATGTTTGTAATTCGATTTATTGACATAAAAATTCATTTATAAATTTTTTGTCCTGTTCTTCAAAACACGGTCTAAGTTCTTCCACTAGCAACAGGAGGAACAATAAAGAATCAAACCAATAAACCCTAAAAATAATCAAACATTCGAAATGTTCAAAAAGTCGATTCTTGATCGCTCCCGGGAACAATGAAAAGAAAATTGAATCGAAATTGAAACCTAAGACCAAAACCAAAAAGATTAAATCGAAAAGCTAAAGAATTTTCAATCCGAATATTCAAAGCAACAAAACAATGACAAGAGACAATTAATAAATCAAAATTTAAAACCCTAGAAATGGAAAGAGGAGAAAGAGAGGAGTTACAGATGGCAAGGAGAGGGCAAGGTCCATTGTCGTTTTGGAGAATAATAGGCGTAGTACGACCTAAGAACTGTATAACCTTAGTCTTGTGCATGCACTCTTTAATTGCTTCTTGCTTTTGTTGTTCTTGATTGAGTCCTTCTTTCACTGCTTCTTCCTTCGATTCACACACAGAAGAAGCCGAACAAGAAGAAGAAGAAGCATCAGCAGCAGCAGCGGACATTTTCCTTTCTTCTTTTGCTTTGAAACAATTTAATCACAGAAAATTTACGTCACCACTAAATGAAAATAAGAAAAAAAAAATGCTTTTAGAGAGTTTTAAAACTTATGAAGAGAAAAATCACAAAAGAAAAATAGAAAGTGAACCATTATTGTATGGAGGCCTTTTATTTTGACGGCAACACAAAAGTTTGTTTTTCTTATTTTCTTTCTCCATTTTATTATAACTATTAATGATAAAGTTTTTTTATTAGTACCAAAAAAACATAAATATTTATTTTACTGATTCTATTTATGTAATTTAGGAGTTCACAGTTATTAGTTGTATCGTAATTTATTTATTTTTTATAAGACATTTTTATATAATAATAAAATAAAATTATTTAAATTTGAATTCTAATTTTATAATAAGTTACTATTCTTTTCTCTTAACCACTAAAAAAGATAAAAAAATTCGAAATTGATGGATTTCGATTCAACTCGATTTTTTAGGGTTAATTTTTTTTTTTAAATCAAGTATCAAATAGGGTAACGTAACATAAAAAAATTCGGAGTCAGATCGAAGTTGAATTTTAGGTAAACTCGACCATACTCGACTTTATATATATAAAAATTTTTTTTGTTTAATTAATTATTTAATTTTATATTTATTTATATATTTTTAATTTCATATGTATATTTAAAATAATATTTTATTAATTTCGAGTAGAATCAAGTATAATTTTATATAATATTGAATCAAATTCGAGTATAAAAATAATAAAAAATTTATCGGATCTAATCGAATTCAAGTTTTATATATTTAAAATCGGATTAAATTCGAGACGAACAAAAATCGATCTCGACTCAATCCGTTACCATCACTATTAATCACCCATTAAGAAATTATTGATTTTACATTATTTTCCATTTATTAATTTTGATTTTCATTTATCTCATGTTTTGAAGTTTAATTAGTAGTTAGCATTAGCTATTTAAAAAAAAAAATTAACTAGTGTATAATAAAATTATTTAAGATGATATTTAAGAAAAAAATGTAATTAGTGTATTGTCAACTCTTAGATTTAACAAAAATAATGCATCAAATATAATTTTTTAAATAATATATTTTATAAATACCAGTTAATCAAACCTACTTATATATTAACATACAGTTTTTTCGGCTAAAGGATAGCAGCAAAGTTAGGATTTTCATTTGCATATACCTTAGCAACTAAGAAAGGGAAATACTTAGTCAAATGGCAGGAATTATAAGCCGCGTAATTGGAGTTGAGGTTTTTTTTTGGACTCTTTTAACTTTTAATTCAGTTTAAATGTGTCCTAGTAAATCACGTTTTTCGACAAATCCGGACTTTGACTGCCGTCGTTAGAATTTTGATAAAAAAAAAAAAAAAACACTCACATCATTTTACAAGAGTGTAATCAAGTCCAGCCAAGGGTGTTTTTGAATTTAACTAGAACCCTCCATTATAATTGGAGTTTGTGTCAATCTCACTATACAGTGTAAAAATTGAGACCAAGTTTTCGTTGACTAATTTTGATCGGGTGGCCGACGGACTTTCATTTGTTTTTTTTTTTTTTTTTTTTATCCCTTAGTTTTTATTGTAAATACAAAATCACTCCTATAATTTAATTCTTTTCTTTTCTCTTTTAATTTTATTTAAAAATTTTGAAATAATTTTAATTTAATAATAAAGAATATCATTTGATATATTATTATTTTTATTAAATTTTAAATATTTATTAATTTTGTCAATACTAAATAATTTAAAACTTTTATTATATATAATCTTTAATCCAATGTTTTTAATGATTATTTTCTTTTCTTATTACAATTCACTTTATTATTATTGTTATTTTATATCCAAATACATATTTCATATTGATTTAACTCACCATAACAATAATAATTTATCTTCTATTATTATTTTTAATCTCATTAAAATTAATTTTATCGTCTATCCAAATGGATCTAAATCAATATAGTGAAAATCTTGAGTTTGAACTCGATTTAATTTTCGTTGTTCGATACTTTATTTAAATTCAATTGAATTTTAATTTTCAATTTAAATTTAACTCAAAATAAAAATTATATTATTCAAATTTATTTGATTAAATTTGTTTGATAAAAATAAATATGATTTTTATATTCGATTTCACATTCAATTATTTGTTTAAACTCAAATTAATATATAAAAATAAAATAATAAATTTTGAATTAAATAATAAAAATATATTAAATTAAAAAATTTAATTAAATTCGTGAACTACTCGAATTTAAAAATTAAATTATTTGAATTTAGTTTGTTCAATAAAATGAATTGCTCATATTCGATTTGATAATTATCAAATAAAATTTAAATTTTATTTGAATCTAACTTGAATAATTTATTATTATTAATATATTATTTTCATCTCTAATCTTATCATATTATATGTTAATCATGAATCTATACCCGCCAGTAATGGAATTTGTAGTTTACTCTGCATTTGGAGGTTGGGGAGTGTAGTGAAGGAGAGATTCTCTGCAACCAGGCTTCCCACATTTGTGTGGCAGGAGCTGCACTACAGCACACGAGAGCATGAGATGCTAATTTACAATGTCAACCAATTAAAATAAATTAATACTTTTTTTAGAACCCATTGCCAATTGCTACCCCGTCCAGAATCAGCCTGCTAGTCCATGACTTTATGAGCAAAAAGAAAGTTCGCACTCGTCAGTCCATAAACGAAGTCCATTACGAACCAAATAGGATATGGCTCATTAATCATGGGCCGGCGAGCAAGGATTGTGAGGAAATGTGTGGGTGGTTAAATTGATGGACCACAAGCTGGTAAAATTAACTCTGCAGCGCCTAGAGTTCCCGTTGGAGGGTCACTTTCACTTGTTCATTTGCACAAATGAAAATCATTCTAAGAGAAGTTGTTGTGTAGTATCTTTGAACGACTACATTAATTATTAACGAAATTTTAATTGCTTTGCTCATATCCTCTCTTTTTTCACCTTAATAAATCATAGCATCGTTGTTAGGTTTGATAACACTAACAAGATTCGATTATAAAAAAATTAAAAAAATATTAAATATTCGATTCGATATTAAATTTTAAAGTAAATTAACTAATTATATTTTTTAAAATTTTTTTATTAACACAAATGAAGTAAATCAACAAATAAGGCAATGAAGCATCATTAATTTTTCTTTGAAGAGAATACTATTTCGCCTATATACGTAAAGATTTAGACTCTAATCTTTGCCCCTAACCATATGAGGTTATGAGCTAAACGACGATTAGCCAACCAAGCTATCAATGGTCCATGTCACACCCCCAATGTGGAATGGTTCGTGTCCCCAATGTGGTCCATTAATACCTACTAATCATCACAAATAAAAAAAATTCATTAACTATGCTATTTTTTTGAAAAATCTAGAACCCAATAGTGCGCCACCACTTGGCACAACTGTTAAGTAAAAAAGCCCTAAATATAAGGGGAAAAAGGGGTGGCGAGAAGAGAAAGAGAAAAAGTAGAACCGAGGCCCCAGAGGCCAAAACCCCACCATCAAACAAGGAAGAGCCACGTGAAACCCAGCCTGATCATGATCACAGTACAAGAGATGACGTGGAAAACTCCCATTAGCTCCTTCTCTATGCCATTTGTACGGACAGACGCAGATGTGTTTTCCTAACCATGTACGGACCCACGCTGGAAATCGTTTAATCCTGATCGATGAGTGTCCAATTTTTGATGCAACCGACAGAAATGTTCTGTGTCTTTCACCTCACACGCTGGCTTTGCTTCTTTCAGTGGACACCGGGGGTGGAGGTTGTCGGTAAAACGAGACATGTGTCATGAATTCATGCGGTGGGCATACATTTTTGGTGCATCCTCTTCTCTCTTTATTAGGGAATCACATGTTTTGGCATTTATTCTCTATTTTTCTTTTTTCGGAGGTGCCTGTTATTTCCCGTTCAATTATACCAAAAGAAGAAAGACATTAGGTTCTCCACTTCCTTGGACTTTGTCTATTATAATATTTTTTAAATTTTATTTTTTTATTCTGTCTAGGGTTATAGGAGGTTGAGGTTGAGGTTGAGGAAGTGACAGAGAGCAAATTTGGTCAAGTCATTTTTCTCATCTATAAAATCTAGGGTTTCTTAGATTTTCATTTCCAAGAGAAATTTCAAAAAATTCCCAGTAAAATCTTGTTTTTTCTCTTTACATCAACTTGAGCTTTCCCATACCGAGAAAGATCTTTTTCAGGCTTCTTTTTGAGTAATATGTTTGTCCTAATTTGATTAGATTTTTAAGTTACTCCCTTTCTATTTTTAGAAACCTTTTTCTCATCTGGGTCTTTTGGTTCTTTGGTTGTTGACCATCGAAATCTGTTTGAGTTCAGACAGTTTACTCTTTTCTGGGTTTGTCTTCTAGGATTCATTGTTTCCTTTTGGTTGTAGGAGAACCAACTGCTACTGTGAGATTAATATGGTGAGAGGGAAAACTCAGATGAAGAGAATAGAAAATGCATCAAGCAGGCAAGTAACGTTTTCAAAGAGAAGAAATGGATTGCTCAAAAAGGCCTTTGAGCTATCAGTTCTCTGCGATGCTGAAGTTGCACTCATCATCTTCTCTCCCAGAGGGAAGCTATATGAGTTTTCTAGTGCTTGGTGCGTTTTCTCATCTTTCATCTTCATATTTGCTTTTTTTTTTTTTTTGGGTTACTATTTTAAGCTTATGCAAGTCTCCAATGTACTCAAAATACAATCTAAATAATATTTGTTTAATTAAATCTGTGGAGATATAAATAAGTTTTGGTAATTAAACTTGGATGTCACTTAATTATACAGAGGCCCCGCTCAGGCTGCTCTCCTACCATGTAGCTAGGCAAGTACTATGATAGATGATTCCAGTCTTTATCTCTGTCAGAAGGGTCTGATCTCTTTCTGTCTTCTTTAGTTTTTCTTCAGAATAAAATCTAACCAGGTTATCTTGTTCTGTTGGGTTTCCTTGTTAGTAGATGTTCCAAGTGATCTTGCAGATTTCTCTTGTCCTCTCTTCAAGCACGAGTCCTGAGAGACAAAAAGAAAGAGAGATATGTGGTCTTTAGGGTTAATGTTTTGGGTAAAATATACTTGGATTATTGATCGCCAAAGTTTAGGTGTTTAGTCATATATGTGAGCAAGCTCACCTTAGCTAGCTAGCTTTGAAAAGGTTTTAGAGGTTAATGACAATAAGCAAGAAGCAGCAATATATAGGCTCATTTTATGAGAATATTTCCAATTTGGTTCTATCAATAAAATCTTGATTTATTATCAACATTTCCTTTATGAACAAAACAGGTGATAAACACTTTTTGAGTTTTATTTAATTTGAACCCAAAAAAACAAAAAAGAAAAATTAATAAGTTGAAAGTGAACCTGTTGACTGTTAAAGGGGGGCCTCTGAGCAGGAGCTGAGTTTTGTACTTGGCATTTCTTGTTTATATGGTTTTTTTCATTTTTGACAATACATAATTCGATTACACTGGATAAATAATTTGCTTTTTTCAAGGTACATCCACTATCTTGTTTTTAGTGTTAGTGTTCGTGTTAGTGTCAATCGTGTGTTTTAGGACCTCATGATTAATAATTAAAACAAGTAATACATATAAATTATTTATTACTCATCCAAAAATTACTCTTCTATAATTGAGGTTATATTGTTTCATGGATTCCTAGCTAGCTAGAGAACATCTGATAATCTCAAGGGGATACGTCTTTTGAGACTGATCTAGCACATGGCTTCCTAGAGATATTTTTACATCACAATAAGATTATCATCCTGTTGAAGCCTTAATGATGATGATTCATAGATGGTTCTAGCATCAATTATTTTACATGAAATCATTACTCTTAGAGCTTGAAATTTGTCTTTATAGCTCTACTGCTGTTAATTGTTGCTTAGACTCTTCTTCGAGTATTGGACGTAGGTCGATGCGAAAAGGTGCTGAGGCTCTTGTTCATCTGGTAGTTAAAGATTTTATACCCTTTCACACATCTTAGAGGAATCTTACTCATGTTTGAACTATTAAAATTTAAAACAAGATTGATGTTTAACTAAGTTATAGACTCTATCAAATCTGATTTAGTTGAGACTAGGTAAGATTTTTTTTGGTACATGAAACTAGCTAAGATTTAGTTATTACGAGCATTTCATGCTTTGTTTTTCATGATCTTTTGAGCCTAATAAACTTATAAAAAGGAAAATATATAAGAACTAAGTAGTTTCAGTGCATGACACTTGTGATAGGAAGTTCTCCATTCACAATCTTGGTGACTTTAGCTACTTATTATCAGCATTAGATTTTATTATTCGAGGTGTTATTATTCCACAATCTACTATTGGCAATAGAGTTGAAAAGTTTTATAAACGAGTTTATATTTTTTCCTATGTGCTTGTTTAATTGAATATGTTAATTCATAATTTTGTGTTAATCTCATAAATAAAATAAATGGAAACTTTGTATGAATCTACTTTAGGGTTTTCACATTCTGTCAAGAGTGGTTAGGATAGTAATTGTCACTCCATTTAGTTTACTTTACCTTAATTGACATTTGAGAATTATAACTAATTTGTTCTTCATTTATGTTAGAATTGCTTATTTCCCTCACAAATTAACATGAGTGAGAACTTTGTTCCATCATCCATTTGTATGCATCTTTGTGGACTTCATAAACAATTAGAAGGAAGATCTTTTTGGTTCCATGCAGAAAGCTTCAAGCATTTCCACATTCTTTGTTAACATTTATAGACTATATCAATAAAGCATTGAAGGTTTAATACATACATTCTAAATGGACAAGTATTGAAAATTTTGAACACAAATGTACTATTTCTACACCCTTTTAACCCATTGCAAGTGATTTAAACGGTCAGAAGGGTTCCCTTTATTAAGGTTTTCAGTTATTAGCATTAACCAACAAACTGCATGGTACTTGTCAAACAAATGGGTGTATTTTGTGATCAAACATCATCACGTATTGTATGGCCATTGATTTATTTTAGAGTGATTAGATTAATTTAGACGAAAATTTCATTTATATTCTGAAGTCAATGTAAAATTTTCTGGGCAATTCTACCTGGCCTTTTCTTTTTAAAGAAAAAAAAATGATTGTTCAAAGAATTTTAGGCATGCTCGGTTTTCTTAAGGTTTGTCTTTGATAACTTTTAAAGTTTGGTAAAGCCTCCATATTATTAAATTTGTGATTGTGAATACCACTTGATACTGGTTCATCAAGTAGCTGAGTAACACTTTGCCCTTAATTGGTAATTTGGAAAATTGGACTTCAAAATCCTGAATAATATTATTAATTTTTCTTGTCTGATTCCCATTATCATGTTGGTAATGTTGTTATGTACATACTTTATCTTCATTTTCTTTTTGCATAAACGGAGAGACAAGGTTCCAAAATGAAGGAAAAGGCTAATTTTATGATATTTCTCCATGAATGAGATTTTTGTACCGCATGATAAAGAAATGAATTGTAAATCCACCACATGGAAGTTTGCGTAAGTTGATTGTTGCTTATGGGTCAAAAAATGGCCAGTGAAGAAATTTTTTGGGGTCCCAGATTGCTTATTTTCCTCCAACTATATATGAGCTTTGACTCAGCTGGTAGTTTTAAAACCAAAAATAAAAAAAGAAGCATGCAGGCATAATTACTTTCTGTGTTTTATTTAACTATGGCCTTTGGTTGATATAGAGATTTAAGGCCAAAACATCAATTTAGCTCATATATTAAAGCTTATTCACTACAACATCTTCCATGGTGCCTGACCCCCCACCCTCCATTAAGGAAAATCCGAGAGAAACAGTAACTGGGTTAGCGGCAAGTTTGAGGTATAATAAAACACTTCTTTGTACTTCTAGGAAAAAAAATAGAAAAAAGGAAAAACCCATGAAGATGTGGTCCTGAAGGAATATTTGAAAGAAAAGAGGATCCTAGGCGTGCATCAGACAACCTATTTTTCTTTTCTACCTCCAAAGTATTTAGCCCTTTTTTGTTGTTGTTTTCAATATACTTAGGGCAGTAGCGACATGATTAATTTCTAGGTAATATATTACACTACATGCACGCTAATTAACCTCAATATTATTTCTTAGTTTGAAAACATTTTCTGTTCAAAACTGTGACCGACATGTGATTCCAGGAAGAAATCTGGGTTTTCCACAATTCAACTAGTGTGTGATGAATATGACTATCTTTGAAGATACAGGATTTTTGGACTTGAGAATTTCTTACCATAAATATTCTGCCACACATTTTGTTTACCTTCCATCTTGGAAAAGAGAAGTGCTTTGATTGGCTATGTTTTTCTTTCGTGGTTTTCAGCTCTTAGAACATTGATCTTTTTAATTGAGACCACTTAGAGAAAGCATAGTCTGTTAAGAAGTTCAAACAATCAAGTTTAACGACTTAGGTATGGCTTAGTGATTGTAATTTCTCTTGAAAAACCCTCATCTTCATTTACTTTTTTGCATATACAAATACAAAATGAACAGTCAACATTTACAGCGCCAAAACATTAGAAAATAATGGCAAGACAGGTTAGCTAGCTAGTTTAATATCTGATCTTTTTAGACGTGCACTCATTCTTGTTGTGTTTGGAGATGCTTCAGTATGAACAAAATTATAGACCGGTATCAGAAGAAAGAGAAGGATCTTGGAATCGGCAGCAAAGGGGTAGAGCAAAATATGCAGGTAGCTCTAGCCATCCTTTTGCATTCGTTGTTAAATATTAGTCAATAAAAGATTGGAACCTAGAAGCCGTCTTTGTAATCCACCAAAAATTCTTCAAGTAAATACTAATCTTATGAACATTAATTGAAAGGATAGAAGATCACCATATTTTCTATATATTCTGGTTCAGCATTTTCTGGTGTTTCACATGTGACTTATTTTACCGCTTTATTTTCTATAATTCCTAGCCAAACTTCATTCCGCTCACCTAGAACTAGAATATAATGAGCAAATATAATTGTTTTTATTCTACCTTAATAGCGATTATGCAGAGATATGATTGCATGTAGCAATCACTTGGACCTCTCTCCTTTGGTTTTTTACATGTTAATTTCTTGTCTCTGTCTTGGAATTCAAGGACATAATTAAATATGCATATGTAAATGGGATGCAATTTATTATTTTCTTGTGAGAAAGGTCTATGTCATTGTGCGTAATTAATATTGCAGATTCATTTTGTTGCCTTTTCAAATATTTGCTAAATTTGAATTTCTAACCTTTATCGCTCATGACCAACATCTTTAGCAAGTCAATGAATATATATTAATGTTTTATTTGGATGTGTGGTGGGAGACTCTCACCGCATCGTGGGTGCCGTTTTATGATTAACAGTGCCGTCACTCACTGCACGGTGGAAGTCCCTCCCACCGTGCATCCAAAAGTCGTAAGTTAGGCTCCCCTGATGTCTTAGACTTATGGAGCAATTTCTTTACGCATGATACATCTGTACATTGAGGCTTGTCATTCAATATCTAATTATTGAACTTGTGCATGAAGAACGTAAAGGAGGATGCTCACAGCATGGCAAAGAAGATCGAATTTCTTGAAGATTCTAAAAGGTTAAATCCTTTGCTTGAAACTTGTATAAAATACATGTACTTATAACTGAGTTCCAGTTCATATTTGGAGTCCCTTTTCTTCACCGCATGTAAACTTTTATATTTTGAATTTATAACAGAAAACTCTTGGGAAATGGATTGGAACCATGTTCTCTTAATGACCTACAAGTGTTAGAAAACCAGTTGGAGCGAAGCTTAAGCAAAATTAGGGCTAGAAAGGTACATCAGAAATTCACTTGCACGTTCAAAAATTTTCATGTTTGTAATATAAATAAAATGTTACTGACATGGGTTTAAAACTTGATTTCGCTGTGTTCAGAATCAATTATTTTGGGAGCAGATTGAGAAGCTAAAGGGAGAGGTAATCATTTTTCGTTCTTTTTTCGATGCTGTTGATGCAAGGATTGTAAGATTATAGCTGCTACGGGGCATTGTAAGGAGGACCACATCTCACATCTAATAACCAGAAATCGAACCGTGATTTTACAAGTAAAGATCGTTATTCTCCTACTGAAGCGTCTTTTTTCAAAAGAATACATTGTCAGGAAGATAACGTCAGGCCTCAGAATAGACAATGCTTCGTAGCAGACACAGTTCAACAATCCCTTGCGTTAACAAATGTATGCTTAACATTCCATGGATATTAATTTGGAAGAATAATTTCCTAACCATGTGGTGTTATTATTTCCATTTCCTTGTAAATCATTCAGGAGAGACGCCTTGAAGAAGAAAATGCAAAGCTGAGAGGACAGGTACTATATTTGTTCTCTAATGCTCCTATATCACAAGATTTTGTTGAACCGGTAAATCAAGAAAACCCAGTACACGTAACAATCATAATCCACTCCAGGAAGGTGGTTGATCTATCAGCTGTTAGATAAATGTCAATAACAAGAGTAAGCACTAGGTTCTTCGATCTTTTATCAACATGAATATTAATTGAATTCATCATTTTATTACATTAGTGTGGGGTGCGACCGCGACAATCGTCAACAAGCCTATCGGATCATGAACTGCAAACCCAGAGCATAGAGGTGGAGACGGAATTGTTTATAGGACCGCCGGAGACAAGAATTATCCAAAAACCTTAGTGCTAAATATTAATTGGTGATCAATAAAGCTTCAAAAATAACTTTCAGAAAGTTCAGATCAGAGCTGCCTTTTTCTTGCTTTTTCATCTTGAGTTGTGATGAAAAATGAATTGTGAATATATTATATGTAGTCGTACTTATGACAAAAAGGGATTGAGCTACAATAATATTTGTGTGATTAATAGTAAGATTTCATGTGCGCATAACTCAATTTTAAAAGGTAAGCTTCTTGTTTGTATGAAATAGTAAATTATTTATTTTTATTTTTTGTATTGATCTCACTAAAATTTAATAAAAATATAATTAAAAATAATTATCATGGAGTATTATTATCAAGATTTTCTTAATTATTTGTATTATTAATTAACTGAAATTGACTCTTTTTTCAATAAGCTGCATAAGAAATAACAGATATGAGCACAAGAATTGAGATGTCTAATCCCTATACGAAATCTACACAAAAATTGAAATATCCAACTTTTTATCTGAAATTAAGGCTATGAATATGAAAGAAAATATATATGCTATTTGTTTTGTTTTTATTTTTAGAGGTATTTGGGTTTAGTTTGTATTCAATAAAAAAAATTGTTTTGTTCGTTTGAATTTGATTAATTTAAATTATACGATATTTGTATTCGATTTGTATTTGATTTAATTAAATTAAATAAAATTATTTGTAAATATTAAATAAATTTATTAACGAACATGTATAAATAAAAATGATCGTGAATAATAAACAAATTATGATTAAATAAATTTAAACAAATAAATTTTAAACGAACATAAACGAACCTTAAAATAAAATTAAAGCATAAAAATATAATTTTATTAGTATTACTATAAACAAATAACAAATAAATCATAAGCGAATAATAAATGAATGGCATTTAAACGAGTTTTAAACAAATTTATTCACAAATGTAAATAAATTAAATAAAATTTTATTTATGTTAATTTATTTAATAAATAATATAAAAATATTATTCAAAACCATTTATTAAATTTAATAAATAAATAAAAAAAACAAATAAATTAACAAATAATTCATCAAAAATTATATTTATTTACGCTCTTACTCAAAATCACCGTTTCATTTTTTTGGGTATTTAATATGTGGGCGGACTACTGCCTATGCTCATGACAACTCTTTCTACTTGGTATCCGACTTGGATTCTGAAAAGAAAAAATATATATATCAATTTAACAAGTACACTTTTAAAGGTGGAGAAAAAATATATTTATATTTTTAGTAAAAAATTTACAATATAAAAATAAAATTAAAATTAAAATTAAAAATTTAGATTTATTTAATATTAAATAAACTTTAAAATAAAAGCTATTATTTAATTAATATTATTATAAATAAATAAATTTTAAACGAATTATTCATAAATATAAATAAATTAAATAACTTTTTATTTATATTTAATTTACTTAATAAATAAATATAAATTAAATATATTCATAAATAATTCATCAAAAACTTTATTCATTTAACTCCTACTTAAAATCACTGCTTTTTTTTTGTACTATTTAATATATGGGGCGGATCATTGTCTATGCTCTGGACTAGGATTGTAAATGATACATTAGTACTCGCAAGTTATTTGAGTTCGATTAAAAAAAAACTCGAATTCGATTTGATTATTGTCGAGTTGAGCTCAAGCTCTACTTATCGATCGAGTCGAATTCGAGTATTCTTATATCTGACTCGAATAGCTCGCGAGCTTAATCGAGCTTTTATATTTAAATATATTTTTATTATTTTAATTAATAAAATATTTCAAGTCTAAATTCGAGTTCGAGTTCGAGCATAAATAATCGAATTTTTATTGAGTATACGAATCGAACTTATTTTTACATATTAATCGAGCTTAATCGAACGAGCTCAAGTAACACGAATTCGATCACGAATCGAGCTAAAATAAAACTCGATCGAGCTCGAATCGAGTATCAAACTCCTAGTTGTGAGTCGAGTTCGAGTTCGAGCTTCTCACTATTCGACTCGACTCGGCTCGTTTACAACCCTACTCTTAACAACTCTAACTAAAATAATTTCACTTTGCATCAGACTTGGATTCTGAAAAAAAAATATATATATATATATATATATAAATTTAACAAGTACACTTTTAAAGATGGGGAAAATATATATTTATATATTTAATAAAAAAAATTACAATTTAAAAATGAAAATAAAATTAAAATTTTAAATTTATTTAATATTATTTTTTTAAAAATAATTATATAAATCAATTAAATTCAAATTCAAATTTTATACCCATTTATTTTGATGCCTAAACTAAATAGGTAATTAAGGTACCTAAAGCTTTTTTTTTTCTTCTTTGTAACGGGGGATCTCAGTACGAGCCTATTTGCTTCTTTATATGCATGCACGTGATTAATATGCTGAAAATAATACATCCTTCTGGACAAAAAGGACAAAAGAAATGAAAATCTATCTATAATTCAATTCTCCCCTTCTTACCAGTGGATGCTGTCCACAACTTTTTTCTGAGATGAAAAACATAATTCAAGACATCGTGTTTTGCCAACAACTTTTGTTTTTATTTCATCTGGTTTGGTCCAATGTGGGACCATATTTTCTCTTGGATTTCTTCCCTCATTTCGTTTAGGTAGCCCGGCCCATGAGAGATTGCATCCCAGGCTAAGAAATTTTAATTGAATTAATCGATTAAATTGATTTAATTTAATTAATTAATTTTAAAAATAATTTTAAAAAAATTTAATTTTTAATTAATTTGATTTAAAATTTAAATTAATCAAAATTTTAATCAAAATATAATATAATTCGATTATAAAATAAAAAATATATGAAATAAATCATTTAATTTCATAACTTACTAAAATTTTTAACATAATTTTTAATATTTTATTAAATAATTTTATTTAATTTATTTAAAATATAAAAAATTAAAAGTTTAAAATATAATTTAATTTAAATATATTTATTATTTAAATAATTAAAAAATTAATTAAACTAATTAAATTAAATTTGATTGATTAATTTTTAAAATTCATCAATTTAATTTTGTTATCGAAAATAAAATAATTTAATTTTAAATAATTCATATTCGAAATTAATGAAACTGACCAAAATGAACACCAACACCGTATTTTTCTTGGCAGTTAGCGGTCAATAATGCTCCGCCTCCTATGACGAAATCCTTTTTAATAGTATTGGCCGGGCATGGCCATGCCAAGCTAGCTGCTAGTGATTGATTATATAGACAGAAACCAAATCTCACATATCCCAACTCTGATCAAGCTCAGCATTCACAAATGTGGAACCCATTCGTTTCCTTACAACCAAGCTTTGTCACTTCAAAATCGAACAAACCTCCATTGAAATGAAACACAGAGAGAGAGAGATTCATGAATAATCATAAGTGAATTTTCAAGTTTAATTTTTATATGGCATGCATTTCATTTAATAACGAGTGCATACGTATAACTTTATTCAAAGAATCGATTTCCAAACTTCTCCTAAATGGAACTTACATGGTTTGTTATTACAATTCTAAATCAATGAATGAGGAAAATAGAAAAAGAAAAAGTCATTGGTTGAATAAATTATATGAAAATTTGTAATTAAAAAAGTATTGTTTTGACAAATTGTACACAGAAGTTGGAATTGAATTTTGTTTCATCATGGATAAGAATCGATCAGAATGGTTATTTGGTTAGATATTTCGATTTTATTACATAATGAGCATCTTAATTAATTTTTAAATTAATGATTTTTAGTGACAACTTTTTACATGAGATGGTGAGTTTTGCCTGTTTTATTAATTCCAATGGAAATTAATTTATATTTACTTTAACTCTTTAATCATGATAAATAGATAAGTTGATATCAATTTAAATGAACGAAAAATTTCTAAATAAAATTTTTAAATTTAATTCATTTCGTTCGTACGAGTCATCATTAAATATGATATTTAATAAATTTAAAGTTTAAATTTTAGTATATATAATTTTTATCTTATACTTAGGTCACTATCATTTTTATTAAAAAAAAAAAACTTAATTCTTTGTATTTTTTTAAAGTGAGGCCTTTAGTTTGAGTAATATTTGAAGAGCACTTCAATATTCAAATGAAAACTTCAAGCTATTAAAAAGTTTCCAATTTTAATTTGATTGGTGATAGGATATAATTTTCCTTATATTACAAATATTAGTTATATATGAATAAAAAAATGGAAAACATAAACTACATACTATAATTAACATTAATAATTAAAGAATTTCCTCTACAATATTAGTTCATAAAAGTTGGTCTTGGTCTTAGTCACCCGAATGGAGCATGATAGGGATGAGAAAAAGAATAAAAAAATAAAAATTCATTCGAAATTTTACTGTTTAATTTAATTTGATTTAAATTTAGATATTAAATAAATATATTAAATTTGAATCAAAATTTTGATTGAGAAATGAAAATTTTTAAAAAATCGAATCAACCCAAATTATATATTTTTATTAACTTATATATTTTTTAAAAATTTATAAAACAAAATCATTATTTTATATATAAATATATTAAAAGTTATATTAAAATAATATATAAAAATAAAAAAATAAAATTTAAAAATTAATAAAACGAAATAAATCAATAAAATTTGATTTATATCGAATAACATTAAAATTTTATTCAAATTGAAATTGAATTAGAGATGTCAATAGATAAGATATAAAGAGGATATCGTATTTTTTATTTTTAAATTTTTATATTATATTTATTTTGTATTCATACTCAATAAATATTTTAAATTTATTTTCATCCCTGTCCTTGTAATATTTAATAGCTAATCCTCCTACTCATAGCTTTAAAAAAATATTTTTTAGTTTTTTTTTATATATTTAGGTATTTTTTATAAATATATATTAGTATATATATTTCTCAATAAAAATATATTAATTTAAATTAATCTTAAAATAATTTATATTATTTAATAAAAAATTTATTATTAAATATATAAATATATATATATATGTAAAATATGTGTATGAGATGTATACTATAATCTTCATATTTATTATTGTATCCAAAAAACATTTAAAATCATTCACATCTACATTTTCATACACACAATATAATATTCATCATTTTTTTTATTTAAATAAAAAATTAAAATTTTTATTAAATATAAATAAAATTAACATTTTTAAATTAAAATTTAAAATCTTATATATTATAAAAAATTGAATTCAATTTCAGTCATGTCATTATCATGTAACATGACATGTCCTGACGTCCCTCATCTTCATGTACATGTGAATTTGTTAATTTGCACGTTTTGCAACCTTTATGTCACTTCATTTTCACAGTCCTTTTTTTTGTTTTAATCTTTCTCGTGGAAAGGATACATGAAGTACATATCATATTTTAACTATCTATTTATAAAATGTTTTCCTTTTCAAATGACTACTTGAAACCTAGCTTTTAAAATTACAATGGCGCAAAGGATGGTGGGCATATGAATAGACTCTCTTCAGTGAGTTATCAAATCAATAGGTACTAAGTATGCATAGAGAAATTAAAAATGGTGTTGGCATACTTGTCAGTAAAAAAATATATTGAGAAAATGACCGACATCGGGTGAAAACTTTCCCTCGCAAAACTTTTTTTTTTTGTGAAAAAGAAAATCAAAATGTGAAAAATTGCAATTCCCTCTGTCTTAATTTATTTGTTCTGTATTAATTTTTATAGAATTAAAAAAATTAATTTTAATATATTTAATATTAAATTATTTTTATAAAATTAAAGTTTTATTATTTTTTATTTAAAAAAGTAAAAAAATTATAAAAAATAATTTTAAAAGATAAAAAAATAAATGTTTTAAATGTAAAAAAAAAGACATAATTTTGAGATATAAAAAAAAAAAAGACAGAAGGAATATAATATTTACTATGAATAAGAACATTTTCACCTCCCAAACTTTCTAAATTAAGTAATTAGGTTTTCTAGCTTTACATTACATATTTGTTACGAATTAACCCCCAAAAATTAAAAGTAATTAATAAACCAACAAAACTGGGATCCAATATCTTAGGATCAATTTCTAGATAACTCCAAAAATTGGAAGGATCATGTGCTTACTTGATGAGTGGGGAGTAATTAACTTAAAGGTGAATTTGGATCCAATTGCACATCCAATGAAGTGTAATTAAATTTAAAAAATCATCAGTAAAATTTAAATAATAATTAATAAGATACGTTTAATCAAATATAACATAAATTTTTTATTAAAATTTTCAAATTCGATATAAATTTTTTTTAATTTCACCAAAATGATTTTCACTGGTAATCTAAATGGACTGTAAATTGATCTTTGTCTTGACGAGAGTAAAATATTTGAGTATCCAAAAGCCACGGAGAGTCAATAAAAGGGTGCCACCTAACGGGGTCTGCATGTAAAAATATACGAGTCCAAGCTCAACGTGTCATAAGATGTTGAACCCAAGTGTCAGTGTTGGCACAAGTCTGGAAATTCAAGCAACCTCTTTCTCCTTTTTCTCTAATTTGCTGCTATAATTACTCAAAAACTGCCATACCCGCACGCATTCCATTCAATTGCCGCTATAATTGTTCAATTGTAATGAATTCAATGTTTTCAACTTTCATCAGCATACAAGCAAAGTCAAAAGTTTAAGCAAGGCTGCTCCGGAGTTGAAGCAAAAGCAAAAGGAAACAAAAGTTTCCAAAGTTTTAAAGTCACCGTCTTCTCTTCCTCCAGGATTCTCTCTGTTTCCTCCCCTTCAAAGTTTTAGCTCTTTCTTTTTTGCTATAACCATCATGTTTTTGTTGTTTTAGCTGGTATTTCATTATTGAATTTTTTTAAAAAATTTTTTATTTGGGTGCTTCTCTCCACCAAAGTTGGAGCTTGGACATTAGGTATGGGAACTTTGACTTTTGCTGCCGTTCTCCCTACAAAGCCAAGACCCCCAGTGTTTGAACACCATAGATCTCTTTTTGTTTCCGGAAGAAGATCCAAGAAGAAGAACCAAGCTATTGTTCCTGTAATCTTCCTTTCTTTCTTCTTCATTTTTGCCTTTCATTATAAATTTTTTTGAAGATTATATTGATTTCATGGATTGGATTGGATCAGGTAGCAAGGTTGTTTGGGCCATCTATTTTCGAGGCATCAAAGCTAAAGGTTTTGTTTCTAGGAGTTGATGAGAAGCACCCAGGGAAGCTACCTAGGACTTACACCCTTACACATAGTGATATAACCTCTAAACTTACTTTAGCAGTCTCACAAACCATTAACAAATCCCAGGTAATCCTGTCATTTCATAACCCATATGAGAATTTATGCTACTGTATTATTTTTCATTGAGAAGGAAACAGGCCAAACGTGGATTTGCACTATGTAGTCAGCTGAAAAATTATTTGAACAAACAAAACCAAGAGGAATGAATATTAAGGAAAACATGGGAAGAAAGAAAAGTTGATATGACATTGAATTTGTTGGTAAACAGAGTATATATATATATATATATATATATTTTTTTTTTTCATTTCTCGTAAAGAAATCGGGGTTTGCTTGCAGCTGCAAGGTTGGTCAAACAAATTATACAGAGACGAAGTGGTGGCGGAATGGAAGAAAGTGAAGGGAAGGATGTCTTTGCATGTTCACTGTCACATAAGTGGAGGCCATTTCCTCCTAGACTTGTGTGCTAGACTTAGATACTTCATCTTCTGCAAAGAACTCCCTGTGGTAATTTAATTAATTTCTTTAACAAATGATTTCTGAATTTCTTGGTTGTTAATCTTCCGGTAGTTAATCTCTTAACATAATTAAAATAGGTACTGAAGGCGTTTGTCTATGGAGATGGCAATTTGCTGAAAAACTACCCGGAATTACAGGAGTCTTTGGTTTGGGTTTATTTTCACTCAAACATTCCAGAATTCAACAGAGTAGAGTGCCGGGGTCCGCTGGTGGAAGCTGGAGCAACTTCAAGTGAGGCAGATATGACTCAGACCCAACAAAAAAAGCAAGAAATCTCGCCAAGTAACTGGGAATTGCCCCAGCCGTGCCCGGAGAATTGTAACTGTTGTTTTCCAACAATGACCTTGATCCCATGGTCACAAAAGCTTCCCAATGAAAATGAAAAACATGGGTCCCAGCAGCAGCGGTTGCCTCTACGAAACCTGAAAACTATGGATTGAATAAAAATGATAGTTAAATTAATGATTGGTAATCATTCATATTAATTTGCATTTGTACTCTCTCTTGTTTGTGATGAAAGATGTAAATAAAAAGTCAATTTCTCAAAACATGTCCCCTCAAAATAAAACTGGTGGGGGGTTCAAACACCTGAATCGAATCTTTTTCCTCGACGACGAATCTTATGACAGCCAGTGTCTGGATGTGTTCAAATATGACCCATATATCTGATTTGAAGCCCTAGAAAGCGAAGTTCACACTTACATTTTGTAGTTGTGCTTACAATTAATTTGTTTTTACCAAATATGAATTTATTTACAAAAACAAAAAGAAACGTGCTACAATAGGTTCCCGGTTCTTCAACAACCTCTCCGACTTCTTTAATTTACAATGGAAGGGAAAGGAGTAGCCATCACCATTTGATAGCACCTCCCGCTATACATCAATCAAACGTGTTTTAAAGAAAAAGAAAATTGGGATTCAAAATCAATGACTTACAAGAAACTAGCAATAAATTACTTCTTGCAACTACTGCACATTTTTTTGATTACTTTGTGGGTTGGTTCACTCGAAAATTTTGATACTTCAGAGCATGTGAATGCTCACAGCATGTTTTCTCGATGCAGTCTGATAATTCCAGGCACGAGAATTGCTTACAGCATATTTTCTCGATGAAGTCACCGAATTGTGGTTCTTCCAAAGGATGATGCTCCTATTTCGCTATCAGTGTTCTGCATTAAAGATCATGACCAGAAATAAATGAGTTGTTTTATGGGCCATTGCTTAACAGAAGGTTGTGTACAAACGGAAAATAAGAGAATCTTGAAAGAACTTGATGCAATTAGAGGCAATTATTCACTGTTAGAGGCAGCACAGAACGATGCAGCAATCACTTTTCACTAGATGAAAACTACCTTTTTGACCAAAAAAGTAGTAGTACTATATTTCCTCTTTCTCTCCATGAAACTATTTATACTACCAAGAAAAAACTAGTAAATATATATGCCGCAAGGAACATCCACAAGTAGGGTAAGAAAATACTCAGATTGATATTAAAACTAATGTCAGATTAAATTGGCTAAAAAAAGTTAGGTTAAACAATTTGTGGAAAAGATAAAGATATTCAGATAACCAGGAATCCAAGTGTCATTACCTGGGATTTAGGTGAAGGGAACACATTCCAAAACCTTAGGGTCTCATCTCCAGCTCCAGTAACTATCGTCTGAAAGAAAAAGTGATTTCAGCCATGGGAAGAGCATGCATGTATAAATAAAGAGAAAATAAAATTGCATAATTTTTATCTATTTTATTCATTTTTATCATTATATTATCATAATACATAAGTAGAAGGCAGAAACTATAAAGTTTGTGAAAGTGAGGTACCTGTCCATCAGGTGAGATTGCAAGATAAAGAACTCTGTATGTGTGGCCCGTAAGAGTAGCCAACTGCATTAGTAGAACAAGATTTAAGAGGGAAAAAAGTGGATAATGAGAGATTATTATCATATATACACTGTTTTTAAGCTTTCTTTACCTTTGACATGGTAGAGCATCTCCAAACAATTATCTGGTTTTGGGAGTATCCATGAGTGCTGACGAGTTCATTAACATTCTTAGACCACACTAGATTGCAAACCTGTCATTCATAAAGTGGACATTAGCATCTTTTAGAATTTGTAACTCAAGTATTAAGAAGCACCACTGAGACAAAAGAAACCAGTGACAGTTTGTCAATTTCTATAATAAAACTTTACCATGGATACATTTCAAGAACTTACAGGAGAACTTTAAATTAAAAATGTAGATTAAACTTTTTGGTCACTCTTATCTTGTTAATATTCACATGGCTATTGGATTTCAGATTGGCAGTAGAGCTACTTTGACTACCATCCAGATGACAGCATGTTTCATCATTTCAAACTAATTGGAGAAACATCAATTATATCAATGCAGTCAGGGAAGCAACTTTATGCAGTAAAAGGTTTTTCCATTCCATGCACATTTATGGCCATATTAAAGGTGTATGATATGATAAAAACCAAAAAAAAAATAATCACCTGACTGCCAGTGTCCATGCAGCTCAAGTGTGTGTTAGTGGTTGTATTCCAGAAACGAATACATCGATCAGCTGTACCACCTCCAGAAGCAAGAAGCCCATGCAGATGGGGAGACCATGCAATTGCTTTTACAGCAGCAGTATGCTCACAGTATTTCAGGACAGGTTGAGTGGAATGTTGATTCCAAACAAAAAGCTGCACACGAATGAGAGTTTTGCCATTCAATCAGTTGAAAAGTAAGTGTATAATAAGAATCAGAACAAGTTAAACAGGCAAAAGAACTGTTTACATACTTTGTTGTCATTTCCGCCTGAAGCTAGTTCACGGTTATCATAAGACCACTTTAGTCCACAAACCTACACAATGGCCAAAGATTCAGACTCAGAGTTGGGCAACATGTTCTTAGAAGTGAAGGAACACAAGCATGATGAGTACCACATGCATCTCCAAAAATAATTAATGGCTGGCATTAGACGATGAGTTCATGACAAAACATGAGGAAAAGTGGAATTTATGAAATCAAAGAAGCTACATGATAGAAATTTAAATAAATATCCAATTTTAATAATATGTATATGTACATATATACATTTGTTAGGACCATACACACACACACACACACACACACATATATATATATAGCTGATTACATTGAATAAACTGAAGATGAGTATGAGTCTAACCTCTGACTTGTGTCCAGAGAGTTTACTAACAAAATCATCCTGAGCACGTATATCTCTTTGAAGAATGCTCTTGTCACGACTACCAGAAGATAATATAGAAGAGCTCCAAGCTAAGGCTCCAATACGTAATCGATGCCCCTCCATTGTTCTTATCCTCCGGCAGCGAGATGCATCCCAAATCTACATACAAAGTGATAGCCATTAACTAACTACATTATCCCACAATCAAAATGCTAGAAGCCAAATATAGACAAAGGTTAGATGACTCAATGTGGTCACCTTCCATGATCATGGTAGAAGTATCAGGTTACTAATTCATGTAAAAGTTTAATAAAGCCAAAAGATTCAAGCAAATAGATGAAGAGTCAGACCTAGCTTCAAAATTTTAAGTAACAAAACTCATATAAGCAAATAAAGAATGTAGTTTCCTTATATGAGGCCTAAAAATGGTAATAAAATAGAACAAAGTTTACGTCTTACATTATCAAAAGTTATCTTACACTGCCCAAAAGTTCTTCCAGTTTGTAGACATCTATAAAAAGATACCACAGATGCACTTAATGATATCACTAGAAAATTTCTAGTTTCCTTCTGGCCTGAATAAAAAAAATTAGGGATAGAGGCTTTCACTTTAGGGTCAGACTTTATCTGACCAATGAAGCATATTCCCACCAAATTTAAGGCTTTTTCTACCCTCCTATTTCTCCCAAAAATTATCTACAATTTAATGTTCTATAAGCTACATCATAAAAGCAAACTATTATTTTCAGTTGCAACTTGAACATAATGTGATAGCTTCAAAATCCCATAAAGGCCAACGACATATAGAAGCATCAGTAAACCCAAGAACAATTCCATAAAAAAATAATTGAGAAAAATTGCCAGCAAAATGAAATGAAAGGCAATAAATTTGTACTCTTCATATTATTTTTTGGATTCAGCAATAGTTTCTTTGGGAGACAAAACTTTCACACTTTGCACACATTCCACCACCCTTGTTTATAAAAGGCTTTGAAAACATTATCACGTTTCATAAGAACTAATGCCTTGATTCTTAATTATACTTATCCGCGTTCACAGGTTATCATCACTTAATAACGCTATCTAATTGTAACAGCTTAAATCTAACATAGCCAAAATCAGAAAGCAAGCATACGCACAAACTTAATAGGTTGGCAACATAAAGATTTTTATCATCCAATACTAATAATAAAAGCAAACCTGAACTTTCCCGTTTCTTGTCCCAACAGCAAGATGAGTTCCACGTTGAGCCCAACCAACTGAACAAACACTATCATCAATCCCCAAATCACACAACTTGGTGACCTTACTACTACAAGCATTCCACAAATAAACACAATTCCCCAACCCTACCGCCAACACATTAGTTGAAGACCAATCCACCAAATTCAAATAAAAATCATCTTGCAATGCAGGTGCATCTAAAACCTACAAAACCAGAAGAACAAACATCAGCCCTAAAAAGAACAAATTTTCAAAATTTCAACCTATTTTACTATAAAACCCATATAAAAAAAAAGTTACCTTGTAGGGTGACCTGGGAACCTTCCTGGGAGCTTTAACGGGGCTATGGCTAATCCCAGGTACCGACTCGTCGAGCCCGAAAGGTGAAAGCGAGTGTAATGGCCGTTTAGTTTCAGTTTTGTACCGGAAAATATTCCGGCAAGCCGGAAGGCCCGATGATTCCTTCTTATTGGGCGTATCGGGACCGAAAAGCGCGGCGCGTAAAAGGCTGTTATAAGTACCGGAACTGTCTTCTTTTCCTTCGGCTGACGTGGGAGAATTTGAGATGTCGAAAAGTGCGAAATTGGAGCCGGATCTGCTAGGGATGAACCTATCGGAGTAAATTGTGCGCGAAGGAGAGCGGTTGTAGGTGGAGTTGATCATACGGTTGATATGCGTTGTCCGAGACGGGAGGTTTTCGAGATGGAGGGAAGAGTCGGACATTCTCGACGGGAGGTTGAGACGGGGCGTTGGCGGAGCTGATTGATTACGTTGATTGCTTATCGTAGGATCGTCCATAGATAATTATTAGTTTTGGGGGTTGATATGATTGAGAGGCCGGAGACGAGTTTTTTTTTTTTTTTTTGAAATTAGAGGTTGAAGACGAGTCGTAGCTTGGTGGGAGGTTTTCTTTGTGGTGACGGAAAACGTTGGCACTTTTTATTTTTTGCGCGAAAAGTAGTGATTCGGTGTGGAGGAGTCTATCTTTATATGTGGTCCGTGAAGCTGTGAGTCGGTTGATCAGTCCTTACCCTATTTAACAAGTAATCTTGATGGTAGTAATTGTTTTTTTTGGAAACTTTTATTTATTGATAATTAATAAAAAGTTTTTACAAGAAAGTAATTGATGAAAATTATTTGTAAATAAAGAATGGTGGTGAATGTGTTGATTAAATTACATGGTTTGTTGTACTAAAATTTCAAGAATGAAAATTACTCTCATAAAATTGAGATATGAGGAGTTATTAAAATAGCTAATTTATATATTTATTTTAAAATTAATTTATATCAATGTAAAATTAAAAAAAATTAATTTTTAATTATTAATTTTAATATATTAAAGAGATAAGAAAAATAAATTAAAAAATTTTAATCTCCTTAAATTTATTAAAATTAATGGTTAAAAAATTAAAAAAGGATGCAATACCTTTTTAATGTAATTTAATTTTTTTTAATTAAAAGAATACAATATCATAATATGACATTAGAATTAAAGAGTTGATATTAATTGGATTGATAAAAAAAAAATCAAATTTATAGTTTGAAATTGTTCAAAATTTGTACTATTTCATTTAAAATATAGTAATTGAGAGCTTTGCAAAAAATTTAAATGAAACTTGACAAAAAAAAAAAGAATTTACATGGAAAATAATGAAATATTACTTAAAGCATTTTCCTATCAATTTATAATAGTTGAATTCGTAATCTTTATACGCAGTTATTTTTAAAATTACAAAGACAAAAAAATTACCGAAATAGGACATTTATTAGAATCTAATAGGGATTTTTCACTTGTTTCTCTGAGTCAGAGTGAGAGTTGAAGTGATAAAAGTAAAAACCTCGATTTCCTAATTTTTTTTTTTTTTTACGAAAACAAAATGCTCAATTTTACTTTTGTTTTTCTTTTGACAAAAAAAAAAAACCTTTTTCTTTTAATTCATTCAAATATATATTTTTTGAAAGTGAGATTTTTTACGACGTTTGATTAATGTGGGTTCCATTCCGGGAAATCTTAGTAACGGTAACGGCAACAGTTACTACCGAAGCGTTCTCGCGCTAAAGAAAAGATTTGGTGTGGGTAAAAGTAAAGTCAGCAGGGATTCCAATGACAGAAGATGGACCGTTAGATTAGGCAATTGGATTCGGCATTAGGATGAGCCCAACGTATATTATAATTGGGCCATCAGATTGGCGAACCGGCCCAACTCATTTCTTTCTTTCTTTCTCTCGCTTAAATTAACTTTCAAAAAAAATAAAATTAATTTTCTTCCAAACTGAAGCTTCAAACTTGAAATTTGCAGACCATTATTCCAGAATTAATCATATTTCTTTTGCTAAGACTTTATAAATTCTTCATAAAAAGTAAGGGAAAGTAGAAAATCTTAAATTTGAGTTTAATTAAGTAGGTGAAATGGAGGGGATGTTGCAGCATGAAAATCATGGCAGATTGGCAGTATGAGACAGGAAGAAGTTGATGGCATCCTTGAATTGTAAGGTCCCCACTTTGGCTGGCATAGCCAATACCCATTTCCAACTTCTGCAGATTAATTTACTGAGAAAGAATTTGCATATTTTGTATTGCATTATAGTGTTTTTTAATTCAGATTTCAGTCTGTTATATCTAACATTTGAAGCTATTAAAAGCAGCATTACAAGTTGAGAACTATTGTTGGAATGTGGAAGCCAGCGCATTGTGGCCCATTTTCTTGGAAGAGGTGGCTACCAACTCTTTCCACTCTAAACCAACTTAAATTTCAAGGGCCTTTGGTTGATAATGGTGTTTGACCACACAAAACAAAAGAATTTGTAAAGCATGTTGATTTTGCGTTCAAGCGTGCAACACTTTTTTTACTGAACTATAAAGTGTTGATCAGAGTCTTCTTTCATTGAATGTGTTAACAAAAATTACCAAGGACTTGCATGATTTCAGCCAAGAACTTCTCCACCGCTACAAAACTAGATTGTTTCCTACATTTTGTTGTTATGATGGTGAAATAAAGTAATATATATTCAAAAACCAAGATTTAATTTCCTTAGTTCATACAATCACTTTTAAAAAGGATCTTCATTAAATTTTATTTCAAATTTCAACACATGCAATCTATAATGACTTAATTTGTGAAAAACAATCCAAAATTTTACATGCAAAACTTTTTCTTGCTTCCATGATCTGATTTGAAATACCCTGTCATCTTGGCGGGGATGAGGGGTAAATGGAGCACTTTGGTTTTCTTTAACTTCTTCTGTCCTTAATTGTCACCGAAAGTTGCAATCATTTTTAGAAAATATTTAAAGTTCACGCTTATGGCTTTTTGATTGATGTAGGCCAGAAAGAGAGAACCGAAAAGTCCTTTCAATTTGATGCTATTTGAAATACGAAATTTCAAATAAACAATCACGAATCTGAAATTCTGAGGTTTGTTCCAATATGTTCTCAGAAATTATGAAACTCTCAGAAGTTTGGTCCTTTTCCTGAAAGTTTTGGGAAAAGAGAATAAATTCTCAACCAGCATATCCTTGAAAAATAGAGTTGTCCTGTTCCAAGATATTGAACACAAGAATATTTGGTTAGGTTTGTTTTTCTATCTCAAAAACAAATGGAGCTAATCTTAATGATCATACATGAAAAAAATGACATAAATAACATTTCAAGAAGGATAAGGTATGTAATCATGTTCGATTGGGCGTTGTTTGAGTTACAGAGGCTGTTGGAACCCTGATATGTCCAACCATGGAAACCTGAAGAGCTTCCTCTTCATATGCTCTCCTCTCCAACTCCTCCTTTCTTGCTTTCTTCTTCACCTTAACAAACATTGCCACCAAAAGCAATCCCAAGAGGAAAGCACCCAATGCAGCACCGATTGAGCTTCCAACTGCCATTTTCCATCTGCTAATCTTCTTCCTTACAGGCATTGATGGCGGTGATCCAATGACCAAACCGAAATGGCCATGCATGGTTGCAACACAAACATTGGGTGATACTTGGTTTTTAAATGTTACTTTACCATCTCCTTCAAAACTGGCGCACAAGGGCCTGATTCCTGTCATGTTGGATGCCTTAGTAATGTTGCTGAAATCTATTTTAATTGGTTTTTCCCTGGAAAGAATTCCAAGCTGAAAAGGGCTACTAAAACTTATATCACTGCCAGCATTATAAGCGAGGAGGCCCAATACAGGTGACATAAGCTGGTAACCTGATAGATCATAGTTAGAATAATATATGGATGACCAATTATAACCCAAGTTTTGTCTAACTACCATGACTCTTTCTGCACAAGGCTGCACAGTCACACCACTTCCCAGATGAAATTCCTTAACTTGTGCACCATATCGATGGAGACTTCCACATCTAAATCTTGCTGTATCGACTTTGATGCCTGAGAAGTTTGCAGGTAAATGTACAGTGTGTACAATACCTGTTCTCAAGTGCCTGTCAAAGGACTTTACTGTGTAGTCCCTAATGAGAAGATCAAGAAGGCGAGCTGATCTGATCCCTTCAGCTTCAGCTTTCATTGAGAGTAATGATGCCCATGAAAGTATTATCAATGTGAAAGAGAAGAAAGAGCCCATGAGAGGAGCTTCAGTTGGCCAAAGAAGTTGGCTAGAACAGTTCTGTGGTCTTTTTCTAATTTTTCTTGGCTGGTGTATTGAAGGAACTTGATATTTTTGAAAGCTATATTCCAAGAACAGATTCTTGTTTCTCTTCTAGATGTGACAGGTTTTAAGTTGCAAAGAAGAAAGTTCGTACTGTCTGGGGCAGTTTATAGATGATAGAGGCTTTGAATTGAAGAGAAAGTACCAGTAAAGAGGAGAAAAGAATGGTGTCCCAGGTAGAATCTACGTGAGGTAGCGTTTTGGATGATGTGGAGGCATCAGGCATTTTATATGTAGTTTCTCCAGTGGTTAAATCCAATAACAATTTGCCACATTGGCATATTAAAATGACATTCTCATTTTCTTTGCTATCAACCAGGTATCATCTACATAGAAATTTACTGAATAGTAGATAATTTTAGCTGGATTTATAGCAAGCAAGTGGCACTACTACGTAATTTGCTTTTAGACTGGCAACTAGTGATTTGGTATGTACATTTAAACTCCCTTGAAATTGCCTAAAATCTTCTGGCATGGAAAGAAACATTGACGAGCTACGCAAGGGAGGGATTAATGTTACGAGAAATGATTTGAGGCATGGCCCCTCATATCAAAAAGGAAATGAAAAGGAAGCTGGCGTGCTAAGGGATTGAAGTGAGGACATATTTCCCCTTTGGGGGCTCAGTACTCAAATTGTGTTTTTAACATGTTCCCCGTTTTTAACAAATTTGTGGGTCTCATGTTAGCTAGCCATATGGCATCCCATCATAATTCTTTTTATCCCTTTGATTACACATGACCTTTGTACAATAAAATCAAAAGAAATATTGAAATAAGCAGAAGAAAACGGAAGAAGATAGAGAAAAAAAAATCGAGGAAAAGCAAATAACAAAGTAAAACAGAAGGGAAGAACATAACAGTGAAATAACCAAAAGAGAGAAGATAATAATTCTCCTGGCCATTCAAACTTGGTTGAACCATGGAGCTGCCCAGTTGCCTAAGCTCTAGAAATTACAAAGGAAAATTCTCCAAGGAAAGCAATAAAGCATGGGCCTAGTAGGGCTTTAAAAAGGGCAAAAAAAAGAAGAGCTATTGTGAAGTTGTCGATTAATGGAAGTTCACATTTGTCTTGTAAGTCAATCCTACATTCCAATTGGCAGGTGCAACATTCCAACATATGATGGTCTCCTTGGTTGTGTATGAGGTGATCTTGAAGGAAAGAGATTGGCCTCTAAGAGCTGCAAATGCCTGGTATGAAGCTCCCCAGTTATGGCTCATGCTAATCCACCCTGTTTTGCTTCCTTTAACCCACATTGTTGCAATGTCACCACCTCCTCCTACATTCATCACATACACCAACAACCAGTACCCGTTTCCTTGGAAAGAAAATCTAAGCCCGCCTGACCTTACGCACGGTACCCTGCAAGGGTTAGAATCCTTAGACCATTTAGGAGAGCATGTATATTTCAACACTAGAATTCAAAAACAATTTCAAGAAACCAAGCTGATGATAGACACGTAGTTCATAACTTTCTTGGAGTACGTTAGAAAATGGTTTAAACATTCTCCTTCATATGCAAAATCATGTTGAATTTTTTATATCAAAACAAGAAAAGTCAGGATTTGAATAGGAAACCAGAAAATTTGAAGTTTGAACTACTAGGTGAGGCTTTAAGAGGGATTTCAGTATCCAAAGAATTTTCTTGAGCATATTATGATGTACGTACCTTCGATACATGACAGGGATAATGCCAGCCTTCCACTGAGCAATTTTCATGAAAGCGGGCTTGGACATGTCGAAGTGGACTCGAGGAGGGTTACACCAGCCACCATTGCTGGAGTCTTGGCCCCAATTTGGAGGGCAAAGGTTGGTGGTAGTCACAGTCGTGGATTGAACCCCACTGTAGCACCAAGGTGACTGAACACACTTTATCTGGTAACATGTAAACCCATTGTTGAAAAGTGTTGTGCTCAGAGCAGCTGTGTCCGTACCATAATCATTGCTTACCAAATTCACATACCCACAAGCTCCTCCTGTAAGCTCACACAGAAAACAGGGTTAATTACCACGGATTATTTCCCGCATCATTTTTTTTTTCATTTCTCATCTCATATTAGGAATTGCTAAATCGATGGTCAAATTTGTTTATAAAACCCTTTACTCTGATACGATAATGACTGACAAACTTTTTTGAGAGATTAACAAAATAAACTCTTCTTATATGTCTAAATATCAATCTTGATGAGCTAAAGACACAAATTAATGACCAACATATATGATTTAGAAAGGAAAGATTGAAGAGAAAATTCCCATCATATATGCCAAAGGAAAGGGTTAAAACAATGACTAGCTATATGAAAATGCTGATATGACAACGTATATACCCGTAGTCTCGGAGGCGGTTTCGTCGCCATAAAAGGTGGCATGGGCAAGGGCCCAGGAGCTTGGCTGGTATACTGGAGCAGCAACAGAAGTTTTGCTGATGATTGCCAACGTTGTAAGTGTCAATGAAAAGAACCCAAAGCTCCATGAATTTAAAGAAGAAGCCATGGTTTATCTTTCCTATGAAACTTTCCTCAGACAAATTAGAACAATGCCTATATATTTTCCTTCTACCAACCTTTCATAGAAGGATAAAAAAAACAAGTTGCATGCCATCGTGACACTCACGAAGCTCAATTCTCTCAAGCGTCAAACTTAAACTTTTGGAAATGGATATGTAATGCTTCATTCATCGGATATTATCATACAAATTTTTTAATGATTGTCAACGTGCGTGCAGGTTCTATTTGTGCTCTTTAGTTAGATTAATTAAAAATATAACTTTGCAGAACGTAAGGAGACAAGTCTTTATTGAGGAATACATTTCAATTTAATTTTTTCTTGCAAATTTAGCTGTCAACTTAAAGGAATATCGAAAATTTTTGGGTCCCGAAAAGATGATTCTAAGTTTCAAAACCTTTTTTATCAGGATTAGCCTCGATGGGAAGTAAGAAGCAATCTGCTTTCCATTAGATTGAACCCTGGTAGAGGAAGATGAAGAGAAAGTAATAAAGGGTTTTTGAATAGGTGCAGTGAACACAAAAGGGTGTGTCGAAGTAAAGGCCAATTTGGTAGCCATTGATGAATAAGGTAAAAATTAAGCAGGACCTCAATCTGTTAGAGCTATGCTATTCTGTTTTTGCTGGTTTCAGGCGGTGCTGAGAGTCAAGCTGATGATGATGGAGCAACCGAGGAACGTTTGGACCGTGGACGATAACCGATTTTTGATCTTACAAAATCTGCCTCGTCATCTTTCGTGATGGTCGTTTTCTGGGAAAATCTTGCCCTTAGGCGTGAGATTGACATGCGGTTGCCTTGTGCTGTCCACGTGAGTCCATTGGGCAGCCACGTGGGCAGATATTTTGGGGCCAGCTTTTTGACCTTTTCTGGTTTGTGTTTCTTGGGCTTCATTTATTGGGCTGAGCTAACCGAAGGTTATAGCCTTCGGGTTTCATCTACTCTTTTGAAGCCCGGTCTGGCCTCCTTTTTTCTTGAAAAAATAAATGAAAATTAAATATAATTTACAGTGATTCATTTGAATTTTGATCATAGTTATTAAAATAAAAAAAAAATTGTTGGATTATTATAAATTAAAAATTGAAGAATGAATTTCAGATCATTTTATAAGATTTTTAGCCTATATTATATAAAACAAAAAAAAAGAAGAAGTCAAGTTTAGGTACACATGAATTAAATTAGGGATGCAATTAAAAAAAAAGGGTAGGTGTCTTAGGATTAACTGAGGACAGGCAAAAATAAATCTTTTTAGATTTATTTTTACAGAAAACAGGTGATGATGGATTTCATCATGCTATTATTCCTTTGACAGAGAACAGATAAATTTAATCACTTAAATCAAAATCACATGAATAAAATAAGGTGGACAAATTGATTGTTTTAATAATTCAGTTTGGTCTACTTGCCTGACAAAATGCAGTTTGAAGTGTATAACAATTACTTATGACATGCGTACGATTAATTAACTTGGACATCAAATTTTTATCATATAAAAAATTATATAGTTAATTAGTTAAATTATTTTTCTATTTTCCTCCATTATGATAGTATTTTTTATTAATTTAAATTTGATTGATTGATTCAATCATTTTGATATTTGTGAATTTTTAATTTATTTTAGACCTGAAAATAATGGCAAAATGAAAATGTGATTGAAATATAAAAAGATTGACCCCATGTAAGCAAATGATTGTCGGTGCTTTTTGGGCATTGATGCACTACATTAGGACTTGACCCACTCCTGCTGGTGAACTACCTTTCAGAGGCCTGAAATGGAGCATCGATGCTTATAAATAAAAAATAAAAATCCACTGAAAAACAGTAGTCTCGTCCCATAGATTTTCTCAACCTTTTCCGTATTTGTTTTCGTTTGATCTTACCACCCCCTTAATCTAAAGCCAATAATTGGTATCACGTAAAAATGTAAATGATATATTATTATTAATAAATTATTTCAGATTCGAATAAAATTTGAATTAATTCGATTATTATTGAGTCGAGTTCGAACTTGAATAATTTGATTCATCGATTGAATTGAGTCCGAATATTTTTATGTTCGATTTGAGTAGCTCGTGAACTTAATCGAGTTTTTATATTTAAATATATATTTTTTATTTTAATTAATAAAATATATCGAATTTAAGTTCGAGTTCGAACATAAATAATTGAACTCTTATCGAGCATATGAATCGAGTTTATTTTTATATCTTAATCGAGTGAGTTTGAATAATTCGATTTCAATCATGAATCGAACTCAAGTTAAGAAAATAAAACTCGATCAAATTCGAATCGAGTATCGAATCACGAGTTAAAAATCAAACTCAAATTTTTTACTATATTGATTCAACTCGATTACACCTTAATCCTGGTCCATCCTACCTCCCCTTCAAATCAACTTAATTCCCATTTTCCTTTTTTTAAAATTAATTTTAACTAAAAAACATTTTTAAACACACACACACATATATATATATATATATAACAAAAAAATCAATATATTATATATCCTCTCATATCAAATATTAATTTTTTATTTTTAAATTATAATTAAATTCGAACGCATGACTTTCAATTTTAAAACGGACTTTTAGTATATTGATTTTCATTAAATTTGTGCAAATGAGATCAGTCCATAATATTGTTTGAATTTAGATATATCTTTTTATGAAAGTTTAAGGACTTCTATTTAGATCAAAACGACAATGAAAGTCCAAAAAACAAGATATAAAAAGTCAAAAATTAAGAAAATTTAAGATGAAAATAAAATAATATATATTTATGCTACAAAGATGAAAGCAAAAATAAATAATATATATATATATATATATTTATGCTACAACAATTGAAAAAGCGTTGCAAAATTAATAAATTACCAGCAGAGAAGAAGCAGGCAGATAGGCTGTGGCTGACCGAAAGCTCATTGACTGAAAGACGAGAAACCAACTACCTCATTCTTTCCATGTACAATTCTCGTGTTAACTCAGGCTAGGAAAATTCATTTCCTTTGTTTTTCCTTACGTAGAAATGTACAAATAAACCCCTCACCCCTCTTTTTTAAAGAAAAACTATGAATTAATATTAAAAGATTAATTCATTTTAAATTTCAATTGAAGTTTAATAGATATTGAGAGTTTATCGTCAAATCTACCAAACAATATTACTTTTTAAATATTATTACATAAATTAAATAAATTAAATTTCGAATTTATTTAAAACTTTTTTTAATGCATGGATCTATATAAAAGAATCGAGATTTTTATTTATCTCTCGAACCTAGCTATGCTAATTCAACTTTACATGGAGTTTAATATCTAGTTGAAATACTTGATACGTGTAAATTTGTTCTTATTGCTAAATGATCACTCTTTTTTATTACAAACTTAAGTTTGGTCAAATATAATAATTTTAGTTATTTATAAGTTTTTTTTTTCTTGCATTGAATCCTTTTAATTTCCATCTTCTTGCCAAATAAAACAATGAATGGTAAAATGTTTCCAAATGCGAGTAGTGAATGGGAAATTTAACTTCAACAATAATATTTTTGTTGAAATAAGTTTGAATCCTTTCCACCATGCATTTTACCTTAAACTAACTAATTAATCCAAAGGCAGGGGTTAGATGAAAAACGTGCAGTCCTGGCTTGGTAGTTGGTACTCGGACTTTCCCCAAAAAAAAAAAAAATATATATATATATATATATATATTTAGTCAAATTTCTTCTAAAGCAAATCACCTATTTTATAATTATGTATGTAAATTAACCTAACGTAATGTAGAATGTTTTTTATTTAGAATTGTATTAATTGAATCATAATCATTGAAATTAATTAAAATTTTAATTTTTTAATAACAAATCATTTGATTAAGTATGTATGATTTTCTCTTCGAATTATATAAAATGAAACCATTAACAATACGAATTTCTAGTCTAATCCTAAGAATGGTAGATGATAATAACAATCAGCTCGTATATTTGGTTAATTAAGATTAAGCGATCTTAACAACTTATAATATTAATTAGAAGTATATATAAAAAAAATGTATGTGTAAGATTAATTACTTGTTGAATCAATCTTTTGACTATGTAATTTTTAGATATAATTTTAGGATTAGAAGAATTATATGGGAGTGAGAGATAGCTTTAGATGAAAGAAATCAAATCAAGTTCCACATCACATCATAATTATTTGAGCATGTGGTTGAGAAATGAGACAAATAGTTTTCTATTTCAATTTAGCAGAAAGAAGAAGAGATTGTTAGGCTCAGGTTTCCCATATCCATATGCTCCAATCTTCCAGTCAACTCACTTTAGGACACTTTGACCATGGCTACTCACTCACGTGAACAACCTCCCATCAATTTTTCTTCGATGGTGTTTCCTTTCTCCTGAGTCTTGAGTTGGTAGCTCTACCCCATCCCGTGTTCACTCAGGCAACTTGTTGCTTTATTTTCCATTTGTTTTTTTCATCTTCCGCTTATCATTTTTCTTCAACCACAGCCCTATAAAAAGCCCATTATAATTAAGCATTAGCATTACAGCTGATACTACAATACGAAAAAGAAAAATTTGTGCGTTTGAAGAGTGGAAACAACAAGCTTTTCAAATAGGTTTAGACTGCTAGAATGGTGACTTCAGTGGCTTCCAGAGTAGAGAGCTTGGCAAGCAGTGGGATTCAGTCAATCCCAAAAGAGTATATTAGACCTCAGGAAGAGCTGACAAGCATAGGTAATGTATTTGAAGAAGAGAAAAAAGAGGAAGGGCCTCAGGTTCCGACCATTGATTTAAAGGAGATCGACTCCGAGGACGTCGAGGTACGCGAGAGATGTCGCCAGGAGTTGAAGAAAGCTGCCATGGAGTGGGGTGTGATGCACCTTGTTAACCATGGAATCTCGGACGAACTCATGGATCGTGTCAAGAAAGCTGGACAGAAGTTTTTTGAACTTCCTGTTGAGGAGAAAGAGAAGTATGCAAACGACCAGGGTTCAGGGAAGATTCAGGGGTATGGCAGCAAGCTTGCTAACAATGCTAGTGGACAGCTTGAATGGGAGGACTACTTCTTCCATCTTGTATATCCTGAGGAGAAGAGAGACTTGTCGATCTGGCCTAAAACACCCAGCGACTACATGTGAGTTTAGCTTGCTTACATTTAAATATGCTTGACTTCATGGTTTATTTTGTTTCTAACAAAAACATGCTATATTTGTCCACCGGATTCATTGACAACTTTCACATTTAATCAAGAAACCTATCAGTTTGACGATTATTTGGCGATCTATATTATATAACGTTTCCCTTCATTATTAACGAAATTAATTGGTTACTGTATATGCAGTGACGTTACAAGTGAGTACGCAAGGCAACTCCGAGGCCTGGCAACCAAAATTCTGTCGGCACTATCACTTTGCTTGGGATTGGAAGAAGGAAGGCTAGAGAAGGAAGTTGGTGGCCTGGAAGAGCTTCTCCTTCAAATGAAAATCAATTACTATCCCAAATGTCCTCAACCAGAACTCGCTCTCGGTGTGGAAGCTCACACAGATGTAAGTGCACTCACTTTCATTCTCCACAACATGGTTCCTGGCCTGCAACTCTTCTACGAAGGCAAGTGGATCACCGCAAAATGTGTTCCAAACTCCATCATCATGCACATTGGCGACACCATCGAGATCCTCAGCAATGGTAAGTACAAGAGCATTCTTCACAGGGGTCTTGTTAACAAGGAGAAGGTAAGGATCTCATGGGCAGTTTTCTGTGAGCCGCCAAAGGAGAAGATAATTCTGAAGCCACTGCTAGAGACAGTGTCCGAGACAGAGCCTCCATTGTTCCCTCCTCGCACCTTTGCTCAGCATATCCAGCACAAGCTGTTCAGGAAGACCCAGGATACTCTGTCTAACTGAGACCAGTCTTTATTTACATAAAATATATCTTTTTATATCTTCAATATTGTCGTGATAAGCTGTTTATGGGTCTGAACTCTGATGATGCTATATTTTCTTGGGTTAAAGCCATGGTTGTGGTAGGGTGTTGCCAGTGTGGTCTCTTTCACTCTATGGTTACTCTTTACCTGCTTTAGAATAATTAGTGAGACGTGATTTGCTTCCTTGTATTAATGGTCTTTGTTTACATTTTCTTCCTCAATATATATCTTGTTATTAAACAGTGCTTAGAAAAACTTTTTCCCCTCCACACTTCTTTTCTTAGTCTTAGTTTTGAACATATTAACAATCTTTTTAACATATAAATACAATTTTTTTTTTATAGAAGAGCTAGGCTGCAATTCGATGATATATATATATATATATATATATATAAGAGATTGCAAATACAACGTCTGTTTAATATTATTTTTTAAACATAAATTAATTTAAATTAAAATTTGGGTTTGATATATATTTATATTTTTAAGCAACTGTAATTATTTAAATAGTGCATCAAACTCAAAACATGCAAGTTTCTACCAGGTCAAGCAGCCTAGTAAACAGTATTAGCAATCTTATTATGTTTGTCGCCATAGATATTAACCTATTTTTTTAATTAAAAAATAAACTTAAATTTTATAAAAAATTATACATAAATTATTCTGTCAAATATTCAAATATAAAAAAAATTTCTTATCATGAAAGATTAATAGAACAATATGTAAATCCCCTATACAAATAAAAAAATAGTTCTATTACTGACGTGGAAATTGCTTTACTAATTAATAAATCGTCGACTGAGAATAAAATAATTTCATTGGCAATTCAAATCCCACAGATAAAGTGGTTCTGGCACATGTGCTGCGTGCCTCATCAACCGTTCAAGGGACCCTCAAGGAATTAAATAATGAAAACCATATCATCTAATCAATTCCTTTCTTTCAGCAGCCGAGCAGTACTGTTTTTGACTAGTGATATTTTTTTTATTTTCTTTGGGCAGTGCTAGTGTGAAGCTTTCCTAAATTGCAAAAGCACGCATCCAATCAAGTATGATCTTTCCTTTCCTTTCCTGAGTGAAAAGATTTTATGCCATAAAGAAGCTTTTCATGGACATCTCTTGCCCAATTAAGCTTGTCGGCAAAGTCATCCTCATTGGAACAAGCTAGCTTATTTTCAAAGCTCCTTATGTCTTGCCCAATTACATATGAACATGTTTTGCCCAATAATAACATCTTATTTAATACTAACTATTCAAGAGCAAAGATACGGAGTCGGGCCTTAGGCCCATGATAATCCTTCTCTAATCTCTCTAATGAAGAAATTCAATTTCAATATATTCTTACATGACTTTATAAATTTTATTTTTTTTGGGTATTTTAATTTATAAATGACTTCTATTATTGTAGTTATGAATCATGCAGTACTAACTGTATACAAACCAGTCAGCACATTATTTAAGATCTAATAATCAACTTGGAGAATGAAGTATTAGCTTTGTCAATTCGTGTTGCAGCTCTGACAGCTCGATGCTTCTTCCACCATTCACCTGTGAACAAGTTAAGCCTAAAACTTTAAGAGATCTATTGCTTCTGATTTATGATTCCCAATTAAAAATTGCAAAAATATTTACCTCCAATACAATAGTATGCAACACCCTTTCATTTGCTCTAGCTGAAATGCACTGAACCACACTTAGGCCTTGTGCAGCTATAACGTCAAGCACATTTGAAAGAGGAAGCCCTCGTCTCAACCCAGTGTTCATGGTAATCTCCACTCCTATGGAACAAGCTCTAACTTGTACAGTACTGTCCTTGGAACAGTCTGGTCTGGCTTCCATCATAGAAGAACTTGGTGTCTGCAAATTGGATGATCTTTTCAGTTCATCTCTCTTATCACTTAACTCCGTGATCTTGTTCTGCAAATGTTTGATGTACTTGACAGCCTCCTGCATGTGATCGGATATTGACCTTTTTCCCTAAAATTAAGACAAAATATCCAATGACTATACTTGAAATAATTTTAATCTAAAGTAAGAGAGCAAGATAAACCTTGAGATATTCAAGAGGAAGCCGTGATCGAAGTGTCGAATGAAGAGTAGTCATTTCTTGCCTTCTTTGTCGCTCAATATCTCTATGTATGATTTTCTTCTTTTTATTATCAGTAGGATTTCCATCGTTGACGCCAACAGCAATCTTACGCTTTCCCCCGCTACAATCACTGATCATCTTGGAGACAACATTGCCGTGTTCATAAGGGATCGAGTTCTGTTCATCTTTCTGTCGGTTGTTGCTGTCTTGCTGGCCGGGATTAATAGAAAAGAATTGAAGCAGCTCATCTGTGCTTTGCTCTGATGGGAACTCTGACACCACACAGTCCTGCATGTTTCTTAAGCCCCAAACTTCCTCTGCATCATGTTCCATCTTCCTATCCCGAAGTAAAATTAATGATTTATACGAAAGGGGATAGTTTTATTCAGGCATGAGATCGTTGTTATGTTTTAAGAAATAAGAATCCAAGACTTTGTTTTCTTTCATGGACAACTACCGTACATTTAGACAAAGACAAAAGCAATAGCAACTGTACATTTGGAGGGCTGATCAAATACTCACAAAATTCACATGTCTTAAACTACTAATACTAAAAGGAGCCCAAATATACTGCTAAGATTTTCTTATTAATTAATCGTGGGGTAGGTCAAGAACTTATAATGGACAAAAATTCAAGAATTATTGCGGATGAAGAAAAAATCTTCTTCCCTCAAATCAGAGAGTGATCGTTACTGTATGATATGAGCTTGAAACTAATACCGATTAATACATTCAAGTTTCTTGCCAATTAAATAGATGCTACAGTTTTTTTAGAAACCATGATCATTATTGTGAGGAAACAGGATTGGATGAATCTGATTTATCATGAAAATGTAGGTCCAGATGTATCATTCAGATCTGTGGCCTACTTGGCTGTATGAGTTCATCTCTTATCATCTAGCATGGCAATCAGAAAATGACAGGTGTATATATTTATTGAAATCTGAGAATTAAACATGGAGAATTCAATCAAAGTCTTGAAAATGCAAGTTATAATTTTAACTTCTTGATCGTTGTAGGTTAAATGCTCAAATTAAAATTAAACATTTGAATAATTATTTAATTTAAGATTAAATATTTTAATTTGTATAAAAAGTTATCAATTAATTTGTTATAATATAATTTTGTTTAACAGAAATTGAGATATGCATGATATGCGTTGTTAAATTTAACAATTATTACAAACAAATATGACTTGAAATTAAGTTGTCCACGTGTAAAAGCTGAATCTCATGTGCCATGTCCTTTGAGACTACGACAAACATATCCCACAATCTGTGTCCTTTTCTTCTTCATTGTTTTGAATATTTGGAGTTTTTCTCATTTTTCTATTCTTTAACTATTGCCACCAGGAAATCGTGCATAGATTTCTGCTTATTCATAATGGAGTAAAGATTGCAACTCATTTCTTTATTTAAATTAAGATTTGGATGAGATATATGTTTGTTGTTGTCCAGGGACTCAAGTGGCCTAATTGATGAATTAATTTAACTACTTATATTATTATCCTTTTTAATCAAAATCTCTTTGCTTAATCATGTGCTTGGGGAAGAATGATTCAACCGCCGGATATATACTTGTAGGATCGAGTTTGATGGATTTAGTAGAAATACTTGGTTGCTATGATCATCTGTATAGAATTGAATACCAAAGCAGAAAACCATATATCTAGAAGGACATTAAAGGCCAGATTCGAAGAACAGTAGGAAAAATTCAAGCCTCCTCCCTCTCCCTCCCCAAAAAATTTTTTTTTTCTCTATGTGTGTTGAAAACAGATCAAAAGTTGAAATACTTTTGTTCAAATTTGAAGTTAATTATTAAAAAACAATTAAGATTTCAACGAGTCATAATGCTAGGGGGAGGCTTTTTGTGTTCATGTTCAAACATCAGCTATACTTTCTTCATTGATCTTCAACGTCGACAAATTGGATTTACCAAAATCTGGAGTCTGGACCCATGAAAATAACCAATATTGCTTGCTGATCTAGCTTCTAAAGATATATAATGATGAAGAAAGCGTCATTCAGGATATCCTAATTATAACCAACGCATTGATTCAACATAATTTGCTTTTATACATATTTACAGCTATACGGAATATCAAGGCTGAAGAAAATTTTGTTAATCATTTTCAGAACCAACCTTGGAGGTCAATAATTACTTGGTCAACACAGCAAGATTTAACTCAGATGAGGGAACTGTCGACATTGTTAATTTGTGTTGCAGCTCAGATGGCTTAATACTTCTTCCATCATTCACCTGCGTACAAAGTCCAAAAATCAGAGTGCTTTAAACTTCCATCATTCAAATACTGATACGATTGACAACGTTAATTTACCTCGGAGACAATAGTGTGGATTATTAACCTTTTATTTACTTTAGTTGATATACATGTAACAACACTTAGGCCTTCTGCAACTATGACTTCGAGCACACTTGAAAGTTGAAGCCCTTGTCTCAAGCAAGTGCTAATGACTACCTCCACTCCTGCTAAACAAGGTCTAACCATTACAGTGTCCTCCGAACTATTTTGTAAGCTTTCCGGAACAGAACTTGAAACATAGGAATGGAATGATTTTTTAAGTTCATCTCTCTTGTCACTCAGCTCTAAGATCTTTTTCTGCAGATGTTTGATGTAATTTACAGCCTCGTTCATGTGATCAGATATAGATCTCTTTCCCTAAAACCAGTGAAAAGAAATTAAATGCAAATGATTTTAAAAAAACTGCAAAGATTCAGAGATTATGTATAACTAGGTAACCACCTACTTGAATTTTCACATGCAAGAAGGGAGGAGGAGCTAACCTTGAGATATTCAGAAGGAAGCAGTGATCGAAGAGTTGCGTAAAGGGTAGCCATTTCTTGCCTTCTTTGTCGCTCAATATCTCTATGTATGATTTTCTTCTTTTTATTATTATCGTTAGGCTTCCCAATGTCGACTCCGTTGACACCAAAAGCTTTAGCTGCTTTACGCCTGCGCTGGCTATAATCACTCCTCGTGGAGACAACTTTGGCATCTCCAGAAGGAATCAAGATGCGTTCATCCTGTTGGATTCTTTGTTGGCAAGGTATGGGAAAGAATTGAAACTCATCTGTCCTTTGGTCGGATTGAAACGTTGATGCAACATGCTCCATTTTTTCAAACCCTCAAATCGCCTATGATCCTATCTATCTTGTGTTGGATTCTAGACCACCAGTGGAAGTTTATCATGGGATCTATTTATTTTAAGCATATCAGATCTTTGATGGGCCAGAGATTCCAAGATTTTTGTTTTCTTTCATTGGCAATTATGATATTAGATATGACCTCACTCACTTCCAGGCTTATATTATTTGAAGGGTATTGCTATAGATATTTTTCTTGAAAATGTTATTGCTATATATTTTGTTTAACAGTAAGTTCCATTACATAATAATATATAATAAATAAAAAATTTATGAATATTTTAGTTAAATTACATATGAAGGTATAATAAATAACAATTTTAAGAATTGCTTTTCTAGTGATTGAGAGAGCTGAAAATTCACTCATTAAATAAATATATATATAATATAGAAATTTATGATTTATCTTATTTGATTTATGTAATTATTTTAAAATATAATATTCAATAAATTTAAGATTTAAATTTCAGTCTGTAATATTTTTTTATATCTTTAAACTAAGATATCTTTTATAAAAAAATATTGCATCATATAACCCTTTCTTATTTGTGAGGTTATTGTCACCTTAAATCCAAATTCCTGAATTATATTTGTAATATATTAAGCATCGGATTTTAATTTGAGGTAAAGAAAAAAAAAGATAATATATTTTTATAAACACATATATGACAGTGCATACCAATTGCCATCAGAAATCAGTTATCATTTTTTTATTCACTCAGAATCATTGAGGCAATAAAGGCACATAGGACAAAAGGAAAAGAGAAAGTATCCAATATAAAGAAGATCCTGCTTATAGAAAATTTAATTGATTGTACATTTGATAAGCATATCCTACCTGAAGTGGAAAGTGAAGTTATTGTTTTGAGCTCATTCAAAGAAAGAAAAGGTTGGAGAATGGTAGGAGGAATAGGGAAAGAGGTAAGTGTGCAATCTAGCATAGAAGCAGTAGCCATGGCAGCTGAAGAATGAATTTAGGTAAGGTTGTGGTGGAGATAGATTCTGCAATCGTGCATAAGTAGTTTGCAAAAAATTTTAATTTTGATTTGAAAATCTCACGATTTTATTTTTATGCACTTCATAAATTTAAGTTTAAATTTTAATTTATATATCATAATAAATCTTTAAAATATATCGATATAAAATTAAAATGTTACAAGCTTATATAAAAAAAAGAGAAGCCTTAGAGTGCAAATTTGAAGGAGTCAAAATCTACTGGATTAGTAGAAGTGCTAATGTAGCTGCGGATTGAGTTGCAAATCGATTCAAAAGGGAAATGAGCTTGTCAAATTCCTTAGTACATATATTGAGTAGGGATGGTTTCGTGCTCCTCCTTAGAATTTAGGTTGAATTTGGATGCAACCGCACCTATAATGAAATGCAATTAAGCTTAAAAAATTTTCATTGGAAATCAAATGAAAGTTTAATGAGGTGCGTTTGATAAAAAGCAGCAGAAAATTTTTACAAAAATTTTAAGATTTAGTGTAAATTTTTTTTAATCGTAATTATAATAATTTTCATCATTATTTTTAATTTTATTAAAATTAATTTTACTGTCAATATAAATAAAATTTTAATTTTTTTAATATAATTAGTAATTGTAAATGCCATCTGGATTGTTTGGGTTATTGGCAAAAAATAATAATAATAAACTAATTACATTTTAAGCTTCTTGTCAACTAAATTAATTAAAGAGGCCCCGTTTAATTTTAATGATGCTACCCATTGTTGTGACTTGTGAGGGGCCAGGATTAGGTGGGGAGTTTTGATCATGAAATATGTAGGTCCATTTATATATATATATATAAAAGAAAAACAAATGCAGTACGAGAATTTTTTTATTAGATAATTTACTTTAATGTTGTTCTCTTTCAAACACATTTAATTGTCAAATTCTGATAAGATTTGATGTATTAATGCTGATATGATTCCATCTTATATATTTAATTTGTAATTTTATTTTGTAGTTTAAATTTATCCCATATAGATATATAGATATATATATATATATGTCATTGACAATGTGTAAATAATTTAATATTATTGAATTATATTATTATACTTAAATACTTTATTTTATTAATCAATCAATCTTTGATTAAATTATTTGAAGGTGTGATACATAAGTGTTTCACATGCAAATAATGAGATTAATTATAATTTAAAGGTGTGATGTAAAATTTTTTTCTCTAGAAATGAGGATGAAAATTAGTTGACCAAGTAGTGTGAACCACAGTTTCGTTTTTTTATCTCTTCTTATACAAGCTATACAGACTTTGGAACACGATTAAATTAAATTCAATTAGCACGTTATTATTTTTATTAAAATAAATATACAATGAGAAAAAAAAAAAAAACGCAATATATAGGTGGATTTTAGATACTGTTATGCATGGGTTTTTTTATTTTATTTTATTTTTTCATTTGCGGGTCTTGAGATTGACGATCAAGCAAGTTATATATTGATATCGGTTTTTGGAGATTTTTGGAGTAAATTTAATAATTTGTATATTCGTATCATATAAAATATTAAAATTTATGTATTAATATTATATTTTATATAAAAATCGTATGTCATAATTCGTAAGAATATAAATTAACAAAATTTTCGATAAATTATTCGTAAATATATTTGATTTTCGTTCGTTTATATTCGTTTATTAAATTTAATAAATAATTTTAAATAATATTTTTATATTCATTTATTAAACGAATTGACTATAAACAAATATCTATTTGGTTCGTTTATGTTCGTGTATAAATTTGTTTAAAATTTATTTATTTATTATTCATTTGCTGTTTGAGTATAATAATATTAATAAGATTACATTTTTATCTCTTAGTTTAATCCTATTTTAAGGTTCATTTATGTTTATTTGGGTTTGTTTATATGCATTTAAGGTTTGTTTATTTAAATTTATTTGGTTATAATTTATTTATTATTCATAAATATTTATTTATATATGTTCGTGAATATGTTCGTTTAATATTTAGAATTAAATTCATTAATTTAATTGAACGAATACGAAAAAAAATAAAAATAACATATTATTTAAATAAACGAATATGAACAAATAAAGTAATTTTTTTATGATATAAATACCTTTAAAAATAAACGAATAAATACAAAAAAAAATTTATTCGTTCATGTTCGATTTGTTTATAGCTCTAATAATTCATGGTGACATAAAAATATAAAATATATATTTTTTAATTTTATTAAATTTATATATAATTATTATAAAATTTTAAATCATATTATTTTAATATATTATTTTTATATCATATTTTATATCTTGTATTATATTTTAGATTCTCAAATCTACAATCCAAAAGCGGACTGAGATCAGTTTAGACCCAGTGGTATATATGGGCCACTTTGCCGTGAGCCACGCCGAAAAAACACCTACGTTGTTTGAAACAAAATATATATGTTTTTCACTACTAGTTGCTGATGCTGGGCCTAAATGAAATTACTTGACTTGACTGCCCTTGAATCCAAATCGGGAATAGTTTTGATTTCTTTGTTCCATTTACACGAAGTTTTTGCACTGCAACGTTGCCTCCGTTGCCGGTTAGAAGGCATTACAGTTTACAGAAACATAAAAGAAGAAAAAAAACCCAGGTTTTTCTTTTATCCAACAGATTGAATGGAAAGCATCAAATGGGAGAAGAAACCAAGAAGATTAGCAAAGAAGAGGTAATTGCAAAACTCAAGGATGATGGTGATTTCGACAAGCTCCGTCTCAAAATTATCCGCAAGCTTAAGGACAACGTATGTTAATCCATCTTCTTCTTCTTATTTTTTGTTTCTTTTCCTAAGGTTGAAACTATCTTGTTTACTTCTTTGGGAATCAAGGTAAAAATTTTGGAATGTTGAGCTTTTGGGTACCTTGGAAAACATGGATGCTTGTTGTTTGTGATTGTTTGCTTCGTGGGTTGTGCCTTGATTTTGAGTATTTTCTTGGAATTGAGTATGATGATTATTTATGCGTGTTATTGGTTAATATCAAATTCAAGACTGTGGTTTTGGGTTTAATGGGTGCTGAAGAATTCTCTGATATTGAATGAAAGATTGACTAAAATTCTTTTTTCTTTTCTTCAGAAAGATTATATTACATCAGTTGTTGTGATTGTAAAGCTTGAATATTGTAGGTTCTACTTTGTCCCATACAGCTTGTCATATGGAAATAGCTTAGAGTGATTTATTATCTGTGTTAAACACTGCAATGACACTGTACAAGTTGATTAAGCTGCTTTGCGGCCGCAGATTTTTGACAAATCAGAGTCTTGTGTATCGTGCTATCAATTCAATCAGCCTTTGCTTTTCAAAAAATGTCCTTTTTGGTCTTAAAGGATCTTACAGTGATTGAATTTTATTTGATTTTATCACTATATGTTTGGCTGGTTAAATGTTTTGTAATTGCTTTATCAACTTGATTGGTAATGAGTGGTGCTCTTTTCATTGCTCGCTATATGGTAATAAAGAACTTTGCTTGATTATACTTGTTTAGATGTAAGCAGTTGTCCATTTGGATCTATGTGGAATATAATTGCTTCCGCTCCTAATAATTACTCTGTCAACTCAAGAACATGTCAATTGCAACTTTCATATTTTTGTTTGCACATTGTTCTAACCATGTACATTTATAAGTTCTTCTGAATAAGGCTATAAATTGCAGGAAGAATTACGCAACAACATCATTGCAGCTGTGAGGCAGTCGGCAGCACTTAATCGTCCAGGTGCTGAAAACATGAAACTAAGGCAACTATCAGATGCCATATATGATGAGGTTGGGTAAGTGTCCCCCTGTTGTCAAAGTTCTTGATGACTTTATCCATAACATGTTCATTTTTAAAAATGCAAAAATAAAAAAATCTGAACATTAAGAATCCTTAGGTTTTGCTTGGCTGGAAGGATGGAAAAAAGTGAAGACAGAAAATTTGTTAATCTAATGGTTAAGCTAGAAAGTAGGAAAGTTGTTATAAATTTTAACTATTAGATTAACAAATTTTCCATCCTCACTTCTTTCCATCCTTCCTACCAAGCAAAGCCTAATGGTTTTCTTAGTGGAAATCACGTTTGTTCCTGGATAAAATGTTTGCATCTTTCTTTATTATGTGTTTGGCATGAGGAGATTTGGTTATTAAAATCTTTTGTCTTGGGAATAAGATTTGGATATCAGAATAAATTTGGAGTACTTCATAAGAAACATATCAACTCAGAAAGAATGGGTTAACTTTGTTTGTGTTCAAGAGTGTGTTAGAATGTTCAGTTAATCCTTCACCAACTTTTTGTAAGTTCTTGTTGGTTGGTTTTGAGTTATTCAATAATATTGATGTTAATTTGATAATTCTAATGTTTCATAACCATTAGGAACAAAGTGATGGGCCAAATTTCTGATAGTCTATGGGAAATAATCAGATCAGAAGGTGGAATGAGAAGTGGAATAACAGAAACAGTACAATCTGTGTACAATAAATTAGCTAATCCTCAAGGGAAAGAAAAGGGTGAATCATCTATCCATGAAATGGTGCCTGTTGAAAAGGAAGCTGAGAATAATCGTATCATTAAGGCCACAGTTGGTAGAGTTGATGAGACATTATCTGATGGTGAACCAAAAGAACCACCAGGTTTCTCTCTGTCCAATAATCGTTACAGCAACCACCATCAGCTGCAGCATAAGGCAAAACAGCAGCTTCCTAGGCCTTATAGTAATGGAGCTCTAGAAAACTGTAAGGAAGAGCCCCGTCACTCACAGGATGGGAAGGAACAAGATGATGTTGATGTTGGTGTGCCACCTGGCTTTTCTGAAGATATTAACCGGAAGCAACCATGTGATGTCAGTGATGAGGACCCTGATGTGCCTCCTGGATTTGGTCGATGAGAGTCAACTTGCAAGTCATTTCCCATAACCATCGTGGAGCTGTAAATGTGGCAGAGACTTTTCAGTGAATGGGTCAGTAATGTGCTAATGAGACAGTATACCTTTTTTTCTGCTCTAAAATGCCCTAAAATGCTCTTCTTTACATGGCAGTCAGGGGGGGAGCTCCGAATCTGCTATGTGTGATAACCAGATGCTATTTTCTTTCTTTAATGAGTTTTTCTCATGCATGTCTTCTTGACTTGATCTTGAATAACTTATGATAGCATTCTTGAGAATCTGCTAGTTGTTACCAACATTTTAAGAGGCTTTGCTTTTTTATAAGAATAATCATTCTTATTGTCAATTGTTGGTGTGGGAAAACACTTATTTACAGCTGGCTGTAATCTTGTAATCTGTATATTTATATTTGTATCCCTAGAATTAAGGAAGATTTAGTTTCCTAGTTTAACCCCTAGTTAGTTGTATATAAACCTAAGATTCTTGTATAATTGTAGATAAGCAGTTTTTCAATATACATTCAGTTTCCACATGGTATCAGAGCTTTAGGCTCTTCTTGGGAAGAAAAATTTTCAGCCTTCATTGTTAACTTGTTTAGGCCTTCATTGCTGACTTTTTTAGGCCTTCATTGTCGAATCCTGTTTAGGCCTTCATTGCCGAACCCTTTCAAAGAAAGATATCACTATCACCCAATTTGAAGAAATGTTAACTGGAAAAATCACTGGAGTACTACAGATGTCTCAGAAACAAGGAGAGTTCAACAAGGAAGAGATTAAAAAGCTGAGAAACTTATTGAAAATCCTTGAAAAGCCTACTATGGTATGTTCTTTGGGTAAAGTTTCTAGTTCAGGTAAAGCTTCCGGTTCTCATGGATTAAATGTCTCGGCTAAGCCTATTATGAGTTCTTGGGTCATTGACTCAGGAGCCACAGACCACATGACACATTCCCCACAAAAGTTTAGTACATATAACCTGTGTCCTAGTAATAAGAAAATTGTTGTTGCTGATGGTTCACTTACCATAGTGGCAGGATTAGGAGATGTTCAAGTTAATCCATCGTTTGTTCTAAAAAATGTTCTTCATGTTCCTGGATTGTCTACTAATCTGATATCTATACAAAAACTTACCAGAAATATGAATTGCAAAGTAACTTTTTATCCCTCTTATTGTGAATTTCAAGACCAGAGTTCGGGGAAGATGATTGGACTTGCTAGGGAGAAGGATGGACTATACTATCTTGAGACATCAAATAACACAAGTAATATCAAAAATAGTTTACCTTTGTCATTTCTTTCTGAAAAATCTTCCAATAAAGACAAAATCTGGTTTTATCATTTTCGTCTTGGACATCTTTCTTTTGGAACCTTGAGAAACATGTTTCCTTCTTTGTTCAAAGAATTAAATGTTGAAGATTTTCATTGTGATATTTGCGAATTTGCAAAACATAGACGTGTGTCTTTTCCAATCAGTAACAAAAGAAGTTCTACTCTTTTTTACTTGATTCATAGTGACATTTGGGGTCCCTTTACAATTCTTAATATTTCTGGTGCGAGATGGTTTGTTTCATTCATAGATGATTGTACTAGGGTCTCTTGGGTTTTTTTTTACTTAAATCCAAATCAGATGTGAATAGTGTGTTTTTAAGCTTTCAAAACATGATCCAAAATCAATTTGGAGTAAAAATCAAGAGATTTAGGTCTGGTAATGTAAAAGACTACTTCAACTAGAGTCTATCCACCTATTTCCAAAAAGAGGAGATTATCCATGAGTCATCTTGTGTTAATACTCCACAGCAGAATGGAGTGACAAAGAGAAAAAACAGTCATTTATTAGCCACAATCAGAGCCTTTCTTTTTCAAGCAAATGTACCTAAATCTTATTGGGGGAAAGTTGTTCTCACTGCCACACACATTATAAATAGGTTACCTTCAAGAGTTTTGGGATTTAAAACTCTTATGGAACTATTCTCACAATTTTATCCCAACCTCAATACCACAAACAATCTCACACCTAGGATATTTGGTTGTACATCATTTGTTCATGTTCAAAGTCACAACAAGGGAAAGTTGGATTCAAGAGCGATTAAGTATTTTTTGTGGGGTATTCTTCAACTCAAAAAGGATATAAGTGCTATCATCCTCCTACCAAAAAATTTTGTGTCTGCAGATGTCACTTTTGAAGAAAATAAATCATTTTTTACTCAACCTTATCTTCAGGGGGAGACTTCATTCATGGAAGATAAGGATAAAGACTTCTTTTTGCTTGATTTGCCCCTTCTTCAACATTTACACCCATTAATTCTTATGAGTCGAAACCTGTTTCTGTTGAGCCCAAGTCAAACATTGAATTTGAGTCTGAACCCATTCCAAATACGAAAGATGTGACAAAGGATAATATTATTCTTGATTCTATGAAGGAATTACAGGTGTACTCAAGAAGGAAAGTTCCAGATTCTGAACCAGTGCCAGTCCAAGAACCTGATCCTAACTCTGGAAATGAGGTAACTACAGTTTTTGAAATGGAGGCAAACCATGAAAATAGAAATGAAGGCCTTAGAGAAAAATCAGATATGGGAACTGGTAGAGTTGCTTAAAGGAAAAAATCCAGTGGGGTGTAAATGGGTTTTCACTATAAAATACAAGGCAGATGGTACTGTTGAAAGGTATAAAGTCAGGTTAGTGGCTAAGGGCTACATTCAGACCTATGGAGTGGATTACCAGGAAACCTTTGCTCCAGTTGCCAAGATGAATACAATTAGGATTTTGTTATCATTAGCTGCAAATTACAATTGGCAGCTTTAACAATTTGATGTAAAGAATGCTTTTTTACATGGTGATTTGGAAGAAGAAATATATATATGAAGGTTTCACCCGGATTTGAAGGTCATCTAGAAGCAAACAAAGTATGCAAGTTAAAAAAGGTTTTATATGGCCTTAAACAGTCTCTTAGAGCTTGGTTTGGGAGATTTGCCAAAGTGATGCTAGCAATGAGATATAAACAGAGTAAAGGAGATCACACATTGTTTATCAAGCACTCTGATTCAGGGAGAGTCACAGTTTCATTAGTGTATGTTGATGATATAATTGTAACTGGAGATGATGAAAAAGAGAGAGAATTTCTAAAACAGTATTTGACTAGAGAATTTGAGATAAAAGAGCTAGGGAGATTGAAGTACTTCCTAGGAATTGAAGTAGTTCACTCACGGCATGGTATTTTTATCTCACAACAGAAATATGTGATGGATCTTCTGAAGGAAACTGGGAAGCTTGCATGTAAACCTGTAAATACTCCTATAGATCCTAATCATAAAATTGGAGAAGCTAATGAAGATGCTGCTGTAAATAGAGAGATGTAACCAAAGATTAGTTGGAAGACTCATTTATCTTTCCACATACTAGACCTGATATAGCATATGCTGTGAGTGTGGTAGTCAATTTATGCATAGTCCTAAAGAAGTGCACCTACAGGCTGTCTACAGTATATTGCACTATTTGAAGGTCAATCCTGAGAGAGGTATCTTATTCAAAAGAGATTCGGGGTTAGTTCTAGAAGCATATACAGATGCTGATTATGCAGGTTTCAGTAACTGATAGAAGATCTAACCTCAGGCTACTGCAACTTTCTTAGGTGGTAATCTTGTGACTTGGAGGAGTAAAAAACAGAATGTGGTGGCAAGATCAAGTGTTGAAGCAGAGTTCAGAGCAATGGCTCAAGGAATTTGTGAACTACTATGGTTAAAGATTATCCTAGAAGACTTGAAGATCAAGTGGGATGGACCAATGAGACTCTACTGTGATAACAAGTCTGCAATAAGCATTGCACACAATCCTGTCCAACATGACAGAACAAAACACATTGAAGTAGACCGGCATTTCATAAAGGAAAAACTAGACAGTGGGTTGATTTGTACACCTTATGTATCAACCAAGGGTCAACTTGCAGATGTGTTGACTAAAGGTTTCAGCAGTGCAACATTTCAAGAAATTATTTCCAAGCTGGGAATGGAAAACACCTATTCACTAGCTTGAGGGGGAGTGTGGGAAAACACTTATTTACAGCTGGTTGTAATCTTGTAATCTGTATATTTATATTTGTATCTCTAGAATTAAGTATTTGTATCCTTAGAATTAAGAAAGATTTAATTTCCTAGTTTAACCTCTAGTTAGTTGTATATAAACCTAAGATTCTTGCATAATTGTAGATAAGCAGTTTTTCAATATACATTCAGTTTCCACAGTTGGTCTTCACAAGTAACTAGCCCCAGTTGCTTCTATTTTAATTGTAACTAATCTCTAATTTTTTCACCTTTTGAAAAGGCATAAGGTAGGGATGTGAAAGGTTTAGCCATTTGTACCTCTTTTTAGAACAACTGTCTAAAACTCTGTCCATATTTGTGTTGCTTACGTGTTGTGCAATGCCGTATTTCTCTTTTCTTTTTTTTTTTGTTGTTGAGAAATTTACTTTGATTTAAGCACCAAACAGGTTTATTTTCAATGTTACTATTTTATCTATATGCACTTTGTATGGACTTATTTGGCAGATGGAATTACTTTTTTTTATATGGTTTTTATCACTCAACTTTTCACTTTTGTTCCTGTTGGTCTTCTGTTAGACATATTTATTACTATTATTTTTTTCTTAACTTCATCATCAAGTGTTGATCTTTAAATTAGAAAAGCAAAGGTATTCAACGTCTATGCCTGGTATAATGTTCCACATGCTTCTTCCCCCTTCATTGGATTGAGTTTGAATTTTCTGGTCATGAGGTTGAAACAATTTGTAATGTTACTGAAGAAAACATAGAGAAATAAGTTGTTACAATTCTGTGATAGCATCCAGGACTAGCTCTTGATTTCTATGAGAATACATTTGAAGCTTGCTCTTATGTCTTTATGCACATGTTTCTTACTCAAACCTTACTGCAATAGGACTCCTAACAAAGTATTTAGCAGAGACCCATTTGATGTATCCTCGAGTGAATTCACCAATGTTATAAGCTGAGTCAACTCGAGTAAATGTTATTGTGTAATTTGCCTTCCGGTTTAGGTCTGAGAAGTATAGTGTACTAGGCTACACAATCACATCAACCCCTTACGGCGCTATGACCATATCTTCGTAAGATGAATTTGCCTCACCAACCTTTGTCACAGTCCTTTTGTGTGTCTGAGACGGTCCAAGTTGGACAGAAAATAAGGGATAGTTTAGCTCTCCTTCTGGAATACTGGGCTTTCCTGACCGCTTGATTGATCTATGTACAATAATCCTAACTTCCTCATCTTTGTAGCCCAAATCACAAAGATACGGAATATAATTATCAGGTTGGACATCATAAATTAATCCTGGGTTATCTGCCCTTGATGGATTATCGTGGCCAACACCCGTATCAAAGAGATCTGCAGGTTGGAGCGTTTCATCAACAATGGGTTTGCCTCCTATGTTGAATAGGTTGGTAGGAGTCATCATAGCAGATTTAGTGACAGCTGGTGACCAGGTCGGATGAGAGCTCTTGAACAAGGCTGCGATACCACTGAGATGAGGGCATATGTGCCAAATATTTTATTGAAAGTGGATTTTGAATTTGTATCATTAAGAGGGAAGTGCCATGCTTTCATAATGTTCATTCCAGGGCCGATAATGTCTGGTTTCAGAATGCCTGGGCCGGCCAAGCTGGGGCCTCTTGACAAAAAGGAAGCAACAGAGGGAGATTGATGAATCTCCTATGATGGTTCCTCGAAATAAGATTGTTGCTGTAGGTGCTGCTGTTGAATTTATGTAAGTTTTGATCTTCAGCCCAGCAGCATAGCTTACATGGGTTGCTGGAAGAACATGACCATCAGCTAAAATACTGAAGCCACTAGCTTCTTTATTCATGAGAATCATGGCAACACTATCACCATTTTTCACTTCCTGTCCTTTAGCAATTCTTGCTATTCCACCTCTTTCACATAAAACCACCTTGCCTTTGACATCTATACCTTTCAATGATCCCTCGCCACAGAGTGCAGACTCTGGTTTACCATTCATGCCTACATAAACAAGCGGTAACAGCATGGAAGGAAAGTCATTGGGTTGGAAAATGGATTCTCCATCAAATTCTTCTCCATTTCCTAGCTTTGCTATGGCTACAACTTTTCGATCAACGGCGCTTGCTCCAACCATGAGAAACCATGGGGCTTCATTGGATAATGTGGTGTTGGAAGCCCCTGATTTCCAGCTTAACAACTAATAAATATTCCATTCTTCATTGCTGCAAATCCGCCCACGGTTATGTTGTCCTGGAAGAACGGAACTGCATCTACTCCGAAAGAGGGAGATCGCATCCACAGCATCCTCAATTGCAGCATCAAACACAGCTAGTTTGTTGCTATCGCCAGTCTTCTCCAAAGCATACTTCATAAATTGCCAGGTGAGCAAGTGGTGCCATCCCTACAGCTGTACCTTTGGCATTTCCCAACACATCAACATAGTTTTCAAACCTACCTGCAGCAGTGCTAGCTGTGTGAGTCCCATGTCCATCTTCATCAATTGGTGGTTCAACTCCCATGCCCTTGGTCATATTTCCATCGATATTGAAGGACCTTGCCCCAATTAGTTTGTTATTACCGGCTGTGAAATCGCATCTTCTTTTCCATTTTGCTGGAGGTGGCATTCCTTCATCCCTGAATGAAGGGTGGTTTGGCAAAACTCCAGTGTCCAGCACGCCATTTTTCACACCTTTCCAAAGTTTGATTCTTTCCAAATTCCCAGTTCCTGATGCAGCCCCTAGAAGCGGGGTGTGTGTGTTGTCTGTGTACGTCTTATCCTTTGAGGACGTGCTGAGATCCCCTTTTTCGTTCTCATTCTCATGGCTTGCACTTCGTCTGTCAGTCTTGCTGCAAAACCACTGACGACACTTGCACAAATAAATGATGCATGGCCGCGTGTCTGAGCTTGCAGTGTTGAATGGCAGAAAAGATTTGTACTGGCTCTTTACGTCTAGATTGTCTGATTGTCCAAGAACTCCTACATCTGACTGCCCAACATGGACAATGTAAGTCTGCAACTTTTTCTTTTCATTTTCTGTTGCAGATGAAAATTAACTTCGTTGGACAATCAGAGAATGGAAGTTGAACAAGAAAATGATACAAATGAAGTAAGTGATTTCCATCTTTGATAGGAAATGGCTCCTCTCTAGTAAGTTGGAGGAGGGATATTTTTTTCGTTTTTTCACCACTTTTTAGTCTGCCAATACATACAAGTGAGAGGACGAAAGATGGCCGGCTTCTTTAAATAAGCCTCAGTGCAGGCTAAAATCTACTGCTGGAGTATTATAGTGAGCCCATTCATTTGTATTTGTTGAATAATACCCTCTGTAATCATACTTTAAACAGCAATATAGATGCCTTTGAGTAAAGCAGATTTTATAGCTAAGGGATTCTTTTCGAGTCAGCAATCTAAACTTGTGTGCGTGAGATTTCAGGCAGCAATCTGAACTTTAAAATACCCACCAGCGAGTAGGCTGTGCTTGAGATTTCTTGGTTTATCTTGTAAATAGAGTTCAAAAAATCAACAACAAATAAACTTTAATAAAAAAAAGAAAGGAGGATTTTCTTACCAGAAGTAACTGCTGTGTCCCAAGGAATCATGCAAAGGAAAAGGAAAATTTATTCCTTGATCGGTTTCTCTTCTTACTCGAATTGCAAAAATGGAAAATATGGTTGGTGTACGTTGAGTTGATCCGTCTTTGACCTTAACTCAAAAGCAGGCACTTAAAAAAATGCCATTTATAATCGAAAGAATTAGTGGGGTGAAAAGGCTGATGCTCAATCAATCAGTTCTTTGTTTCACTTGAACATTTATTGAAGAAAAAACGCCAAAAGCCAGTGAAGATTGTGGACCAGGAATAGTAAATTACAAGCTTTTGTATGAAAACATGGCCACGCATGGGATTAAGCTGCTTGAACTAGCCATTCCTTATTCGAATATGGCAACAATTGGGCTTGTAACATTATACTGATCAGAAACCCATTTGAGAAGTCCTTGGGAAAATTGCAAGTCGATGTTCTTTTGTCTGCTAAATGTCACCGAGTAAGTTGCTTTCTGGTTCACCTCTGTAAAAACAATCTGATTCGGTTTTACACTAACATCTACTCCTGCTGGAGCAACGACTTCATAGGTGTAGGGTGAGCTTGCTGGGCCAACATTTGTCACCGTCCTCGTATATCTTTGAGAACCAGACTCCGGTAATATTATAGAAAATGAAGGATAGTTTAGCTCTGCTTCAGCTATTATTGATTCACTGGAGCAGTCCACAGGTCGTTGCACAATAGTTCCTACCTCTTCGTCAGTGTAATTCAGGCCACATAAATAAGGGATGTAGTCATCCGGTTGGATATCATAGATAAGGCCAGGGTCGTTTGCTTTGGATGGATTAACATGACCTGCGCCAGTTGCAAAGATATCAGCAGTAGTGTTTGTTTGGTCAACAATGGGCTTCCCTCCAAGGTTTACCAAGCTAGCTGTGGTCATGATAGCTGATTTTATAGCAGCTGGAGACCAGTCTGGATGGGAGCTTTTGAGTAAAGCAGCAATCCCACTGAGATGAGGGCAGGACATGGAAGTGCCAGAAATCATGTTAAATGTCAACTTTGTATTTGTTTTGTTTTCCACAGAAACTGGCCATGCAGCTAGAATGCTTACACCAGGGCCAATAATATCGGGTTTCAAGATCCCAGAGCTTTGCATATTTGGGCCTTTTGAGGAGAAAGAAGTGACTTCAGGAGCAGATGGCTTTCCTATTACAGTACCTTTGAACAAGATTGTAGCTGTTGGTTTTGTTGTTGAGTTTATATACTTTTGGATGCTCAAACCCGCTGTGAAACTCACATGTGTTGCAGGAAGTACGTGGGGATCAGCTATTGTACTGAAGCCACTAAGCTGGTCATTCGCGAGGATCATGGCAGCGCCACCATTGTCCTTCACTTCTTGGCCTTTGTCAATTCTTGCTATACCCCCTCCTCTTTCACACAAAACCACTTTTCCTTTGACATCAACATCTTTCAATGATCCAGGGGCGCAAAATGCGGATGACGCGTTACCATTTGCTCCTGCATACACAAGAGGCAGTAACGTTGAAGGGAAATCTTTAGGCTGATAAAGGGATTCACCATCAATTGTTAACCCATTTCCTAGCTTCGCTATTGCTAATATGGTCCTATCAATGGTGCTTGCTCCGACGGTAAGAATCCACGGGGCCTCATTTGATAAGGTACTATAGCCAGGACCTCCGTTTCCAGCTGAACAGCTCACAAATATACCCTTCTGAATAGCTGTAAAGGCACCCAATGCAATTGAGTCTTCATAGAAGGGAACTGAACCACCTCCTAATGAAAGTGAAAGGACATCCACTCCATCCTCAACAGCAGCGTCCATTGCAGCCAATATTGCACTTTCTGAACAGTACTGTCCACATACTTTGTACATTGCCAAGTGAGCTAAAGGTGCCATGCCAACAGCTGTGCCATTGGCATTGCCAAACACATTTGCATCCCCCACAAAATTTCCACCAGCTGTGCTTGCTGTGTGAGTGCCGTGACCTTCCTTATCAGTTGGTGGCCCTGCCTCATCTTCTGCAAGATTTCTTGCACCAATTAGCTTGTTATTGCATCCCCTATCAAATTCACATTTGCCCTTCCATTTTGCTGGTGGCGGAGGCATTCCTTCATCACTGAATGAAGGGTGACCTGGGGTTACTCCAGTGTCTAAAAGCCCAATTATGACTCCCTTACCATAATTTGATTGGTTCCAAAATCCAAGATTTTGGGTCAACCCCAAAAAGTCAGGACTGTGTGTTGTATGTAGAGAATATACTCTTTGAGGCCGAGCAGATATGACACCTTCCTTTCTTTTCATTGCTTCTGCTTCATCTGCTGTTAGTTTTGCAGCAAATCCTGTTGCCACATTTCGATAGGAATAAACAATCCTGGTTTGCTGGCTGGATGTGGTGACCGGAAGGAACGATTGATACCAACCATCTAAGTCTACTGCTTGTGCAAAGACTCCCTCTGGTTTCTTAAGGTGAACAATGTAAGTTGATAAGCCGCTTTTCCCATTTTCTTTGCTCATGGGCATAAATTCCACTTCTCGAGCAACTGCTAGAGGAATATTAAACCTGAAAACACGAGTAACTAGAAAAATTGCTACCAATTTTGGCAGCATTTCAAAATGTTTGCCCTTCATATTGGTTAAAGGAATGAAGAAATCTAATGTTTTCGATTACTATATACTACTATCTGCATGCAGCTCCATTTATAGATGGTACATGACGGAGAAGGAGAATGTTGGTACAAATGTTGGCCGTTCTCTTTACGATAATAATTAAAATTATCATTGGAGGTGCTACAAGAAAATTCTTGTTGGGTCTAGTTTGTCAGATTGTCGATTGGGATGGAAGCCTACAGATTTTTTGGATTGGAACTTGGAATTTGCCGCTGCTGTATCCAGTTGAAAAAAAGTAGCGATGTGCCTTAAGAATAACAGATTTTTGGGGACTTCTCCAGCAAAGCCAACTGCCATTTACTTCTTGTTTACTTCACTATGTAAATTCTCCTACTTCTTGGTTTATGGGAATTTGTCTGCATGTTACATTTACTATGACAATTTCTAAATGTTTAAGTTATGCCTTGAACAGTCATAGGAAGCCTCATTGCATAACCTAGGAAAAATAGCAATTTCTTGGTTTGATTATGGTTTCAAATCTTTATTTTTTTTTTGGTTTCTTGCACTCTGTAGCAATTAATAGGCTACCAGTTGTGTTTTTCACCAATACAGATTTCTTCAAGTTTTTCTGATATTAACCCCAGCATATTCACAGTAATTTTGCTCAAAATCATTGTTCTCTGTCTTTGCATATATGGACTTAAGCTTAAAAATGTTAATTTTACTTATTTTTAATAAAAAATTTAATTTTTTACTCAAATAAAAATGAAGATGAGTATCATATTGTGAGTATAAGGATGAAGAAGAATATAATTTTAAATTTTTATTAGAAACAAATATAAATAGCATAGTACCTGTCCCTATACTCATATTCTACATATATATTTTTATATATATTTAATATATAACTTTTTTATTAAATAATATAAATTATTATTTTAGATTAATTAAAATTAATATATTTTTATTAAAAAATATATATTAATATATATTTATAAAAAAATTACTTAAATATACAAAATAAAAATAAAAAAACTATATAAAATTTTAGTGTTTAATTTTTTGTTAAAAGTTATGAACATCTCCATACCTATTAAATATCCATAAGAATGAAAATAAAAATAAATTAAAAGTATTAATTAAATATGAATACGAAAATAAATATAATATAAAAATTAAAAAATAAAAATAAAGAATACTTTATCTTATCCATTAAAATCTCTACTTCAATTGTTTTCTAGCAGCTTGTGCAAAGATAATCATAATTTCTTTATTTACTAATATATAAAAATAATAATTATAAATAATAAAATATTTACAAAGTTATTATCTAGTCTAAAATTTTCGTTCTCTTTATATTTATTATAAATAATAAATATTTACAAAGTTATTATCTATTATTATTCATAAATATTCATTATCAATAATTTTTTTAACGTATATATAGTTGAATTATTGGGCATTTGGAAACACAAAAAAAAAATAATATTAGTGAATCCAAAATTGTTTCAAAAAAACAAACGATTCTTCTTATAAAAAAAAAAAAAACGAAAAGAATTCGAATGAGTGCATGTAATTTACGGTATATTCTCCTTTTAATAATATAACTCTTGAAGAGAATTTTTTTTAGAAACTCTTCGGGAGGCATTTTTGTATTTATAGAACTTGAGAGGTTGTGGGCTAAAGCCTTTTATCTTAAGCTACCGATTAATCATCTCATAGTAAAAAGATTAAGACGCGTCAATATTTTTTATTTTTTGGTATGGGATTTTTTTATGTGTAAAAATTATTTTGAATCTCAATTAATTTAAAATTAAATAAAATTAAATTATATAAAAAGGTAAAATTTTTTAAATTTGTTTTTGTTTATTTATAAAATTTGAAATAAAAATTTTACTTAAAAAAAAAAAAAGAATATCTTATGAAGGTGGGTGAGACGCGTCAATATTATTTGCACGCCTGGTGACAAGTTTTCTTATTCAAAAGTGAGATTGTTGAAGGAGCTGTCCCTAGCATTCCCCGTATGGTTATATGATAAAACTGCTTGCTTGCCCGTAAGTGGAAGGGGAGCCAAAATGACTATCCTCTTTGTCACGTTGCGGGTCCCAGGCTCTACTTGTTACCACGCATGACCTGACAAGCGCATTTGTTTCTGCAAACACCTGCAGAGTTTCCTGACATGTCAGAATGCTTTCAGTCTCACTTTAATCTCCATATCTATCTCTCTCTTTGTTGGACTTGGATAGGAACAAGAATTCATAGAAAGACAACTGGGGCGTGCATGGTGTCATTGTTGCATTTGTCGTTTTAAAAAACAAAGGATTTTCTTTTATTACTGAAAACACATTTTAAGAAGATGCCCATTAGCCCATGCTATCCCATCCCCATGTACTCTGCCATGAACTAAAAATTTTCTGACTTAAAAAATCTGTTTTTACTGTTGCAACTTTCAGATAGAGTATATCTTTAACCTTTACCGCTAATTCATTGTATGTTGCAGACCCTACTGTACCTGCTTCTTGACCCTTTGTTTTTTCTCTGATTTGTGCCCACACGCAAGAAATGGAGCCCGTAAACTCTCCTCTACAGATTGCCCGTTTTGCAGACTTAGGTACTTTTCCTTTTCTTTCTCTCACTCTCAGGGAGCACATTACTTCATTTCTCCCATCATGTATTGGTAATTGCTTTTGCAGGGATTGGACTTACAAATTTGGGTGATTCGTGGAGCATGGACAGTAATAGGCTGAGTGGAGGAGAAGGGTCACCTCCAATTGGGCTAGGTCTTGAGCTTGGACGTGGGTCTGGTCATAGACCAACTGGGTTCACAGTTTTTCAGCTGCAAGAACTACAGCTTCAATCTCTCATCTACAAGTACATGGAAGCTGGACTTTCTGTGCCCCATCATCTTCTTCTTCCTATATGGAAAAGTGTTACTGGTTCTCTCAGTGGATTCCATGGCAGTCCTTACCAACTCTATTCCGGCTGTAAGTACCCAAAAGTCCAAAACCATCTTTTCTTTTGCTACTACATATTTTTCTTTATTTTTTTGGGTTAATTGATCGGTAGTAATGAATTTACTTTTTGTTCTTCTGTTCTTTGATCTTGGTCCAGTTTTGGATTGTGGATCCTTGCATTTGGGGTATAAGAATGGGCTGGATCCAGAGCCAGGAAGATGCAGACGAACAGATGGGAAGAAATGGAGGTGTAGCAAAGAGGCAGTCCCAGATCACAAGTACTGTGAGAAGCACATGCACAGAGGGCGCCAGCGTTCAAGAAAGCCTGCGGAAGCTTCTCAAGCAACTAATACTGATACCAACCTTTCCATTTCTCTCCAAGTGGATAACAATGGCAGCAGTGGCAGCAATCTCTCTTCCAGCTTTATTGGTTTCTCTCAAAAGGGTGTTCTCCAGGATGGGGGGCAATCCAAAAGCTGAACTTTCACTACAAAATTTCAGGAATTACTGTAGGACAAAGGGATTTAATATGGACAGATTTTCGTAGCCGCTTGTTGTAGGGAAAGCTCAATCTCCGATTTTGTTTTGAGACCTTTTGATTTTGTTTTGATGTAATGTCTGAGATGTGAGAGACATTAATGGTGTTTGTCGGTGAAAGGAGGTAGAGACTGACAGGCTCCATTACTGATCAATCTCTACCCTTAGCTAGCCTGGATGTCTAGATACCGATGCACTTGCTCCTATTTGGGCTTTTTCCAATGCTGCTGTGAAATAAAGGGTTATATGCAAAGCAAACCGCTGGCTGGCTTTTAGATTTCTAATAAGCAAAGCCCAAAACAAAGCCCAAAATCATAAATCTTATGATTAGACCTCTTTCAGCTGAAGTATGGGACTAGCCATTATAAACCAACATTCATTGAACATTCATCAACCCCTATTTTCTCAAGTCTTCTTTTTTATCTATATTTCTACTTCTCTATGTTAATGATAAGTAATCAAAGTTGCTTTAGACTTTTGTTTTTTTTTTTTCTTATTTTAATAGAAAATTAAAATAAAATGAGAAGCAACTCTTTGGAAACAAAAATGAGATAACATTTTAAATAGTTTTTGATAGCATCTTGGAGCATTTATTGCAAAATTTAAGATACTAGTAACTAATTATACAAAATAGTTATACCTTATTGTGTAGATCAATATTATATATAAAAAATTATTATAAAAATACATTAATAATTGTAATCTATACTCTCACGATTTTTTACCCTTTTTATAGCACTAATACAAATCTATAGCTTGATTATGCGTAAGTAACAAGATTTTTTTTTTGATTATATCATGAGGATAAATTTTTAGTACAATAAAAGGAATGAAAAGAAATTTAATTTGAAATTAAACTTTTAATATCCGTTCAAACGTCTTTAATCATTAAATTTAAATTTTGAAAACGTAACAAAAATTTCATACTTAGTACTAAATGCTAATATTATATGTTACATATCCCAGCAATTCATCAGCTGAGATTTATTGACTTGTATATATATATTATTAATTGACTTGTGTATATTAGCATTACAACTATGATAACCCCCAAAGGTAAATCAAATGCATTAAAAACTATGAAACCAAGAATCACACGTGCGTAACATCTTATTCATACGTTGCGTGTTTTGGCACTTTACCATAAAAAACACGCGGTATGTAATAAACCCTTCACTGTAAAAATTAAAAGGAATTACTGTTAGTAAAATAAATAAATAAAAGGAAAAAAGAAAATCTGGTCAGATTCAGACCAGAGTCGTGCGAGCGAATCCATTACCGACACCCCTCTAACATCTAAGTTTCTTTTCACGAGGAAATCTAATTAATACATTTATGTTTTGTTTTATTCCTTTCATTACCCTTTCGTCCAATCCAACGGGTCACGTTTATCCATTTTCTCAAATCTAAATCTTCACCCTCTGATCAGATCATCTCACTGAACATATCCTCCTCCCTTCATTCCTTCAGATCTAACACGCCACACAAAAACGGAAGAAAAAAAAGAAACAGTTTTTGTTCTTTCTCTCTCTGTTTTTCGCTTCTTGATTCTTGGAGAGAGAAGAAAACCCAAAGGAAAAGGAAAAAGTTTGAGTCTTTGAGCTTAAAGTTACTATCTTTACTATCATCCCAAAAGACCCAAATGGTGGAAGCGCAAACATGGACAAGGAGGATGAGCAACCCAAGACTGGACTCAATCGCTACTGCCGACCACAAGGTTTTGGATATTCCGGTAACCCCAACTGGTGATGTTAGAAACAGCGTCTACAGCGTTGGATCCCATCTCTCTCCTAACCTTTTAACAGCACTGATCATTGCTTCATGGTTCATGTCCAACATTGGAGTCCTTTTACTGAACAAGTATCTACTCAGCTTTTATGGCTACCGTTATCCAATCTTTCTCACCATGCTTCACATGATCTCATGTTCTTGTTACAGTTACGTAGCCATAACCTTTCTTGAAATAGTTCCAAGGCAACACATTTTGTCAAGGAAGCAGTTTTTCAAGATCTTTGCTTTGAGTGTTATTTTTTGTTTCTCCGTTGTGTGTGGGAACACATCTTTAAGGTACATTCCGGTGTCGTTTAACCAAGCTATTGGTGCAACGACCCCTTTTTTCACTGCTATTTTCGCTTTCTTAATCACTTGCAAGAAGGAATCTGCTGAGGTTTATTTTGCACTTTCGCCTGTGGTTTTTGGGATTGTTTTGGCTAGTAATAGTGAACCTTTGTTTAACCTGTTTGGCTTCTTGGTTTGCATTGGTTCTACTTCTGGTCGTGCTTTGAAATCTGTGGTTCAAGGGATCTTGTTAACTAGTGAAGCTGAGAAGCTACATTCCATGAACTTGTTGTTGTATATGGCGCCTATGGCAGCAACGATTTTGTTGCCATTTACTTTATATATTGAAGGGAATGTTGCAAGAGTCACACTTGAGAAAGCTAGGAGTGATTCTTTTATTATTTTCTTGTTGGTTGGGAATGCTACGGTGGCCTATTTGGTGAATTTAACAAATTTTTTGGTTACCAAGCATACAAGTGCCCTTACTTTGCAGGTTTTGGGCAATGCTAAAGCTGCAGTGGCTGCGTTTGTGTCGGTTATGATCTTTAGAAATCCGGTGACCGTGATGGGAATGACTGGATTTGCTGTTACAATTATGGGAGTTGTGCTTTACAGTGAGGCAAAGAAGAGATCTAAGGTCACAACACACTGACAATAATTTTAAAAGAAAGGATGGGATTCATTTTGATCGCCACAAACACGGGTGCGGCTCTTTTTTCTTTTTATTATTCACTGTAATTTCTTGTTTTTTGTTTTTTATTTTTTATTTGATTTAATGGAGGGAAAGAATCAAAGAAGAGAATTTGGATAAAAGAAAATTGTGATTGGATTGTATAGTAACGATGGAGGAAAAACAGGGAAAAGGGTTTGATGCTCTTTTTTCTTTTTTATTGGGGTAAGAGAATAAAATTCTCTCTTTCACTTTTTCCCTGTTTGTAATCTTACACATTCTGTTGCTGCATTAATAGGGACAGATAGAAGACTCAGTTCAAATATTCATTTCATGTGTTGTAGTTGGGAGAAGAAGTTCTCCCACTTGTATATGTTGGACATATCTCCTGCTGTTTCATTGTTTGACTTCAGTGTTCTGTTCATGAATTCTTCATTGTTTAACTTCCAGCTTAAATCCATTCATGTTGACATTCTTTGGTCTTATTTCTGATTTTGGAAGAATTTCGGTTGTTGGTAATTCTGTTTCGGGTCTAATCCTTGTAATTGGGTTTAGAAGGAAACATGTTTTTTTATGATGGAACAGCCTGAGAATGAAGTGTTGGTGCATTTTCAGGTGTCCTGAGAATCTGAAAAGAATTTTCTTCTTCTATATACCATTTGAAAGTTCATCTTTGTGATCTGTTATGTGGGTTTTTCCATCCAACGATAATTGGTCAACTGTTCATATTTATTTCTCATCATGGTTGTTATTTTCTGTATTAAATATTATGTAGAAAACAAAAGGGATAGCTTGAATTAAAACTGATGGACAATGAATCAGCGAACGGCCTATTTCTAGATAAGCATTGAGGTCAATGACCATTCATTTTTGTTACTACTATCAATAAACGTGTGAAGAACTTTAGAATCCTTTTAACCACCGCTCCAGAGTTAAAAGTTGGTAAGATTCCATATTTCATTTCCAGGAAACCAGCTGCAAGTGATTAAAATGCAGCTTTTTGCTGACCTGTGCACGATGTTGAGATACTGGTTCTGTCTTCTGGACAAAATACTTTTTCTATGTTATGAATTTGCATGTTCTATCAACCGGGATCAAATGGAGTTCTGGCATCGGCAAGTGTTGATTAGAGAGTTCTAGCTTGATAGAGGTGTAATAAAGTAATACAATCGAATGAACGTTTGCAGGTATTAGCAAAACTGTTCTGTTACTAGTGGCGCAATTTGGGTCGTCAAATTTTTACGCTTGAAGTTTGTAGGAAATAAAAGATCAAGGAAATTGATTTTAGAACGAAATAACGTTTTTGAAGGCCAAATCAATGTCAATCCATTCAGAGATACTTGTCTTATCGGGAAACAACGTGGAAATGGAGCTGTGAATGTCTGAATGGTCAATCAACTGACAATTATATAAACACGAAACGGCGTGCCTGTTCATCTGCTTCAGCTAGAAAACGACCAAATCAGCCTGCGGTTAACCTATTCCCTGTCCTGGTTAACCTTGAGGCATTTGCTCTTAGCAGCCTCGGTGTCGGTTGCCACGTATGTTTCTAGCAGTTTAAGCTGACAGAAATCCACTTGGTGTGGCTTGATTAAGATTTTCCAATCAGGGAGGAACTAAGGGTTGCTCAAAATTTTTGTGGCAGTTGGAACTACATATTCTCACAGCGGCTAGCTTTAAATTATTGGGTTGGTAGAAAGGCAAGATTTAGAATTATGCGTTTTATTGTACATGTATCTAATGTGGCTTTGGACTAGGCAATTCAAACAAACAGGGCCTGGCTTGCAATTCATATAAAAGTTAATATTCCAAATCATTCGGTGTGGACTTCTTTCTTCCCCCATTCCATCTGGTCGAAGGCTTTGCATAAAATACAATATAATGCTAACGACTTGCGAGCCAAATCACAAAATGGGGTACTTGGAAAGATGACAAGTTGCTTTCAATCTACTATTCGTGAAAAAAAAGAACCGAAACGCTGCAATTATACTCCATTAGGCATTAGTTGCTACTGCTGCCAGGTTTAATCCTGGGTCACCTGTCTATGTCGGAGATGGATAAAGATGTTGGTGACCTTAGATATTTGGCTTTATTCAAGTGATTGGGGGTAGAGGGGAGGAGACCAGCATTTGCCCAAAAATCCTTGGTTCCACTTTCAGGCTCCAGTTAACCATTGTTTTTTTAATGTAAAAAAAATTTCAATTGAGGGGACTAAGCAATTGCTAGCTTCTGATTCCACTTCCTGAAATCTGTCAGCTCCGCAAATTGTACCAATTGTCTTTTTCTAGTGTTTGCAAGGGTGACCACGTTCACGTCATTACCGGTTGGTGAATCCTTTGGTTGCAGCAGCAGGTGCAACACATTGTTAAAAAAAAAAATTGTTTGCATCCACTCCAAAAATCATTGTGGGTTACTTTCTTAATATCGCAATGGAGCATGTGGTGCCTGAACAATTCCTGTCACTTTCCCAAGACTCTGATGTTGTCTTGACGTTTTGGCATGACCTTTAACCAGAATTTTCACCCTTTTTTTTTTTTTTTTGGTAGAGGTTTAGGACATTGAAAGAACAAGTGCAGCAACTAGGCTTCTTTTTTGTGGCAGAATTTTTTTTAATGAATGTAACCGAGTTTGAGTCTGAGAAATGTTGGAACAAAAAGGGAAAAAAGACTAAATTTTCCATGTTTAGCAACCTGGCCGACTGAGATTGTTTGGTTCGTGCAAAACAACATCAAAAGTTCCAAGAACTTGTAGCCATGTCTAAGCTTAAGAATCAGGGCAGAGGCCTCGGTAACATGTTGCTGCGGCACCATGGAAGTTTTCTGTTGGGTTTATACTTTATTATCAAATGGGATTCCATTATGCCATCTCTAACAATCAGGTTTTTTTTTTTAATAATTGAGACTTAATCAAATATTTAAATTGTTGAACTTTTATTAGTTTAGATCATAGGGAGATTTGACAAATTCACAAGAACCTCTAAGATGCTGAGTTTATATGAACAATCAACTGGATATGTGATGTCAATCAGTTGAATTGACGATGGGGACTCCCTTTCCATGTTTGGTGTCCTCCTGCATTGGTGAAAATTCATTATCAAAGCATCATCATCCATTGATGTCGGCTCACCTTTAGCCTTCAATATGGGCTGAATTATCGCCGTTACCATTCCCCATCTGCTCATCGGTATGGATATTATTTGTGGGCTCGGCTAGGCTTTTATTGAATTTATTTATACAAGGAATTTATAACGTTCTCTGACTAGAAAGCCCAAAAAAAAAGAAAACAGAAAAGCCCAAAGAAAATTTGTTGACAGAAATAGCATAAGCCTCAAAGAGAAGACGATGACTTGATTAATATAATTATGGCAAACCATTGTCACAACCCTGTTCTCCAAACGGAACAAATAAAAATAATAGCAAGTTCAAGAATTGAACACTCAAAAACAGTTTAACCTGGGAATTAAGCTGGAACAACATTGCAACATTAAACAAGGACCATCCCAACAAAGCTAACCACGACCACAATCCATCCATAAAAGCTAGATGCAGCATTTCCTCTTGGAGCAGATGTTGATGTTGTTGAGATGGGAGTAGGAGTAGGAGTAGGAGTAGGAGCAGAAAGAGGAGATCCCACTTGATAAAGCACATTTGCTAAGCTTCATGTTTTGGGCTGCGCAGTACCTGGCTGCACCGCAAATGTACCATTTTCTTCGTGGGTTGGCACATGTCACCGCATCATTTCCGGTGATAAGAGGAACAATGTTATCTGCTGCTTCACATTGTTGGAACTCAGATCCATTAACTCTAAGGTCTAAGCACATTGTGACCTGCCGGTGTATACTTGAAAACTGCATCAAGAAAATTATTTACTTAATTGTCATCAGGCTAAATAATTGCGAGTTTACATGTATATATATAATTTTAGACAATAGAGAGAATGTTACCTTACCAAGCTTATCTCCAACTCGAAATTCCTTTCCTGCTGTTCAACCTTGGTAATCAAAGTCAAGACTCCATTCTTTCTAATTACCTAATCACCAACCACAAACTCAGTGGCCAAACTTGAAGGAATTCCAAAGTAAGCAACAACAGCAATGATGAAGAAGATCTTGGAAGAGGCCATTGAGGAAATTAGCAGGCAACTGTCTTCCAGTTTGCCATGGATGTGTTCTTCAGATGGTCTTTGCGGAAATGCTTGCAGTAAAGAGTTTAGAGTGCAGCCTACTTACAAGGTTTATGATGCAGAAATGCTTAATTTCTGCATATGTGATCCGGCTGAGGTCGGCACAGCCAAATGAACATGGAAACTTACGGGAAGAGCGCATAAAAGCTTCAAAAATCAAACAGGTTTGGAATATTGATTTTCTTGGAGATGTTTATATAGCTTCGGAGGTTTTGATCGGCTAATAGGAAAGGAGATTTTATCTTCAGGACCAAGTCGACTCTCAGTAAGTAGAATTCTCTGTTGCCTGGAAGAAAAGAGAGAGAGATGGAGTCCCAAAGAACTGAAGGTGTAACTGGTCTTGATGAATCCGTTAACAGAAGTGTTCCTGCTGGAAGATACTTTGCTGCTCTTAGTGGACCTGAATTAGACTAAGTGAAGGTAGCATACTAAAGTTATATATATAACGTATGCTAATGCCATGAATTTGATCTGCTGAAGTAGATTTTTAGTATTCATGGTCTGGACTCTAGTTACTTCACTTTCAATTTTATGCTCCTGCTTTCTGCAGGACCATGGGGACATTCTCCTCCCAAAAGATGAGATATATTGGGCCCTTCGTCCGTTTCCCAATTGGTTGCTCTGGTTATTATCTGTCTTGGACTACCAGCCAAGCTGCTCTATGGCATGCCCTGTCAGGTAGCCTGGATACCAAGTTTCTCCACATTACAACATTTATCACTCTTTTCATCAGGGTATTAGCCCTGGCAGAACTAGTCTCAGTCTCCATAACCAACTTGCTCAACCGTACTGACTACTTTGACGCTGTCAAAAGAGAATACTTCCATCCTTTCAGTCAGTTTCTTCTTTGCTCCTTGGTTTGTATGCATAGTCCTCCAGCTAGGTGAGTTCTGATACCATAGCCATCTTGTCAAAAGAGAACACTTCCAAGTTCCACCCTGTCAGCTCTCATACCATAGCCATCCAACTAGAAATAATTTTGAACTGATACCACCTAGCATTTCCTGAGAAACTCAGTAAATAATTTACATTTCTGAACTAATGGCCATTACATTTGTTATAATGCTGCAAAATTGAAGTCAAAGGAATCGGTAAGAGGCCTTGTTAAAACCTGTAACACTTTTATTGTATTATGCACTTGTGACCCACAAGTATGGAGCACAAAAGTTCAGTTTCTTTAGAGTTAAAAGATTGATTTTTTTTTTTTTTGCCACAGATAAATATTGATTTGTAGTAAAGTGGATATCAACAGATTCCATATACACCGAAAACCTATGTTGATATGATTTCTGCAATTGTCAACTGTTGATCCGTCAAAATTCTAAACCAACAGCAGAATATTTAAGTTGGATGTTCATGTGGTGGTAAGCCATCTGGGACTGCTGCCTTTACTTTCAGCGGATGCCCAAGCTCCTGCATAATCTCCATTTAAAGTTATTCTTGAAAATTTAAAATTAAGGAAAGATGAAAAAGATAGTGTTAACGATCGATCCAAACAAACCTCATGCTCAGTTGATTACCAACTTCAGTGAAGCAACCATCACTCGCACACTGAATGTTCTTTCCGCTGAGCACATGTGGTTTCTCCTTTGCCAAATGCATCATCTACAAGACAATAGCATTTAGATGCATTTATTCGTTGGAGGAATTAAAGCCTTGTGAAGAGATGCAAATCGAACTTCGGTGCTGAAATTATGAAACTTACCTCATTTTCTGGTTGGAAAGAAGTCAATCTATTTTCTTTTGAGCCCTTATACCAAAGAACAATTACATCAATAACACACTAAGAAAAATAAAAATTCAAAAGCGCTAATAAGAAATAACAGAGTTAAAATACTAGGAGAAACTTTGTAGATATAAACGTTGGAGGATCTAGTCTAATTTGGGATCCATTGCTTGCCTGTAGTTCAGTTGTAAGAGACAGCTGGCAGACAACATAGACATAGAAAAAGAGATATTAATAACATATGCCATGCAAACAACGAGACCCGAAAAAGATCAAACACTTCAATTGCATTCTTACATGCCACATAATGTTAATTGGAAATATAAAAAGGAGGAAGATGAATTACAGTATAACTGAAACATATTTATTAAGGTTTACCTTACTAAAAAGTTCTATGGGTGGATTTTGTGGAACCTTCTTCTCTGTATGGAAATTAAATTCCTGTTTGACAGGCAAAGCACAATATCATATCAAACAATTCAGCCAACAATCAATTTGAAATAAAGAAAGATCTTCCATGCTCCACCATTGGCACTGTGGTTTCCCTCTTGATATTTCGGAAAACACCAATATCTCCTTTACTGGAAAATATCTGCATACAGGGAATTAGATACACCTTAGATAGGAATCATTGATAACTAGCCCAAGCAAGCAAACAATACACTGATGTAATTTGTTGTTTGTTTACCTTCTTATTCAAACGACGAGCTTTGAAGTTGTTCTTTGTGTCACAGGCATCCTGCCTAGTGGCATCCATGGGACTTGGTCTAAACAATGCAGGAAAAAATTCCAAAGTCATTCCTTTCTCAGATTTAATACAAATTTAATACTAATAAACACCAAGGGACCCATATATAAAAGAATTAGCACAATAAGAAATGCATGCTTGGATAGATGCCTACATGGTATATATTCCGCACAAAACTACATTCTCTAGATAGTTAAAAGATAAAACATTTACCTTCTGGCTTCTCTAGTTCCATTGCCACTAGCAGCAATTGTACAAGGTTTCTCAGACCTCTGCAACAACACAAGTTTTGCAGAAGTAACAAAGTGGATTGATTCATAAAAAAGCCCAAAGTAAGATGATACATAAAGATATCAATGGGTAACCTTATCAGCGTCATTTGTTTGGAATGAGGAGGATGATACAGCTGACGAGAGGTGTACAGCCCTTTCTGATGTCTTTAGGTGAAATTCCTGAGAAGCAATGAGAGAGCAATCTAAGCTAGCTACATATGGATGCAAGGAACCTCATTTTGCCAAGAATCATTGCTTGTCATGATGCTTCCACAAAATGCCATTAATCCAGGAACAAGCAAGAACCTACAGTCTGTTACTTACTTGAAACACTGGCAACTTTGGAATACTCTTCTTAGGAAGAGGAATTGAAGGAGCCTTGAGAATCTGCAAATCATAAATACATATTTGAGAGGAGGGAAGTACAACAAAACCAACTTTAGAGAAAGTCCCTTTTGTCACATCATAAGTACCAACTTTTCTATTCAATGGGCGTGCTTTGAATCTATACGTGGCAGATGTAACATGCTCTTCTTCTGTACTGTTCTTAGGCCTGAAATGAAGATATCATTGCACCAGCAGCTTATTAACAATACTTCTACAGTTGTACTCTACCTCAAAATATAAAGAAAAGTGACCAGAAACCAACCATAATCTTTGAGCCCTGTGGGCTGTTTCAAGCTCTGGTTCCCTTGGAATGGTAAGCTTCAGCTTGCTACTGATGGTGTTTCTATCTATTCCATCCTGCATAACCACAAAGAAAAGCTCAGAAAGTTTCAGATGCAAGACAGGTTAAATCCAAATGCACTTTATAGATCTAGACATAATTTGAGGGTATACCTTTTTAGGTGCCTTGTGGACCAAAATAGTCTGTTGCTTTGCCTCATCAACCTGCCATGCAGAACAATAGTTTAGCCCAAACCAGAGGCTTATTTGGTAAATTATGTAACTCAACCACTAAATAATAGAAATTAATGATAAAGTTAGAATACCTAAGTCTCAATGTGGAGAAGGAAAAGTGAAGACAGGCCAACTAGAAGAACTGACCTATGCAACATCTAGTTTGCCTCTACTCTTAGTATATGAAAAACACAACCCATTAGAGCACCTTGTGATAACATGCACTCATGTAGTTATTAACTGCCAACTTGTAAACATTAAAAAGAAAAGGTTCTCTCAACAAAATAAAAAACACTTGAAAAACCCAACATGTTCAATACAAATGGTTTCCATGAGAAATTCTCCTCGATATGAGTAACATAGCAGAAGTATGAGAAATTTTACAAACTCATGTACCTTACATGAGAGACCTCCCTCTAGCTTCTGCCTCTTGGCAGCTTGACTTTCAACCACAGAAGAATTACCTTGGCTTCTATCACTGTTTAGCACCTGTAGCTTCTGAAATCTACAACAGAAAACCAAATAGAAAGATCAGAACTGTAAGATTTTAGTAAAGGAGCTTTCGCAGATAAACTGTTCCTCTTATTGAAACTAGGATTCTTTTACGTTATAAGGGATAGAGCATTTTCATGCATTACCTGGATGTAGCAACTTGAGGGGACCAATTTTGTTTGGCTAACTGACTTGCAGTAGGTTTCATGTAAGTCGAGCTCCAGGGCATTAATGGTTTCAGGCCCTTAAATTTAGCTTTTAATTTATCACTGGGTATATGATTGTAAGTTGTCGTGCCTGAGAGAGTGAAAGGAAAATAAGTATGAGCAAACATATAGGTAGTAATGTTCCTATTAATGATAAAAGAATCATTACAGACATGTTCAAGCTATAACAGAAGACAGATTATACGTATAGTGACTAAATTCAAGCAAATAGATGGGAACAAATCTAGAAAGTACACACCATTCAGACTATATTTGTGGTTAACGAAACATACTTGAGAGCAGGCAACAATGATAACAATAAGAAAGCAATGTCACTGGAGGCAGATACAAGGAAAAAAAAAAAACTGTACAATCACTTTGCAGAAGTGTGCCGATCACCTGTAGTTAATTGAAATGGTTGATTCAGAGCCTTTTGTAAAACTTTCTGTATATTGGTGAAGGCCGCTCTGTTAGTTCCATCGTTGCCTAAAAACAATAAAAGAAACAATAATATCGGTTCAACCCAGTTTTCAAACTTTCCGAAGAAAAATTTTCTTTTTATTTACCCATTGTTCTAGTTGATCTACCCTCCCATTTACTCAAAGGATTAACCAACAGCTCTAAGACAGATTACACTCAAGCTCATGCTTAGTATAATTGCCTGCAGAAGCACAAGCTTGCCTCGAAGACTCTCTCTATATTTCTGAAACAAGCTCCACGGCTCCTTTAATATCAGCTAAATTATAGCTTTCGGTCGTAGAATCTAAATAGAAAGCAAGTTCAATAAAATAAAAACTCTACATATAGGTCGCAAAACGGGGTTAATTGTACCTCTATTAGTGGCAGCCATAGCTGAAAATTCCAATGCCATCACATTTTCAGAATCATTTTCATGTAATGTACTAGTGTCTTCCATGTCTTCACATTTTGGAGACGACTTAGTCACATTTTCCAGGAGACTCTCCTCCCTTAAAACTAACTTTGTCACTAAAGCTACAATCCAAAAGGAAAGGGTGAAAATATTGACAGTAAAATCATCTTTACAGCTTATTTTTCTTCAACCAAACAAGAAGAAAAGATAATAAACCAAAAAAAAAAAAAGAATAATGAAATAAATCTTGCTTCAGGCAAATATTATTAGGCAAATGAGAAACTAACGAGAGGGAGGACAAGTTGGGGCCGACTCGAACCAAAGTTCAGCTTCTCTGGCCTCCGCTGGCGACTCCTCGCGCGTGAAATCAAAGAAACGAGCCGCATCAAACTCATAATCGAGATCGATCTCTCTCACCTCGAACACTGGCTCTATCTCCATCTCCATCTCCTCTTCCATTTCTCTCTCCCTCTATCTTTCTCTCTTCAAAATGCCGCTCGAACTTCCCCTGAATCAACCATTACTAAACTTCGCCGCCATTTGCACCGATAATTTGAAACTGATTTTCCCTCAGAAACCCAAGAAATCTTGGAAACAGCAATGTTGAGTCGACGACGGCGGTGAGTACGCCAGCTTCACTGTAGCATTCAAGGCAAAATAAATTTTATTTCAACGAAGAGAGAAAATGAAAAACGCAGAACAAAGGACAACATCAACAGCGCAAGGTACAAGCTATCGAAGCTCCTGCCCGGGTTTTTTGTTTTTTATTTTGTTTTATAGAGCCGAGGTTTTGTAACGATCCGAATTTGAATTTATGGGCTTCAGAAAATTTTTAAAACAAAAATATAAATATAAGACGGTTTATAAATTTTTTGACTATATTATTCCCGATCTTTTATCCGAATTTGAGGGTGGAGTCGTGTTGGGGGGTGGCCGGAGAGGGTAAAAGAGTAAATTAGGTTTTTTTTTTTTTATAGAATTTGATATCTTTGAAGTGAGGAGCAGTGCTATCAGGGCTCGAGCACAGGCTTAGGGCGGCGAGGTCATGTCGACGGGACTCTGAAATTTCGGCCGGGGTTAAATTTGCCACTGAGATTTGATCGTAATTGCGAGATTGCCCGTAACGGTTTTATTCGTTTACCAGGTGGGAAAGAGTAAGGGGCCTCTCGGATGCGCATTCAAATATGGAGGAAAAGTTGAGAAGGGTGGTAATAAGGACATTTGGTGATTTACGAACGAACTGTAAATTAGTCAGCATCATTTTTTTTTTTCTTGTAAGAATAAAGCTTCGGATTTCAATGGAAAATCATTTTGATTTGATTGTATATAAGTTGAGTTTAACTCAGCTAAGATTTTATATGTTTAGACTTTGACATTACATCAAAAAAATATGTTTATATCTTTCACATAAAATTTAGTCAATTATGAGTTTGAATGCTGCTTGAGCTAAAACCAAAAGAGGAAAAATAAAAAAAAAAAGTTCAAATTAATATCAATGATTTTTTTTTTTTTTTGCCTCCAATGAACGATAAATTTTTAGTTTTGAATTTTGTAACAAAGCTAGGGATGGGAATTCAATTCAACCCCGACGGGTTTCGATCCGACTCGATCCTATGAGATCGATTTTTTTTTTTAAATTTCAGGTTTCGGGTCGGATAATGTTAGGAAACAGTCGGATTCGGATTTTAGGCATACTCGACCTTATCTTACCCGATATTATTTAAAAAATTATTTTTTAATTTTTTATTTATATATATGTTTATATAATGATATTTTTAAATATTTATATTTAAAAAATAATATTTTATATTTTAAAATATAATATTTTATTAATTTTAAGTCGGATCGGGTATTAAAAAATAAAAAAAAATTTGGTAAGATTGGGTTCAAGTTTATTAATACATAAAATCGAATCGAATTTGGATTAAACAAAACCCACCTCGAATCCGACTTGATGTCAATCCTAAGCAAAATCTTTTTTATTTTATTTTAAAAGAGTTACATACGTAATCAAATCATATTTTGAGTATTATTATTATTTAATTTTAATATTATATTTTTTGTTACATCAAGAGCATAAAATTTTAACACAAATAAGAATAAGAGATGGGTGATTGATTCCGAACTAAATATTTGATATTTTTTTAAATATTTTTAATTATTAAATTAAAGGTTTAGAGATAATTTTAACATTGTATTTGATAAGAGAAAAGAGTGTGAAAAGAAAAGTGTTCTTTTCAAATTTTTTTCTTGTTTGATAAGAAGAAAATATTAAGAGAAAAGAAAAGGTTTTAATGAGAAACATTGGATACTCACCAGTTTCATACTGTGTCAGATTTTCAAAATAAGAAAGGAAAAAAGGAGGGAGAGGCTGCCAAACTATCAATGCCTTGCAAAAAATAGCATATGGTTTTTACTTTATTAATGCAATAACTTTTGTGCATTTCTTTTTGTCCCTTTGTGAAGGATTATGAATTCTATGCTGCCTCTAAAAATGCTAAGAAACAAAAGACATTGATTGCTTGGTATAGACTGTTTAATGAGAACAACATTGATTTTCACGTGATTTTTTTTTTTTTTTTTTGCCCTTTCGAAGAAATTTGAGATTCAACTTCTAGAACTAGAAATAATAGCTTGGTAGTTGAATATTCCAGATTTTTTTTAAAGACATGTTTTATTTTTTTAGTTGAAAATATTAAAATTCGAATTATAAATTTAGTAAATATAATTTTTTAAAAAATAATTATATAAATCATTTTAATTAAATTTTAAAATTGAAGTAGTTTCCATTTTCAATGTAGTCACAGGGTTTTGCATCGGATTCCTTTCTATATTTGATATTTCCCCCAACCAAAGGTTGAACAATGTAATGGTATTGTTTCCTGCATTAATTATCATCTGACCTTTTGTCCAAAATAGGAAACATGACTCACTAATTCACATCTCACTTCATGTCAAAGATTCGTCGTACCTTTGTCTCTTTTTTTTTCGGATATTTTGATTTGAGACCATGATCATTTTTAATTAGGGTTGTTTAGAGTTAATAATTAAGCCATTAGCAAGGAATAGAGCACGTTGCTGTCTGATTTTGTTAAAACTGTCGTTATAGAGCTTCAACAAGAGACCAAAATGACCCAACCTCTTACATTACATCCATCATTTTAGCAATGAGATGTTGGGCTTGTGACCTGAAAAATGAGAGAAATTGCCTCCCTAGAGTACTCTTTCCATGCCTGCCTGCCAAATTCATGGGCTTAAACATTTCATATAGCATTCTCCTTTGGCAAAAGGGGGATTCAGCAGCATGCTTGCGTGCTTTCACTGTGACAAAAACAGAGCAGACAGAATCCATAACTTTGTGCTGGACTGATGCACAACCTGTAAGCCAATTCCAGGTCCATCACTTTCTAAAAACACGTACAGCACCCCAAGTTTTCAAAATTCAGACCTCCTAAACCAAACTTGATGGCTCTTGCGATCTTTGTAATTCTAAGCATGCAATCAACTCGATCTCCAATCCAAGCTTCAACATCCCAATCCAATTAAATGTTGAACTGTTTCCAGGTTCAACAATGACTTTTATTTGCTAATACATCCTCAGAACAAGTTTTATTCAGTATTTTCAATGTATTCCCTGTCATTGTTCATAAAAAGTCTCACTTTCAGTAAATGATTTTTTTTTTTTTTATAATACAATCAGAGTATTTTCAGATTTTTTTTTTTTTGAACTTAATTTCTGATTTCAATCAATATATCACAATAAATTAACCCAAAAGAAAAAAAAAAAAAAAAAACCGGTTCGGTACCATTAACTAAATGAGAGCTTACCCCATTTTAACCAGTCCAGGATTAATTGGTTGTAGGTGAGCCAACATTTTCCTTTGCAACAATTGTGAAAATAATGATTGTTTTGAGTTAGGTTTGAACAATGACCTCTCACACTTTCCAGTTAGGTTGATGATTACTGAGTTCTCTATGTGGCCTAGGCTCTTAATTTGAGAAGTTTCTAATATTAATGATACCCAACTTGTTTACTTTTGCTTCACAATCTGCTGGGGAATAGAGTGGCCAATATTGGATAGAGATTGCTTCATTAGTGGGTAACACAGCAGAAAACACCCCCAAGATTTCATGGATCTACATACTTTAATGATAAAGCTTTCCTACCCTTTACTTTTTCTGATTTTTTTTTGTTGTGGATTTGTTTCCTCGATTAACAAACATTAATATCTTGCATTATTGTTCAACTAACTTGAATACGTGCAACCTCAAAAAGCTGCATGGATTGAGTGCAAGACTCAAATTTTAGTGGGTACAGACGTCAATAATGATGTATTCCTGTTGTTTGTATGAATCCGTAATGATTCCTCAATCAAAACAAAGTCCACACCCTTATCAGGGAATTAGTGTTGAGAGAAAAATGATCCCACGTCTAATGATTAAGAATTAAATTATATATGATTTTGTAAATAAATGTCATACATTCAATGGATAAAACCATGAGCTAGATCGGATTAAATCTCGAAACGAATAATATCTTATGACGAACGCAGTCCAACAATCTTCTCGAAAAATATCATTTAGGTTTCTTGAATCTTGTAGCGTAAATCTAAGTACAGAAAACAACTAAAGCTTAATTCTTGAACGAGAAAATAGTCAAACTGAATTATTAGTAATTGTCCTTTTAAACATCTCCCTCATTTCAGGTTTCTGAAATCTATAATAGTTGAATGAATCTATACGTTATCCTAAAACAATATTGTTTTCGTCTTCAACGTTTTTCAATATTTTCCCGTGCTTCTTTAAGAAGAAAACTCCTAATCTCGGCATCTATGGACACATCACGTGGACAACTACAAGGCTAACTTGGTGATTAATTTAATACTCATCACACCAAGGTTTAAGGAAATAAACAAGTGAAACTTACAAACCATCTCCTTTCTTGATCCATTTAGCTTCAGAATGTATTTAGTTATTCAAAAATGAATAAAAAAAAAAAAAGACAAAACACATAATCTATTGGCCTCAAAATCAAGAATTCAAGATTATGTAAATGAAGTGTGCGGCTTAAATAAACATTAATGTTTTCGAGGGGACAATCAATGGTCCTAGCAAAAAGGTTAGGGAAAGTGACTACCCAAGCTTTTATAGGAAAACTTGGACCTTGGAGGAGTGAACAAAGGTTGCTATAAGAGAAAAACAAAGGAAATGGAAGTTCCCAATAATGCTGCAAAGTTTGTGTGTTGTGTATGATTTCTCCCAGGTATCTGGTGACTTGCCTTGGTGAAATTGGCTTTATGTAGATTGTGGTTGTGGTGGACAAAAAAAAGGCCAAATTTGGGGTGTTGTCTTCAAGTGCAAGGGGGGACTTTGAGGACAAAATGTTGGCAGATTCTATCTCCTGTACTCTTGTTTTTATAGAGATTTCATATGGTTTCTAATTGAGGTTAGATTAGAACAATGTTTTCTTTGACATAAAATATTATGGCTTAAATCGTGTCTGAAATTACTATAAAACCGACAGTATTCATTTTTTTCCTCCCAGTTTCAATTTCCAAAACCAAACACAAGGAAGAATGGACAAAACAAACGGGAAGGCCATTTGAGTAAACTCACAGCTTTTCCCTCCTAAAGATCACAACAGATAAATCCCAATATCTCAAAAATCCCCCTCCTCATGAGGCTTTAAGAAAGGAACTGCTGAGAACGAAGCTGTATCCCATAACCCAGGAAAAAAGAAAGAAAGAGAAAGCAGAAGAGAGAACTACAAAGCTATTATTTTTATTAACCCATTAAATTGCAATTCATTTTTGAGTTATGTGGCCAATGGCCATGGCTTCACTACAATGACACAAACCCGATATTTCGGAACCCGAACAGGAAAAAAACGGAGGGGGAGGAGGAGCCGCCATGAGAGTGATAGTTCCTCTACAGGGCGTTGTTCAAGGAAGAGGAGGCTTAGTTTTAGGCTCCATCATCCCTTGCGCGCTCTTTTACTTTCTCCAATTCTATTTGAAGCGACATCGTCATGACCAGGATGACCAGAACGAATCCAATTCTCTTGATGAAAACCCATCTACCCGGTCTCCGTCGTCCGGGAAGTTGGCGCAGCTTCCTGGGTTGACACGTAGTCTGTCTCGAGCTTCGCTTTCGCCGAAAGGTCAGAGTGGACCCGTCACGATTTCAGGTCGGGTTAGTGGGATTATTAAGGGTGCGGATTCTCCGTATTATGTGGGGTTGAGACGGGTCAAGGAAGATCCTTATGATGAATTGGGTAATCCGAATGGGGTCATCCAGCTGGGTTTAGCAGAAAACAATGTGGGTGCTTTTACGTTTTTGTTTTTTAATTGTTAATATGCTTTATGGTTCCGTTTTTTATTTTTTATTTTTCTTGTTTTTTTAGTTGTCGTTGGATTTGGTTAAGGGTTGGCTAGCGGAGAATGGGAAAGAAGCGCTATTGGGAAATGGTGAAGACCCCAGCATTAGCAGGATTGCAACTTACCAGCCTTTTGACGGATTAATGGAGTTGAAAGTGGTAACAATTGTGAAAAAAATTTCAACTTAACTGTTGTTTTGCATTTATTTTAGTATTATCACTATCAGTTTATTGGGTCAGTCTTCTTGATATGTTTGTTTTTATTGTTTGAAATTGTTTTCAAACTTCAAATGCTTCATATGTTTTTATTGTTTTCAAACTTCAAATGGTTCATATAATGCTAGTGAGAAAAAGTAGAAGTATTCACTTGTTGGTGACTTCAAGATTTAATTGTTTGGAGATTTAGATTGATTGAGCAATAACAAGGTTACTATGTGCTCTAGGGACTGCGTGTATATGACGGTTCATGGTCTCTGTTAATAATGGCGGCACCAAATAATTTAGTAGAGTCCTATATCTTTAATTGTTTGGGATTCCACAAAGGAGGGTACAATATTTGGTGTTTATTGAGTGCCTAAGAAAGATCTCTAATAGAGTACTTCATTATGAAGAATGAAGTGAGAATGAGGTCACAAACACCAAATATATGAACTGTACTATTGGAGGTCTGGGTTGATTGCAGGTGCTGGGTGGTAGACACTAAACAGAAGGCAAGCCAAGTTAGTTTCTTAGAGAAGAGGATAAAAGAGATAGAAAAGAAGAGTTCAGAGAAAATAACAAATTGAAATGATTCCCTTCTGGTTAAGTGTTACAAGTTCAATTAAAGGGGGATAAATAAAACAGTTAATAAATCTAACTTCATCAGCTCTTAATTCTTATTAGTGATGTATATTGTTGGTAGATACAAGAACCCTTCATTAAAACATGTTCGTGCACTGAGATCTTGTAATTTCCAGTTTAGTTCACCTCTTAACACAAGTGTTTTTCTTTTCTCACCATTTATGCGTCATGCATTTTGATTACTTGCGGTGTAGGGTTTGATGAAAATTAAAAATCTGCTTGACAACATTTATGCCCATGATCATAAAGTGAACTCCTTGTTTGGAGAAAGCAAAGGAAGATAAAAGAAAAGCGAGAAATATATTAACAATTATTGACAGGTCTTCTTAATTTATGCACAAGTTTTGTAGGTGTATTTAAAATTTTCAGGTGATATAATATGTTGGAAAAATACATTTACCGGCATAAATTATTTGTAAAATTTTAAATTTAACATGTCTCAAGTGATGTTAAGATGTCTGATATAGACATCTTGGGGTCATTAGTCTCAAGAGTCTATTCTCTGCCTACAATTGGGAAGCTCCTCATCTAATGATTCCTTCTGGAAATGTTTTCTTCTTGTCAATAAACAGTCTCTACGTGAAACATTCTTGTGTCTTGAATTGTTATTACTTTCAGGCTGTGGCAGGATTCATGTCTCAAGTCATGGAGAAAGCTGTTTACTTCCACCCTTCACAGGTATTGCTGACTGCTGGTGCGACCCCTGCAATTGAGATTCTTAGCTTCTGCTTAGCAGATGCTGGAAATGCATTTCTTGTTCCAACGCCATATTACCCTGGGTAATTTTTTTTCTCCACCATTTTGACAGTTTTCATTCTGGAACCAGATATCTGAAGAGGAAATTGAGGTTTTGAACAAATATGCAGTTTTGACAGGGATGTAAAATGGCGGACTGGGTTGCAAATAATACATGTTCCTTGCCGAAGTGCTGACAACTTCAATTTAAGTGTAGCTTCTCTTGATCAAGCATTCAACCAGGCAAAAAAACGTGGGCTGAAAGTACGTGGGATAATAATATCAAACCCATCAAATCCTGTTGGCAATCTTCTAAGTCGAGAAACACTTTACAGCCTGCTAGACTTTGCCAGGGAGAAGAACATCCATATTGTCTGTAATGAAATATTGGCTGGTTGCACTCATGGAAATGAAGAATTTGTGAGCATGGCGGAAATCATTGACCTGGAAGATGTTGACCGGAAAAGAGTCCATGTAGTGTACGGTTTGTCGAAAGATCTTTCTCTTCCAGGTTTCAGGGTTGGTGTTATCTACTCTTTTAATGAGGAGGTTTTGGCTGCTGCTAAGAAGTTGACAAGGTTCTCATCCATATCGGCTCCAACCCAGCGTTTGCTCATCTCTATGCTATCCGATACAAAATTTGTTCATTCATTCATCACCATTAATAGGGAGAGGCTCCAAAGAATGTATGTTAAGTTTGTGGCAGGGTTGAAAAAATTGGGCATAGAGTACATAAAGGGTAGCGGGGGCTTCTACTGTTGGGCTGATCTGAGCGGGTTAATCAGTTCTTACAGTGAGAAAGGGGAACTTGAGCTTTGGGATAAGTTGTTGAATATAGCCAAGGTCAATGTAACTCCAGGGTCTTGTTGTCATTGCATCGAACCTGGATGGTTCAGCTTCTGTTTTGCCACATTGACAGAGAAAGATATCCCTGTAGTTATGGAAAGGATTCAGAAAGTTTCTGAAATCTGTAAATTGAATTGTTGAGATGCTGTTATTTTGTTCATTGATTTTACCCAACCCACTGATTTTTTTTTTTTATAGAAAACTATTTCTTTGACACTACGGTACGGTGGAAAGTCATAGTCCTGACTTGGAAGAAGAGGACCAATTAATGCCATTCAGATCCTAATTGAGAGATCGGTGCATGTCCCAAGCCTCTCCACAGGGATCAACGTTTTTAGGGATTTGCATGTGCATAACACTTGGAAATCCGATCCTTTCATGTTGACCAATATGTAAACGTCAGAAGCTTGATTAATAAAATGACACTGGATCTTGAGAAAACTCTTAAAAAAAATGGGTTTGTTGGATTTGGTGCAGCAGTGTTTTTCTCTATGATTGAGACAGAGCAGGAATTGTATGGTTCCCAAGTAAATTTTGAATAACAGTGAAATATATATGCCATTGTCACAAATTAGGGACCAAAACAAGAACAGTAAAGTGAGCGCATATTTCGAAATGCAAAATGCAGTTAAAGATACTCTAAAAGGGAATATTTGGATGTCCAACCGTGATGTCAAATGAACCAAAAATAAATGAAAAAGCTACTACCTCTAGCAACATTTTCTTTCAACAATTGAGACCGTTGCAACCATAGAAATCTGATATGGAAACCATGCCAAGATTGCAAAGGCTTGGGGAAACCCAATAAAGAAAAGCACCATTAAAGAGCTCCGTGCCCTTTGTATTGTTGAATGAACAATGCTTTTAAGAGGCTTTACCTTTATATTAGACAACATAAAAGAAACTGTCTGCATGCTGTGCTGCTGCCATTGCTGTAAACTTAAATGGGAAGGCTTCCTGGAGGTTTGAATTTCTTGAACTTACTCACCTGGTCCCAAGAACTGAGCAGATGGATACAAGTAAATGAATACTTTTTATTGCACAAAATTACAAATAGAGGAACAAATCAATAATGGTAATAGCAAAATGAATACAAAAGAATGATCTTTTTTTTTTGTCTATTCTTTTTTACCCTAATCAGCAACTCGGTCTCTTTTGCACAATTAATCACATCCCCTTCCAGCTAGACTACCATTTCTTTGAACTTTCCTCAAAAAATATTACTTTAAATCTCATTGGTACTTGATCACTATGGTTCCACTCCAGATCAGATGGACTCCAGAACTTGAACAACCTCAGCCATGCTGGGTCTTCTTGAAGGAACCTCTGATGTACAAATCAACCCCAACTTCATAACCTGTATTAATTCATTTTCTGCAAAACCACGCAATCTTCTATCAAAGCAAGCTGAAGCAGAACCCCTCTCCAACAATCCTCTAACATATTCACACAAAATCACTACCTCATTTAGTGTTGGACTCTCCACTGGTTTCCTCCCAGTTACCAGTTCTAAAAGAATTACTCCAAAGCTATACACATCACATTTCTCACTAACTCTCAAACTTTGAGCCAACTCTGGTGCTACATATCCAACTGCATTATGGAATTTAGTTAAACCGTAATTATCCAAAATCGGAAGCAATTTTCCCAATCCATAATCAGATAATTTAGCCTCGTACCTCTCATCTAAGAGTATGTTAGTTGATTTGATGTTGAGATGGAGAATTGGAGGTCTACAATCATGGTGAAGGTAAGAAAGTGCTCTTGCAGTTCCGAGGGCAATATGAAACCTTCTAGACCAACTTAGTTCACTATTGCCAGCACCTGTACTAGTACTTGGGTAACTTGATCCATGAAGATTATCATAGAGATTCCCGTTCGGAATGAATTCAGATAAAATCAACTGCATTGTTGAGGACCAGTAATAACCTTGAAAAGCAACCAAATTGGGATGTTGGAGGTTACCTAGGCGTCCAATTTCCTGTTCAAATTCATCTTGGTTTCTAATTCTTCCTAGAGTCTCAAGCTTCTTTACTGCAATTGAGATCCCACCTTCAAAATTTGTTCTGTAGACTGTTCCGATCGACCCTCCACCTATTAGACACTCCTTGTCAAGCAAAGCTTTGGTTCCAGCTTCCCAATCTTCATATTTAGACGGCAAACTTTTGCTAAAGAGGACCAACTTCCCAATTATAACATTTGAATCGGATGAACCTGGTGGGGTGCTCTCAACAACCACTGTCACTTCCTCCTTTTTACTCTTGCGTGCCCTGATGTTCATGATGGTTACCACACAAACCCCTGTAAGGATCACAGCAGCAGCAACAATGGCAACAATTGCAGAAACACTAAGGACCATGGTTTTACCAGTCGTGGAAGGTGTGCCACCTCCCGAACAGGATGCCAAAGGGGAACCACAGAGCCCAGGATTGTTAAAAAATGCTGATGCACCAAAAGACTGGATGGTTTGATCAGTAGGAATGATACCAGAGAGATTATTGTAGGAAAGATTAAAATGTGTTAACATATTCAAATTCCCAAGTAAAGGGGGGATTGAACCAGAAAGTGAATTCTGTGAGAGATCAAGAAATTGGAGTTTTGACAAGTTCCCAAGACTAGATGGGATACTTCCGCTCAGATGGTTGCGATGCAAGTCAAGAATTTCAAGATTTGACATGTTGTAAAGAGTATCAGGAATATGTCCCTCTAGAGTATTTCCAGAAACATCCCTGCAGCAACAAAATATAAGTTTCTCAGAATTAATTCAAAGCAATACTGATGATAATCTCTAACACATTAAGATAGCATTTATACTCACAGTTCACGAAGAAACCTGCAATTGCTTATATCATCAGGAATTCCACCGGCAAGGTCAAGATTGTGCAAATCCAAGACCTGTAGCAACTCAATGCTACCAAATCCAGCTGGTATTGTCCCGCTAAGTGAATTATTAGCCAAACTAATTGCCAAAAGCCTTCCCAAATCCCCAATATTAACTGGTATGGTCCCATTAAGCCTGTTGAACCCCAAGTCCAAAACTTTTAGCCTTTTACAGTTTGAAATGCTTCTTGGGATCTCCCCATCCAAACTATTCCATGAAGCATCGATAAATTCCGTTGTCTCACTACAGGTTCCAATCTCAGGAATCTCACCAAAGAACCCATTATGTGAAACATTGAAATAAGTAATATTCTTAAATTCAAGAACCCCTAGTGGTACCAACCCTGTAAAAGAATTTCTACTAAGATGCAAATATAGCAAGCTTTGACATTTTGACATTTCTTGGAGCACACTGCCACTTAATGCATTGCTACCAACAGATACATACTTCAATACTGAGATATCACAAATTCGAGAAGGTAATTCACCGGTAAGATTATTGAACGAGAAATCAAACCCTTCAAGCTTACTACAATTCACGATGGAACCCGGAATAGAACCCGAAAGACTGTTATGTGAAAAAGAGACATACTTTGTTTTGTAACAATTCTTAAACAAAGCAAATGGAATCTCTCCAGTATAACCATTCTTTGAAAAATCAAGAAATCTAATATTAGGTAAATCACCAATGAAATCAGGTATAGAACCAGATAATGCATTTGAACTCACATTGATCTTCCATAATGTTTGTAACAATGAATATTCTTGCGGGATATTACCTGAAAATCTGTTGCCAAACAATGTCAAGACTCTGAGTGAGCTTAAACCTGACAAGGCAGCTGGCAGTTGTCCATTAAGGCTAGTGTTCCACAAAACAATCTTGTCCACAAATCCCTCTGGATTACAGAACACACCACTGAAATCTACACAAGGGTTACCACTTGGGACCCAGGAAGCCAAGCTGTTGTAAGGGTCATTAGTGATGTTTCCTTTAAATTGGAGCAAGATTTCTTTTTCAGTTGCTGCTAAAGAAATGATGAGGATTCTGATTCCAAAAGAAGCAAGAATCAGGAAGAGCAAAGCATGGGAAACAATAAATTGATGGATCCTTCTCATGCTCGAAACACAGCGGGAACACAGAAAATTGAATCTACCCGTTTGGCATTATAGAATCTGATTCAAAGAAGATCTGCCTATCCTGCTTTTCCAATTGCAAAGCTTGTTGTTTGGACTTGTAAAAATCTCGAGTACCAAAGACAAAACATCACGATCATGGCCAAACACAAACATTTTTCACTTCCTTTCTCACAAAAACTCAACAAGCTCCAAAATTTAACATACATTTGCTCAGCAAAAACAACAGAGCTACCCCTATTAACCCAAACTTTCCTCAATGAAGCAAAGACTTATAAGTAAGAACCAAAGATCTCACCTTTTTCTTTCTGGGTTTGAGCAAAAATCTCAAATTTTTTTAGTTCTTTCAGGTCTAGACAAAAGGAGAGTTAAAAAGGGCAACAAACAAAGCATGGGAGAAAAAAATGCAATGAAAATGGTGACAACTGACAAGTGAGAACAAAAATGAAGGTGTCTTGGCTGGAAAGAAATACAGGTGAGCCAATTTAATAACTACATGTAAATATTTATATCTATACGGTTGCCACCAACAGAAGATGAACCACGTGCATGTAATCTCTTTGTATCTCAAAGCTCAGCTCTTTTCTTTACAAAACAACCCAGTCCCACTCCCCCTATCTGTCTCTCCCCTCCCATTTTTCTTTGTAGTTTTAACTAATTTTAACTCTCATATAAAAGAAGAAAAAATTGAAACTCCACTGTCTTCTTGGTTCACTCACCTCCGTGCGAGGATAGGGCCTTCGCTTTGTCTTCAAACAACAAGCATTTATTCTCTCAACAACCCATGGTACCAACACTTTTCATCACCATCAAATTATTGGCAGAGGGATAACAGAAGAACAAAATGTGTTTATAAAAAGAGCAAAAATTTTAAGTAAAACCCAAAAGAGAAGAAGTGTAAAAGAAGGAGAAATGATGGTTGCGTTTTTTTGGCTTTTTGCCTTTTTTTTGGTTTTTTGTTGACTGAGTTGTGCTTTTCTTTCCTTCCTATTGCAATGAAGGTTCTCTGTATCCGTTCTGATTGTGACTCTTTTTATTAAATTTAGTTATATGAGTCGTCAAAATTTATTTCCATTTCCCTTTTATTTTTACTCTATAAGCAGAAATTTTGGTTTTAGAAGAAAAAAAAATATGTGTTTACACTGTATTTCCAGCTGGACAATGGGAATCTTTTCCTGTCTCCATTTATTTATTTACTTTTGAAAGCTTCAGCGGATCTTGTCATGTCATGTCTCTTTTGTTTCTGGAAAATTCTTTTTTTTTTGTTAATTTTTAATTATCTTTTAAATAATTTTAACAGTTTAACTTTAATGGATTTTATTTATATTTTAAGTAACTTGAGGCTGTTGTCTTGTTGCATTTGACTGAGTACATGGTTCTGGTTAGAAACTGAGATGAATCAATCCAAGGTCAAGAAAAGTACAGAAAGAAGCTAAAAACTTAAAGTCTCTGAACACTATTTTTTAACCGTTGAATTGAATTTTTTTTAGGGCAGATGAGCTTAACGTATATGAAGAACCTACTACCATGGACCTTATCAACATTCTCAGACTGAAGGGTCCATCAAAATTTGCAGGAAAAAAAATGGAAAAAGAAAAACTTGGTGCCTGAGGCTTTTGCCTAGTGAAAGATTTATGGCATTTTCATTTTTTAAGGGCCCCCAATGGTGCATCACAGCCTTTTGATGTATCTTTTTCTTCATTCCCATGTGACCATATCAACAGCACTTAACACTTTAACCATAAGTGCATACAAAATGCTTGGAAACACTTTAATATTCCTTAATGGAATGCCAGGCCAGCAGCCCCAAGCACCATCCTCTCATTTCTTCTCCAACCTTCAGTCATTGCCATGGTAGATGTGTAGGTAGAGATGTCAATTCCTCCCCCTCCCCCCCTTCTCACTCTCCTCTTTTTATTAAATCATTTTTTTTTATTTCAAAACCTTTATCAATCGGCCAAATACACCAAATCTCTCAACAAGAAAAATGGTAATTTGGCATCAATCTTTCTTGAATGAGACAATAACTTACAAACAAGTTAAAAACTAGAAAATGTTTTTGATGTTTTTAACTGGGATTTTTTAGCTTTGCTGTTCAATCTTGCCCAAACTGAATAAAAAAGGATGCTTTAACACAAAGGTTTCTTGGAAAGCAAATGCTTAAGTTTGTAACATCCTAACAACTAGACATAAATAGCTTAATCAAACACCAATCCAGAATCACAAATGAACTGACAGAACGACAGGCTACCAATTTTTACGAGTGTTGAACAGCCAAAACAGCCTTTTTCTCAACCCTTTGGCTAAAACCTACAATTTGATATTTAAACTGTCTTACTTTTGGTTTACAATGCATTCACAACTATAATTGCATTATCTACTAAAGTGTTCTTTGACTGTTACAAAATTTAGGTGAGAAAAATTAAAAATAAAGGGATCTCCATATGATGTTATTTGTATGTATGCAGCTGAAACAGAATTTTTTTTATCCATGTTTATGCTATATGCAACACAATAATGATAGATTTCTAAAGTTAAAGGCGACAAAATCATCATAATCATTGTGTTAAAAATATATCTCATCTTCCAAAAACAATATAATAATGTGTGTCATAAAGGCATTAATTTGCCAAAAGCCAACAAAGTTCAACATTAATGAATGTTATTGATAGAATTGAGAGAATTTCACTTTGGTTCTTTGTAGCAAAGAAACAAACCCCACCAGTTATCAAGTTTGTATGTTTCTTAGATTAACTGTAGTAAATTGGTAAGGCAATTTTACCACTTTCATTTGTCGATAGCCATGTAATTTTGGAATGAGAGTAAAGGTTCTTTTTTTTTTTTCTTGGTAGTATTTTGTTAATGTTTTCATTAGGATCTGTATAAGTATTTGCATATTTCATGAACTATTCATAGGATGCCAGCAAAGATGGCAGAAGATGTAAGAGACAGAATGCCATACATCTGCCCAACTGTTCAAAAGGCAATTATGTGGACAAAATCTTTTCCAGTCTTGATTGTTACTTGCTTTATGATAGTAGGGCTTGATTGAAAGATTTGAGTATTTTGGGGGAGTCCGAGTGCTGGGACTTTACCCTTAGCTTGTTCAAAAATAAAGGAGAAAACTCCTTGCCATGTACCAAAAGTGTGAGAATGCTTCAGTTTCAGTCCATGAACTTTTGGACTAAACGTTTGAAAGAAAAAAAGCTAGTGGCAGTTTTGAATGAAACATTGTCCAACAGAGGCGTAGCTTTACTTTAGGGATATTTCTTCATATTATTGAGATCTTAAAGGTTAAGCAGCCAGGTGAGAACATCATTGTTCTACCTTAGATGCTTTGACAATGATTGAAGGTTACGCATACAGGAGAAAGCATCATTGTCCCACCATTTAAGGTTGAAACTGGATTTTAAAACCACAGAAAAGATATGAACAATTCTTTATTTGGGTCAGTGCTCGCACCCATGGTTAAAAAATAGAACAAAGGATAAGTGTCAGGGGGTTCTAGGAAAGAGCCATAAATTTTATATCAATTATGTATTAGAGTTAATCTTAAGATATAAATATTCACACCTCTTTAATTTATAAGACGTTTTTCGTGAAACAAAATCATGAGATCAACAAGACAAAACAGACAATATCTCATAAATTAATATAGATAATGACATTTAATATCAAAACTAACTCTAATGGTACTAACGATGTATCACCGAAGACGATGAACTTCAATTGAAGGAAGATGTCATGATCCTAAAAAAAAATCATAAATCTTACATCGACTATATATTAAAATTGATATTAAGATAAAAAGTTTACACCTCTTTAACTTACGAAATACTTTTTGTGAGATAACCCTGAGATCAACGAGTCAAAATAGACAATATTTCATATGTTAGTGTGAACCGCGACAATAAGCGTGTACATGTGAAATCCAATAAAATAAGAGAGACCAAGGAACAGTTTGAACACCATTCGGCCATAAAAAAGCAAGGATTCTGCAAAATATCATATACAGCAAGTCAACAACAAAATGAAACTGATTTATGTATAAAATGTCGGCGATTTTGCCTTGGTCCACTTCAACTTTCATATGGCAGACGTGTCATTCATATACAAATCTCAATTATGTGTGCTTAAGAGCGAGAGAGAGAGCAAAGAATAAAATTCTTTAAATAAATGGAAGATAGAAACAGCCTTTCTGTATGATGCCAGATTTTTGTCTTGGTTCCCTCTGTGTTACTCCTTCACAATGCTTCATAGGACCATGTTTGTCCTCACACATTCCATCCAATAGATGAAGTTGTTTAATAAATAAAACTTCATCCAGCCTATAACGTTCTCAACATGAATATACACCTAGCTCGGGTAGAGATTGTTTCTCTCTAAAACAAACTACGGCTTATTGCAACACTAAATCTTCTTCTTTCTGCAACAATTTTAGTTGCCTTCTCGCATAAACTGTGAAAACAATTGTTGTCACCACTGTTACAAGGAAACCGCCTACATTTAACAAAATCTGTGGAGCTGTTAGGGTGTGTCGCTCATTCGAAGCATCTGCCAATGTCTGTATGAGGATACCACTGCAATAATCAATATTCTAATAAGTTTTGGAGGTATGGAAGTTATGTCAATTAACTATGCATGTTGCCATTAAGAAACATCTATGATAGGAAGCATACACAAAAGAATGGATAGCAGAACAACCTAAAAGTTGCGAACCTGTTACTACCCAAAAATACAGCTCATACACTGTGTGCATTATTTTTTGGGGTTTGCATATCTGACTAAATCAGGTAATGGTCTAAGATTATAAGGTACATTTAAGAAACATAGATGTACATGGATATGCGTATACAAAGATCTTACATCTGCATATGCATGCACATGCACATGTGTTGTAATGATCAAAGATTGTATACAAATTGAACACATATGCATAAGTAAACACAAACTCAAGATTAAATACAGAAAAAAAAATGAGGGAGAGGGAGAGAGAGATCTTACGTGTATATTGCAACAAAAATTTCAGGCACCATTCCTACCAAAGATCCCAAGATGTAAGGACCATACTTAACATGTGTTGCCACTGCACAGTAATTATATATGATATATGGGAATGGAGAGATCCTGATTAATGTTACAGCTTTAAACTGATGAAACCAATTTCCTTCACCAGCTGCTCTCAGAATGGCGGCTTTCTTGGGATATTTTTCTAACCAGCCCTGCATAAAAATGGAACTACTTGAATATTCATTGAATAAAGGGTGAACAATAAATTCTTCGGATAAGGTACGCACTTGAATTCTTTGAAGGAAAAGAGAGCCAATAAAGAATGGAAGTGAGATACCCAGAGCAGCTGCAGATATGATTAGTAGAAATCCAAAACCATAACCAAATGTCATTCCTGCCACCCACATAGATGGTGTAGATGGTAAAAGTAGCGTGGGGAATAATGCCACAGAAGCAAAGACTAGAACTGCCAGAATCGGAGTACTAAAGGTTGTCATCTCCCAATTTATTATAGGCATTAGCTCCTGCAGTCATCATGTCATTCGTCAAGTCCAGTTAGAAAGTGCAAAGGAAATCATCATTTTTAGCCCTCAGTTCGCATGAAGATCATAGAGAAGAATCATAATCTATCATTACAAAATCAAGAATTTTGGGTACACAATGGACCTAAAAAATGAATCAAACCTAAGTGTCCATTTGCTATATTTCATAACTTAGTTGGAAGAATGAAGAATCACGCTTAACACAACATAGACACATATCCCAGTAAGTAAAAGTTAATGCTTATTCAGGTGCTGATTAGTTTACCAACATTGTTAGTTTTGGACCAAAAACATAAAGTGAGAGAACACATATCAATTATAATTAATTTCTCAAAGCATAAACTATTCCCATATAGAGATCACTAGAGTGCTTTGCTGACATTTTGAAGCTAAGAAGGAAAATGAACATAGAATGACTATTCTTGTGGCAAGAAAGAATGTTAAGGGGAGACACGGATAGACATAGAACCAAACGATAATTCAGCTCCTTCTCAGCAAGCAGTCAAATATATCACATAAAATTCAAAGATAATAACATAAGCTGGACTGGCAACTTGCCATTAAGAAAAGAGTTCCCTGCCCATAATCATCATGTAGACTGATGAATTTTTCTAACTTTAAAGATAAAAGCATGGTCATCCAACCTTGACAATCCACACATTCTGACTAAATAATATGCTTAGTCAATAATAAGATCAACTGCACCAGTGGAGAAGGTTTCAGTTCATTTTAAGAACAAACCAGCAATGACCTCCAAAATATATAATGATAGAAACCATTATTATTTATTATACAATATGCAGAAAACACAGAACAATATCATAACCAATAAATGTACCGCACTAACCCCATACGAGCGCTCAAAGTCAAAGACATTGAATTTAGCAAATTGAACAAGGTTACAAAACCCAAGTTGAAAAAAGGAAAAGAAAACCATCTTTTAGTTGACAGTTTAATATCATGTAATCACTAAAATCCACCAAAAAAAAAAAAAAACCAAAATTCCAACAAAAAAAACTGTCATTATCCTTTTGAAGGAAAAAAAAAAAAAGAAAGAACCCTCAAAATTAGTCAAACAAGGCAATGTAAATTGCAAGCATAAAAAAAAAAAAAAAAAATCCAACCAAGGCATGAAATTGAGGAAAAAAATAACCAACCTTATCTATGAAAAATGGGCCAAGCCATTTGAGGAAAACAGCAGCCAATAACCCTATAAAGGTAATTAAAATTCCCAACTTGATCCAATACCAAACAGACTTTCTCCCTATTGAAGAAAAAGCTGACTCTTTTAACGACAAATCTCTCTCTTCCACTTCACATTCTTCTAATAATCTCTGTCTCAAGTTTACCCTTTTGCCATTAACATCATCATCATCATCATCACCCTCAATTCTTAGCTTCAGCTCTGGCACCACCTCTCCTCCCTCATCATTATTATTATCATCATTAAAAGTCATTGAATTTCAGAACAAGAACCCTAATTTCCTGTTTGGTTCCTGAGATAATTAGAGAAGAAAAATGTGCGAGGGAGGGGCGAATAGATTCGAAGAGAAGATGAAGGAGAGTGGTAGATGAATTGAGAGCAAAGATGATAATCTATTTAACAAAGCAAGCAAACCAAAAAATAAGAAACGTTTGATTTTTTTGGTTTTTGATTAATTTAAAAGGAAACTCAACGTTTATGTTACTTTATTTCTCATTTGTCAATTTGGAAATATTTGTTTTCATAAGGTATTGTAATTTACGATGCCGCCATTCGAAGCAACGGCGTCGTTTAGAAAGTTTTGAATGACACGTGGCGAAATGAGTGAGGTGTGATCCACTTTGATCGGTAGAAGACGCTGAGGGAACTGAGTTTTTCAGCCAGTTAGAGACTTGAGCTGCCAACACGAAATTGACTCACTCCATCGTGGATAAATACTGGAGTCCAAAAAATAATTTGTGGAAAGAGGACATGCTCCGATGGTGACATGGTGGTGTGCTAGATTTGGAGGACAGAGCAATTAGAATTGGACACGTGTCACACAAATAGCTGGCTGCCACAGTCGGGAAAAGCTGGAACGCGTGCTGTGGATCTATCCTTTTCCTTGACGTTTATAATCGAGGGCATTATGTTTACAACTCCAAGGAATTCCACTCAAGTAAGTACTCCAAACCAAAGATGTTAACTAGATTTGGCTTTCAAGCTCAAAATATGTACCAATCAATTTGGTTTATCGTGTTAAGGAACATAGTCTTCGTACTCAAAGTAACAAATTAAGTCAATAATTATATGATTTAGTAATAAAATATTTAAAATTTTTATTTTAATGTGTTAAATAAAAAAAATCGCATGATTAGACTTACTCAAAATGATATTGGTAAAACACTAGAAAGGATTGAGACCAAGGTTCTAAAGACACATAATTTAGTCAAGTATATGGACTAAGACCAAGATCAGAGTGCAAGAATACACTTGTGATGAGTTATATGGTGCTAGGCATAAAGATTACTCGTTGGAAGGATCTAGAACATTTTAGAAGAATGGTGCAGGCAATCAAGCATAGAAAAACTTAGAATTGCTTAGAGACAGGTTAAGCACGTGGTGCAAAAAAGTTTAGAAAAGCCTGAAGGTAGACCAAGTGTGCAAGCACCAAAGTTTCCAGAAAGACTAGGTGTGGGTACAATGTTGGGCACTGTAGCACCTAGATAGGGAAGTCTTTAAAAGACCATAGCTGCAAGCAAAATGGCACCCAGATGGATAAGGTTTTGGAACCCATTAGGTCGGGCACTCAGTGGAAGTGCTCGGATTCTTCTAGACCCAAGGGCTTGGCAGGGAACCTAAAATCAGCATATTTTTAAAAAGGTCTTAATCGACCTTGTTGGGGTTTGGGCACCCTAAAACTATCTAAAAGGCTCTTAATGGCGACACACTTGAATTCATTGTAACCACAAGTATTAAGATGGCTTAAGTATAAATAGGAGAGCCTCTCTCTTATTTGTACATAAGCAATAACCAGAAGATGAAGCAAGAGTGTGAAGTATTTGGGACTAGGCCTTGAGAGCATTTATAGAGAACACATAAGAACTATGCTCCAAGCAAGTGTACATACCATATCAAATGAATATACTATTCTTGCCTTAACCATTTTATTCCTAGTTTTCTCTTAAACTCTTAGAAAGTTAGGTTAAGTTTCAACACAAGTGCACAACAGTTTATTAGTGCATGGAATAAAGTCGGTTAAAGGTTACTTAGGTATACAGATGGTAGTTTCCTACCTAAAACCATACAATAGCTAGGCTTAAGCTCCCGGCCTGTGACATAAGCACTAACTTGAGCTTTTACGCATGTATGCCAACTAGTTGAGGCCATGGGTCACTGAAGCAACCAGTTGACGGACAACATGGCCAGAAGGCATGCGTGGCCTAAATTTTGCTCTATGGATGTTGCCATAGATGTATGCAATGACAAGCCCATCACATACACTTACTCCCCTTGTGGGTGAAAGAGGGGTGACTTGAACAACCATTCCCTAAAGAGCATGAGAGATTTTATAAATATGCTAGCAGTAGATATTAAAATGTCTATAATAGGGACACTTTTAGGCATATCCTACTCTAAAGGTTTATAGGTACTGATGGTGGATAAAGTATGTGCCCGTATTAAGGCCTAGCATGTGCCAATGGTGTTTGAGGCAATTGTTCGCAACAAGAGCTAGCATATGCTAATAGTGTTTGAAGCAACTGCCTTTACTAATGACCATCTTTTATCGATGCTGATTAAGGCATGTGCTTGTCTGGGTCTAGATTGTGCTAATGCTGATTAAGGTATATGCCCTTACTAAGGGCCAGCATGAGCCGACGGTGGTCGAGGTAGGTGTTCGTACCAAAAGTTAGCTTGTGCCAACGGTGGTCGAGATAGGTGCATGTACCAAAGGCCATCTTATGCCAATGATGGTCGAGATATGTGCCTACATCATATGTTAGTATGTGCTGATGATGGTCGAGGCCTTGACCAAAGTTTATTCTAGGCCCCAGTGTCCATGCTAAGTTTGAGCATGTGCTAGTGTCACATTTTTTACCTAGGGCACCATCACCGGAGCAATGTCAGAGAACCTGACTGGTGGCATTAGAGGTTTTAGCAATTGAAGGAGTGGGTCGAGAGGTGTGTGCACAATAATGCAATGGGTGTCAATCTTTAGCCCTTATATTGGCCCCATATCTCCTAAGAAACCTCGACAATTCATACATCTTTAAAGAGCATAAAAGCTTTTATAGGTTTGTAGCTAATAGCCATTCAAGTTTTTAAAATGGAAACACTTTTTTTCAAATGGCCATAAAATCTTCTACACTTTAATTTTTTTAGTTGAAATTTTTTATGGATACCAACAAACAAGGATCACGTATACCAATTTTGGGACCAAAACTCCTAAAAAAATTTAAAAAAATCTCAACTGGCGATGAAAAATAAAAAATGAATCACCTTGTCATAAAATATCACATGAAGGCTTAAAAGACCGTTATATGAATTTACATCCATAAAAATGGTATTGGCATGACAAAATTATGAAGATGTACCTAAACTCACCTACTATCTAATCATGGTGATCATGGTGCGCAACAAGGGCCTAGGATAATAGTGCGTGATGTGCGACCTAGCACTTGTCGATGCTTTCGAAAAACTATTCACCCCAAGGGCCAGTATGTGTCAATAATGGTCGAAGCATATACCAAGACCAAAGGCCAACATATCCCGATGGCGATTGAGGCATGTGCATATGCCACAATCTGTAAACTGGTCTGGCTCATAGGTTCTCTCCAAATCAAGGAGCAATTTTAGATTTAATAAGACAGGGTCTGACTGCTATGGGAACTAAGCCTTGAGATCTATTGGAGGCCCAGGTCATGGGAACTTAGCCTAGAATAGTGGTACGGGTAGTGATCAAGACTCTAGAGGCTTAGGCACGGTATTCAGGTTTGACAAAATTGAGCCAGGCTTAGGTGCGGGTGTTAATGAGTACTTATATGAATTTACAAGCCATAAAATGGCATTGACTCAACAGAAATATGAAAATGTGCATGAACCCATCTACTACCAGTCATGGTATGAATGGTGCATGGCCCGAATTTAGAATACCCGCACTTGATGCGTAACCTAGCATGTACCGATGGTGTTTAAGGAAACTACCCTCACAAAGGGCTAACATGTGCCAATGGTGGTCAAAACATGTCCGAAGACCAAAGGCCAACATGTTTCAATGGTGGTTGAGCCATGTATATGTGTCATTATCCGCAAGCTAGTCCATGCTCATATGTTCTCTCCAAGTCAAGGAACAGTTCCAACTCTAGTAGGAAAGGGTTTGATTACTAGGGGGACTTGGCCTTGAGGCTGACTGAAGGCCCAGATCATGGGAAACTGGCCTAAAACAATGGTATGGGCAATGATCAAGGCTCTATAAGCTCAGGCTCAATGTTCAATTTTGGTAAAATTGAGCTAGGCCCAAGTGCAAGCGCTTGTGAGCATTATATGAATTTACAAGCCATAAAAATGGCATTAGCATGAAAGAAATATGAAGATATGTCTAATCCCACCTATTGCCCAATAGTAATGCGCATAGTATCTAGCTCGAGCCTAGGATACCCACACTTGGTGCCCGGCTTAGCATGTGCCAATGGTGTTTAAAGGAACTACTTGTAAAAAGGGCTAGCATGTGCTTATGGTGATTGAAGCATGTGTTGAAACCAAAGGCCAACATTTCCCAATGGCGATCGAAACATGTCCATGTGCCACGGTTTCCAAGCTGGTCTAGGCCTAGCGGTTCTTTTTGAGTTAAGAAATAGTTTCAGTTCTAGCAGACAAAGTTTGACAACCAATGAGATCAGGCCTTGAGGCATACTAGAAGTTTAGGTCATAGAGAACTAGCCAAAAACAATGGTATGGGTAATGATTAAGACTGTAGTGACTTAGGCATGATGTTCAGGTTTGACAGAATTGAGCCAGGCCCAAGTGCAGACGCTAATGAGTGTTATATGAATTTACAAGCCATAAAAATGGCATTGGGATTGCATAAATATGAAAAATGTGCCTAAACTCACCTATTGCCCAATCGTGGTGCACATGGTGCGTAGCCTAGGCCCAGGATAATTGTGTGTGGTGCGCGGCTTAGCATATGCCGATGTGTTTGAGTGACTACCAGCACTAAAGGCTAGCATGTACCGATGATGGTCGACGCATGTGTCGAGATCAAGGGTCAACATGTCTCGAAGTCAGTTGAGGCATGTGCATGTGTCACGATCCGTAAGGTGGTCCAGGCCCAGGGGTTCTTTCAAGTCGAGAAGCAGTTTCATTTTTAACAGAAAAGGGTTTAACAACCTAAGAGACCAAGCCTCGAGGCCTGCTAGAAACCCAAGTCACGAGGCACTAGTCTAAAATAGTAGTATAAGCAGTGATCAAGACTCCGGAAGCTTAGACATGATTTTCAAGTTTGACAGAATTGAGCCAGGCCGAGGCGAGCACTAGGGAGCAATCAAATTTAAATTCTAATAATTTTAAATATTAAAAAAATAACATCATATTTATTTATAAATTGTTTAGTAAAATTTTTTCACGTGTGAGTAGTCATGTTTGTATTTACTAGGAGAGATCGAAGCTATTTTTCTGGCACAAAATTTAGCTAAGATTGAGAGAGAAGTGGCCAAGTGGGGAGTTATTGTGTGGGATGGAAACCTTCCTTCTTCTTGCTGTAACCCTGGCGTTTCATAATTTCAACGAAGTCATATTTTCTTCAAACAAAAAAAAAAAAAAGAAAATTTGTAATCTGTCAAATCTTGTAGTAAGGTAATCAGAAAAATTCTTGCAAGTTGAAAGAGGCTTGTTGATGTTTGTAAGGATATTGTTGAGGTTTAGGTGGTGGTTTTGCAGTGCAGCTGATGGTGTCTGTTTCTCTTAAGAATCTTCATGTTCCATAAATGCAGCTAGCTTGGAAGCTGTTCATGCTGTTCCTGGAACAATTAAGCTGATGGCTGTTGACTTTTGTTGTTGTTAATTGGCCTTGCTTAGGTACCAAGGTTTTGGAGAGTTCTTTGGGAGGATTTATCTGATTGAGATTTTCTTCAAGTAGAGCCTGTTCATTTGGAAGGATAGGCACGTGCTCTACTATTTATTCGTAATTTTCTGAATTAGATGGTGATGATGGCAAAACTTTTGAAGGTCTCGAAAGGGAAATGAGCAATAATGATGGGGATAGGGTAGCCATGGGTTATACTTCAATCAATCGCTTCACTGCATGATCTTGTTTGCTTTAGATAATTATTCTCTTATGATTGAATGATTTGTAGACACGATACTATCAGAATATAGCATAGTCTAAGAGATACAATCACTTTCTTTGCAGTAAATTTAAGCCATTCAAAGAGCTTAATTGGCATGCTACAAAAGCCCTAATCCCAAAATTTGCAGGCTTCAAGTCAATTCATAGTTTATATGTTATGGGAGGGATCTAACCCGACATTGAAATTTCAAATGTAGTTGATCAAGTTGAATTCCTTGTATCAATTAGAAACATGAACATCTGATAAAGGAAAAAGAGAAAAGATACATTCCATATTTTCATTGCTATGTGAATCAAACTGGTTAATCTAAACCAAATATGAAAAAAATTATCAACATAATCTAATGTACTTGTGGCCAAATTTAACAATGTAATATTCCTGGAACTGGCGAGAGTGAGGCAGGGGATGGACATCTGCATTGAGCATATGGTCTGCAACCGTTGCTGACTTAAGCTCCGTCTATGTTTGTTCGGTAGTGAGTAGAGTCCTTTGGACTATGTTTCATCAATGAAGCTAAATAATTCTGCATAGCCTCACTCAACCCAGATTTGGCTGCTACATCAACCATCTTGTCCCATTTTGATTTTGGAAGTTCCTGTCCTTGTTCCTCCAATTGGAGCATCCTAACAACCATGTCCCGAACCTTGCAAAACAACTCTTCTTGTTTTGCCTTCAACATCCCCACATATTCACTATGCGGAACAGTCACTTATTTCTCAACTGTAACAAGCAAAAACAGTCCCTTGCCTTCTAAAAGTCCAAACGCATCCGCCATAGCATATGCAGCATCCAGGATAAGGGTTACGATGTTATCGGGGTTTTCCTAGGGGACGGATTTTTTGTCCTGATGCAATTGTTTCCAAAACAACCTGTCTAATTCGAAAGGAATTTTCATGTAATTCAACATCTGAGTTATATAACTCCGCGGTTGAAACAATGAAAAATTATCATCACATGTCAACATGTCATATGGAAGATGAAAGAAACTCCATGAATTATGATGCTTAATGTTGGTTGGAATACTTGCATCTGTTCTGTTTGAAACATATATGATTCTAACATTGCACTGGAACTTTAACATAGGCGAAGGTGCATCGTCTCTCTTATCTTTGTTTGGCTTAACAGAGAAAAATACCTTGTAGTCATGCCCTGGAGGAGTACTGTCAATCGCCATTGGCATGGAATAGAATGTGGATATGGTTTCGTGATGGCTAAGGAACAGAAACAGATTTTGGGTAATGGGTTCGGGCGAGAGACACAAAAATAGGTTATGTATTGCCAAACCTCGTATATTTGTAATTGTTAAACCGACTCTTCTCCTCTAATCCTCTTTGAGTTACGATTTGTTTATATTTTTAATCAACCGGCATAGCCAATCAGAGGAAAAAATTAGTTTTTCTTCTTCACACTTGCTCTGCAACTCATGATCACATAATAATCAAAGACTCACTTATCAGTGGATCTCAACAGAAATTTTCATTTGATGAAAAACCCAATTTGGAAATGGCATCATTGCCTTCCCTTTCCTGCTATTTTAGTTAGGGGAAATGGATTAAAATTTTGGTTACAATGACACATTGATTCTGACTTTCCCTTTTATCTTTCTTCATCAACACATTTAAATGATGCATATAAAATCGAACTGTTATCATTGGCAATGGTAGATGTGAATAAAATGTTCAACGTTAGCTTGATTTACTACTTATTTCAATACCAAAAAATGGCATGTCTTATATATATGCATTCAATATTGAACTAAAAAGTTTGAGAGAACTGAAGACAGAGTAATAGAATAAGTAAAGAGGTTGCAAGTAAAAAATTTAATTTTTAAATTTATTAGATATTATTTTTAAAGAATAAATATATGAATTAATTTAATGAATGAATATATGATTGCAACTGAATTAAATTTGTAATTCACCTATAAACAATTTTACAAATAATATTTTTTTGAATTTATTGGTGCAAAATTTTTTTTATGAGAGAAATAAATTATAATAAAATTTCGACAAAATGGGTGGAATGATTATTTCGATTTCAAAATATTTTTGAGATTATATTTGAATACTAAAATTAAGTGTACGATTATTTTCATTCAAATTCAATTTTAATTAGATAAATTAACATGTCCTTAAAGTTGATATTTTTTTTTTAAGAAAAATTCAGTGTAAATAAATTGTTCAGTCTCTCAAATTAAGATAAGATGTGGATAAACTAATATGTCCTTAAAATTGTTACTTTTTTTTGTAAGAAAAATTTGAGGTAAATAAGTTATTCAGTCCCTTAAATCAAGATAAGATGTACCATATCTGATAATTTAAAATAAATAATTATAAATTATGCATTTGATATGATCTCAATAAATGATCACCGATAAAATTCGAACTCAAAAAAATAACTCTAACCATTTAAACCAACCATTAAAAAATTGATACTTGAAAGAATGGTTCAAGACATGTAATGTCACTGAGCAAGGTGTACGGTAGAGTAGAGAATTTGAGAATAAATTACAAATTAAAAAAAAAAAAGACCATATTTGGTCCGGTTCTGTAACCCACAGTTGGACCGGGTTCGCTGTAAGCAACGGGAGGAGGCGTGTCAGTGAAGGGAGCGTAAAGAGCACAGTCGCTTTCTGAGACTGAAAGCAACATTTATTAATTTTAACAACTAAATTCCCTAAACACCCTTTCTCAGAAGAGTGGATCCCACAGCACTAACCGTCGGATGATCGAACCCTTGACGTCATCACAAAGGCCGGATTAGATCGGATGGCTCAGATTTGGACTCCTGTCAAAATACCGTTGTACCCTTGCCATGCAGGCATAAAACCATGGGTGCCGTACACACAAAACCAAACACCCCCCCCCCCCCCAACAAAAAAGAAATTTTGAAGTTAAAAGCCAAACTTGAAAACCAAAGGTTCCGTTGTGGTTTTGGTTTTTCGAGTTTCAGCTTCGTTTTCGTTTTCCTTCTGTTCCCTTTCTTTTCTTTCCCACAAAAAAAAGTCAGGATTTTTCTGCTGTTCCTATAAAATTTTCTCAATTTCTTTTATTTTCTATCAAATTCTGAAAAAAAAAATCTAATCTTCGTCTGCGAATTTCCCGATTTCTCTCATCGATCGACGCCGACCTAAAAAAGCAACAAACAAAGAACCTCCGATTATCGAAACAGCGAGGTATGGTTTACTGGTTTTAATTTTCGATTTGAATTTTGATTTTGTTTTACTTCTGGGTTTTCATGTTCATCGATTGAAGAAATTTCAGGTATTTTTTTCCTTTTTGTGTGTTGTTTGACTCGTAAATACTGGTGGCTGGTCGATTTATTCCGATCGACGGCTGATATTAAATTGGGATTTTTACGTTGATGGATTGGAATTTTATCTAGATTCTTCAGGAATGCTCCTGATTATCGGTGGAGTTTGGGTTTAAGTGGGCGTTTGAAAGACTAAATTACCCTCCTTTCCGTTGACCCTAGAATAGCTGTCCGAGGGTTTGTCTGTACTTTTTGTATATTCTTTTTCCTAGTTCCATTCTGATTTGTTTTCTGTCTTCCCCAGTTTGAGAAGGCAACACATTTTTTTAACATGACGACAATACCCTTGCTACGTCGGTATAGCCATAGAAAGAACATGTAGGTGAAGGGTATATTCGTTAATAAAAAATTAGTCTTAGGGAAATAATCAATATATATTTTGATTGCGAAGCTCGTTGGTGTAATCCACGTTAGATCTTTCTGATTTTCCGTGAAAAAAAAAAGAGAACAAAACCCTAATCCTATTTTCTCATCTTTGATTGTAGAAACCAAAGCAACGCACATATAAAGGGGAAAGAAACCATGGGTTCTGAACAGAATGAAGGAACCAGCTTTTCACCATCCGAGCCGAAGCTTTGCGCCAACGGCTGTGGATTTTTTGGCACGGCGGCGAATATGAACCTATGCTCCAAGTGCTATCGTGACCTCCGGGCGGGGGAGGAGCAAGCTGCGAAGGCTAAAGCTGCCATGGAGAAATCCCTCAGTGTCCAATCGAAGCAGCAGGATGTCGTTGTGGAGCTGCCTCATGTGGGTTCGTCTTCCTCATCGATGGCAGTTGAGCAACAACCGACTGTTGTCGCTGGTGATGAACAGGCGGAGCCAAAGCTGCCGAACAGGTGCTTTATCTGCGGAAAGAAGGTTGGATTGACTGGGTTTAAGTGCAGGTGTGGGAGTACATTCTGTGGTGAGCACCGGTACCCGGAAAAACATGAGTGCTCCTTTGATTTCAAGGGTGCTGGGCGTGATGCGATTGCCAAGGCAAATCCTATCGTCAAAGCTGATAAGGTGGAGAGGTTCTGAAAAGGGGAGGCTTGGAGTTAGTTTGACTGAGCCGGTGTTCTTGAATGAATTTGCCTTTTCTTTCTTGTCCTCTTGGCTTTTCGAGGGTTCTATTAGATTTTGGGTCAGGAAAAATGCGGGGTGTTATAATGTTCTTGCTAGTGTTTTGTGGTGGTTGGAATGATTGGGACGGTAACTTAGTTGATTCCACAATAAGAATGGATCAATGAATGTTTAGTTTCAGTTTACTTTGAATGTTTCTGTCTTGATCTTTATTTTATCCATATTTATTAGGTATATATATAATGTTTGTGCTATCTACTTTGTATGTTTGTTGGATTAAGATCTTATCACCATCAAAATTTCTAATACGTGATTGATGTAAGTTCTTTTAGCTGCAAATACTTAATCTTGTAGCTACATATTCTGATTTCTTACCATGCTTAGTTCTCTGGTGGAGAGATGCCTGTCTCTTATCATTCTTCAAACGCAGAATTTCCGCTGTGGATGTTGTTTCTTTTGCATTCAAATTCCCCAGTTTTACCCCATTTATGGTACTCGGTTCTTTTCCTTCCAATGTAACTTTTTAAGTTACCTGCATCATCTAGTTATTGCTTCATAGAGGCATCAACCCTTTTTCTTTTATTGTTCCATGCTTCTGTTTCTATACTGGATCTGCATTTTGATTTGTGTCTATTGCTACCTCCTGATTCATGAAAACTTCTGAAACTTTTAGCCAGTTGATATTCTATATGATTATTGGAACGGAATCGAAGTCACTGTTGTTGAAGTAGGTGAAGAAGGCGGCATTGATGGCAGGGATCTCCTCTCTCGTTGTTGTATCTTTCAGTAAGGCTGTTTAACTGCATTTCTCTTGGCCGTAAGAAGACTGTCCCTGGTCGTGAAACATGTCAAATTTATATGGTATCAAACATATGTAAAACATGTCAAATTTATAAGATACGCCCATGAAATATATTTTTGGTGTCTGTTTAACTTATTTTTTTGTTAAAATTTTAAATTGTGTTATTTTTGTAATTTTTTTAACATTTTCATCTGATATTACAATGTAGTGTTAAATTTTAAACTTACCAAAAGATTTCGAATCCGTAGCTATTATAGGACCTTTTCAGATTCTACTATCACGTATTTCTAGTAGGAGCAGAGCTGAAATCATAGGGTTATAATCTTCTATCAGTTTGGCATTCCTGGAATGCGTATTGATTAGGTTAGAGATCATCTTGGTACCCTTCCTTTTGTGAAAAAATTGACCAAAATTTACATTCTTATGTGTTAACATCAACTGCTCAATTTAACCTTAGATGATGAGTTTTTCATTCTGAACATTCAATTCCAGTTGTTTCTTGAGCGGCTTTCTGCAACCTGTAGTTCTCGTAACCCATAGGTCGTAGCGGGTAAAGCTCGTTGAAATTAAAGTTTCAAAACGTTTTGCACTTTCCACTTTCAGTTCCTATTTTAAATTCGAGTACCCAAGGTATGGGCCTTGTTGGTCGGATGGTGGGAGAAATTGCCATTGCATACGAATAACTTCTGGAGTCCATATTATCTTCCTGGAATCATACAATTTCAAATTCGACAGTCAAATTCGAGGAATCTGTGAATGTTGTTGACTGTACTAAAGCAGTATCATAATTTCATATATAAATATTAAAAGATTTTCAGTTATTTGGCCAATCACCTTGTTGAATATATAAAATATATCCGTCCATGAAACTGGCAAATGGTGGTTCCCCCATAATTTGGTGGATGGTGATAAGAAAAAAAGGTCAGCAAAGCAGAGAACCTCGTTTAATAAGGTTGTAATTTTTCAATTGGACAAACAATTAATTACTAACATAATACTTCACCTTCCAATTGTACACAAATGAAGCGGATATGCCTGAATGGTCAGGGACATTAGAATTCCTATTAACTTGTTTATATTAGGTGGTGAGATACAGGGTACGATCTGTATCCAGTAAATGGAGTGTTCTGTTATGATTTAATAGATTTCATAAAGTTTTTCCCGCGACAAATTCCATTTTATATGTCAATTTGAATCGCAACGCTGACAACGGAAAAAAGAAAAGAACAAGAAACAACCCAACTCCAACCCTTTTAGGCGTGAACTGGAAACAGGTCGAACCCAACTGGACTACTGGGAACATGTTCCTGGAACTCATATCACAGCACGTGTTTACTGCAAAGAATTCATGCAAGTTGGTCAAGATGCAACCAATCTTGTCACTACTGGTGTAGAGACCCGCACTCAACCTGTGAGGAATTGTCCGTTTTGATCCGAAAATCTCACGATTTTGTCCCACAAAAAGCACCTCACAAATTTGAGATTAAGTCTCTACATATATATAGCATTCCTTATCCACACATTTTTCTGATGTGGGATTGGGGGCGTTACAATCTCTCCACCTTTAATGCTTGACGTCCCTGTCAAGCCGAGTCCATCCACAAGACCAAGATCACACCAGACTATCGTGTAGCACTTAATGATTCTCACAGCTCCACCGTGTAACACTTAGTGACTCCTACGACTGCGGACTGGTGACCGCTCTAATACCACTTATCACGGGTCGAGACTCAAGCTCCGAACCCGCGCGGCTCCGAGACTCGGGCATTCACGCTTCCGACATCTCGGATCAGCCTTCCTGTCACGGTTCACACCCTTGTGAGGTATTGTCCGCACTGACCCCCTGACCTCACGGTTTTGTCCTACAAAAGGCCCCTCTCAAGTTTGGGATTAAATCTCTACATATATATATTATTCCTTATCCACACATTCTCCTGATGTCAGATTGGGGGTACAGTTGATATAGTTGAGGCGTAATCAAAATATGGGGTTTGGGGATGGAATTTGTGGCGTCAGCCAATAGGGTTTATCGTTTTTCTAATTTCTTCTCTAGCAGAATGTGAGAGATTACCTTTTGATTTACCAGAAGCCGAGGAAGAATTAGTAGCAGGGTATCAAACCGAATATTCAGGTATCAAATTTGGTTTATTTTATGTTGCTTCCTATCTAAATCTATTACTTTCTTCCTTATTTGTAACAGTTCTTTACTTGGGGGGTTGGAATATTTCCATTCCGTATGTATTCGTCCCTGAGCTATTTGAAATAAATAAAATGAATGGAATCTTTGGAACGACAATTGGTATCTTTATTACATTAGCTAAAACTTATTTGTTTTTGTTTATTTCTATCGCAACAAGATGGACTTTACCTAGGTTAAGAATGGACCAATTATTAAATCTTGGATGGAAATTTCTTTTACCCATTTCTCTCGGTAATCTATTATTAACAACTTCTTTCCAACTTCTTTCACTGTAAAGAAAAAAAGAATACGAGATTCATGACTTAGTTCAAACAAGAGAAAAAACAAACATATGTCAGATTGGGGGCGTTACAATCTCTCTACCTTTAATGCTTGACGTCCTGTCAAGCCGAGTCCATCCACAGGATCAAGATCACACCAGATCATCGTGTAGCACTTAGTGACTCCCACGACTCCACCGTGTAGCAGTTAATAACTCACACGACTGCAGACTGGTGACCGCTCTGATACCCTTTGATACCATTTGTCACGGGTCGAGACTCAAGCTTCGAACTCACGCGGCTCCGAAATCCGGGCATTCACCCTTTCGGCGTCCCGGATCAATCTTCCTGTCAGGATTCACAAGGTCCGAAACCCGGACATTCATCCTTTCGACGTCTCGGATCAACCTTCCTGTCAAGATTCACATCCTTGTGAGGTATTGTCCACTCTGACTCCCTGACCTCATAGTTTTATCCTACAAAAAGTGTCTTTCAAGTTTGAGATTAAGTCTCTACATATATATATCATTTTTTATCTACACATCCTTTTGATGTGGGATTAGAGGCGTTACAACTGACTTCTTAATATTTAGTTGTTTAGACCAAATAGCATGTATTCGGATGAGTGGGAGGGTAAAAATGAGTTGCTCAGATAATGAAAATGGTAGTTGGTACAACTTGATAAGAACTGTTCAGGGCGTATAATGATTTCAATATTTCCTTTTAAATATATACGAGGAATGAAATGGATGAGCAAGGGAGGTCGCTTTTGCTTTTAAATGGCCAAAACCATCATAACATTATTGTATCACTTGCTGGTAATCCTGTCTAGGTCTTTTCCGCTATAAAACTGCAACATATCATGTGGCAGGTTCCACTTTCACAATGTTTTCACTGGGGCTTTCTTTCTTCTCTTTTTGACCATAATTTCATTAAATATTGATGAATAGTTTTCCAAGCACTGCCACTTGATTATACAGTGATTTATGTGTTGCATCAATACCAATTCATTTTCTTAGATTTTCCTGTTGAATGTACTGCAGAGCATCTAATTTCAAGTATACTCTTTGAGGCATTTCAGGACCACCATCTCTGAGCTTTTTTATTGAAGTGTCTTAATCAGGGCAAATGCGAAGAAGAAATAGTAGTAAACAAATAATAATAATAATAATAATAAAAGCTGTCAATAAGGCCTGCCGGGTGGTGGATCAGACCACCTTAAGGCCTGCGGTGGTGGAGCAGACCCTGGCTCATTCTCTCTTTCTTTCCCTGACTTTAACAAAACTTGATAGGACATATCTTGTAATGGCATTCCATAGTGATGGAAATCTCTCTTATCAAATTGAGGGGATTCCTTTCTTTTACTAATTTGCACTTTCCATTTGGCATTTAGATAAAGATCATTTCTCTTTCCATAAATTCATTGAAATTCATGATGTAAGATATTCCATTGCTGGGGCCGAGCCCACCTTCTTTGAATTGTTTTTTATGTTTGCAAGGAAAGAAAACCTGACTTCCATGACTGTCATGCATCTTCATCATGAATTATAGTAATCTCTAAGAATTTTATGTTTATGCATTTATGTTTCCTTCTTCCTTTACTGATCAAAAAAGGTTTTTTAACTTCAAAACCTTCAAGGACAGTGATTTGATTTGGATTTAGCTCTAGATGGTTTAGGAGCTAGTTCTAGACTCAAACTCAAGCATGATTGAGTTCGGGTTGTGAATAATTCATCTCTTTAACTGTTTAATGGAACAAATGCAACCTCCGCATTAATGAAACATTAAGCAAAGGTAGATTGATTGTAATCTAACCAATCCCTATCAATAGCAGCCTCCTTTTGTGACTTTTTATTATATGTAATGTAAAAAGAAAGAAACAAAACTCTTGAAATTTAATTATTGGCCGACAATCGTTTGACATTTAATAAAATGCTGAATTTTTGAGTTTTAATAATCAAAATTCAATTTTTTGTAACTTCAATATATATATATATATATATATATATATAACTCTTAGTTATTTATATATGGTCTTACGTATTTCTAGGTTTTTGCTTGGCTCATGCGTAGCACATTAATGTTTCAATTAGATGTTGACTATTAATATTGTTGATTAATCCCAAAACATAAGTCCCATCTGTTTAAAGCACAATACAGTCTATGGTCTACAATCTTTTGTCAAGTGTCATTCGAAGAAGCAAATAGACTGTCCCTTTAGGTTGCTCAAACTCACTCACACTGCAAAAAAAAATGGTGGGTCAGTGGACATTTTAACCACCAGAACTAGAAGGGTAGACGGCTAAGTTCAAGTGTTAAAATCATACAGATGCTTCAATCACACATTAAATTCATCTGTTAGGTAAGCATCAGATGGAACCTCCGACCATGGCAACTGCACATCACCACCTCTTGAGAGGTGATTTTGGCTTCACATCTTCATCAACCACGAGTTCAAGTCTATGCAAAATTGAATGTACAATATAGGGCTCCCTGACCCACAATCTGAAAATAAAAGCATCATATTTAGAGATTGCTAATCATGAATTTGAAGATTTATAGAAGAAATAAAATTAATCTTTTTGACATGTTGAAAATTGAGGAAAGAAGAATACCCGGCCATTGAACTGAATCATAAAAGAAAAATAATTCAAAGCAGCCTACTTTTGTA